ACGATGCTGCAGGACTCCACGCCTATTATGGTGGATCGTCTGAATTTCACAAGTTTTAATATTTCAAAGAAAGAAAGGTCGCTGTTGTGTGAGACAGTGTTGTCCGACATCCAAATTAACCCTGGTTTGCTCAATATTTAGCATCAATTAACTTGCATAGGAAATTACTAATTTTCAAGAAATGTTCTGTAAAACCAAAGCAATAACGTAGATTCGACAAACACAAGGTATTTCAACCCCAAAATCAAGAAAGCACAATTAATAGCAGCTGACTTTTTATACAAAAATACTCTTTATATATTTTTCTTGGTGCTTGTAATCAAAGACCCAGTATTATTGCATGTCAATAAAAACACACGGTCTGCATGTGGGGTAGCATCCTGGGGTGCTTGAACATTAAAACATTATTCACACACAAGCTTCCTGGCATGTGGTGATTCATTTGGAATGAGAGCGTAAATTATTTGATTACAATTACACTGATTTGGGATTATGCTGACCGCCTTGGAACATCCTCCCGAAGTGAAAGACGATATACAAATGTAATAATAATACAAATGTAAGTTGTTGTTGATTTGAACAAAGAATAGCTGAGTAAGTCTGAGATTTTCAAGGTAAACCAAGCTAGTATCTGACTCGACTCTCACCCAGAATTTAAACATGAGTATACTTTCATCTTAAGCATACAACTCTTCTATTTAAAGTCAACGAAGTGTGGAAAACACATCAGAAGGGTTCTGACTGACAGAAGTCTACTAGAACTATTTATAGCTTCACACATGAAGACCAGCCACTTAGGTGAGGTACCAGAAGACTAATACCTCCCATGGAACCCTACGACATGCCTTGAGGGCAGAAAATTTAAAGGGTCAGGGCTTAAAATAGGGATGACTGATTCACTAACAAGCAGTGATCTCCCTTTGTAACATTTAGGAATTAGCGGGATATATTTTTCCTTCAATAACTTTAATAGGTATTCAGAGTGGATATATTACGAAGAGCACTCCTTACATTTGCTTTACACGGAAGCGGCACAAAACACACCTTGGTGTGCTCTGAGACACTACCCCACACGAAGGACTCTTTATGAATGTGAGCTGTTAGTGTGGTGCTGAAGTGCCAAGACCTATTTCTGTATTTGTCCATGAAGGGTCTGGGCTTCAAACTTTTAATAGTGTACCTGGACTTTGCATCCAAAACCAAACCCAGGAAAAACATTCTCACCGCTAGTTTTGGATCTCTATGGTTTAGGAATATGATTTGGTTGGTAAAATTGGTCAATCTGCATTGCAATTCTGATGCAGTGAGAGGTATCCTTCCTGTGGAACACTGTTCGGGTTTTTCTGATGGGACATTGTGAATGGAAGGGTACAATGAATATTAATAGTGAAATAATAGCAGTAATCACACATCGCAAAACATAATTCTACAAAATTATAGCTACTGGTAAAATTAATTGCGTTTTAAAAGGTACATATTCTCTTAATAACATGGATTTAGGGGAGAATCCCTGAAATATTATTCATCACAGATGTCAGTATTGCTTTATATTAGGATATTGAGTCATCAGTTCTGGAAAATTCTAGCTGCAGCCCTAGCTATTATCCCCTCAATTACTGTGCTAACTTTAAGATGTCTTTGTCATTTAATATTTTGTCATTTAATTTACTGACATTTTAATTTCCAGATGAAAATGAGGATTTTGCTGTAAAATTGATGAATAAAAAAAAGGGTTGTACAGCAGACACTCCTAAGCTCTTTGCTGCACAGGCTGCAGACTATCCAGAACTCTGCAGCTCAAGTCCTCTCCCATACGAGGCTCCACGAGTACTATCAACCCCATCCTCACCTGGCTCCACTAGTTACTCATCCCCCAGCGAATAGAGTTCAAGATCATCTTCACATTTAAATTCATCAATGGTCTCACCCCATCTCTGCAACCTCATTAAGGACCCAGCAGTTCCCCTTGCCCGGCCTACTCCATGTTCCTTGCTCTATCCCGCACCATCATTTCTCACCTGTGGTAGCAGTGATAGCACTTTCACCTTGGAGTCAGAAGGTTGTGGGTACCAACCCCATGTTGGGCCTTGGAATCATAGTCTAAGCTGATGCTCCAATGTAGTCCTGGGGAATGTTGCAATGTCAGGTTCAGCCTACGGATGAGACGTTATCCAAGATCCCGTTTGCTTGTTCAGGCAGATGCTAAAGATCTCATATATACAAAAAGGGAAGGGAGTTTCTCTCGGTGTCCTGGACAATAAATCCCCCAAATAAAAATGGTCACTCACTCCATGGCTGTTTGTGGGACGCTGCTGTGCGTAAACTGATTACAAAATACAGTATACCCTGTGAAGTGCTTTGAGATGTCTTTAAGACGTGATAAGACATTGTGTCAACTGTACGGATTGCAATTATAGTATTGTTATTATCATCATCGTCATGCACAATCTTTCAGCCAGGAAAATGCCCTCATTCTTCTAATGAGTTACACACTAGTGCCTCAGCTATCTCCTCCCCACTTTCTTTAAGGATCCTTGGGTGCCATTCACCTGGTGCTCTGCTTAATTTATTGCCAATTGAATACAAATTAGAGGTTTTCCACCAGAACTCCATTGAGAATGCCTCCTCATTCCCATGGGACTCTTAGAACCAAAAAGAGTATTTTTAGAATCACTCAATGAAATATGTTTGTCATTAAAATTATTTGTTTTACCCCCACCCACTAGGGATATGCATTATGCCTCATTACTGTTATTTGATAAAATTGTACTTCAAGTTACAGCAAGGACTTTCAGACATGATGTTTACTGCTAGATTCTTGATAATGCAAACTAAATATTTTTAAACAGGAATACGTATTTATTATGAAACGTACTATATCTTCACTTTTCACAGTGGGTCCAAATTAGGCTTCTCCTGATTTTAGAACTACCATCTGACCCTCCTATAAAATGTTGCAACTGTCTTTGCAATTGTTACCCATTATATTGCCTTCCATGTTGTTAACTTGAATGATGTAGCTCAGACAGTCTTAACAGCTTGGAGCCAGTTTCACTGCCTTTTCTGATGTCAGGTGTAATACCAACCATCCCCAATGCCTTTCCAATATTTAATCCAGAATTAATCAGCAATTTCTTCCCCAAGTTAGTTAGCACACATCATGCAACTGAATTTACCTAACAATTCAAGTTTTGCTCCCTATGCATGGTGCTCATATTAGATTCAGAATTGTATCTTATCTTCTCTTCTTTAGGCTTCATGGATATCGATCAATATTCACGATCAGGACACCTACCCCCATAGATACCACATTCAATGCTGGAGATTATATTGCAGTGAGATAGATTAGTTGCACAATAATCAGGTGGGTGGTTTGCAAGCCTGGGACTTCGGAGTGGGTTGTAGAATTGCTCAGGCAGAAATGTGAACAGCAAAACTACCACGCCAGTAGATTTTCAAGTATGGGTTGAGATTTGAAATAAAGCGAAAAAAAATTCAATTCAATTTAGATTTAAATTCCCCAGCATCTAATTTATGCTTCAATAGCTCTTGTGTTGCCAAAGTCTTTGATAAACTCTCATTCCCCAGAAGTGGCTTTCAATGCCCTTGTTTCAACACGATCTGTGTAGGCTGCTGGAGCTTACTCTGCTGTTGATCTTATTAAAACACAGCCTATCAATGAGCCAAATACACTTCCAAGACACGACTTCAGTCAACATTCACTAGTGGTATAAATGCCAACTCATATTAACAATTACTGACAGGTCAGAAAAAAAAACTTGTTCAGAATAAGTCTACATAATTAAACTGGACTGAAATTATGGAGACAAATACACAATATTGAAAAATTATGCACATCACCTTGTGTAGTTTAATTGCATCTGCATCTCGACTGCAATCATTTCAAAGATCCACAACTAATACAACAGTAAACACTAGGAAATGCCATCCTGTTTTCTGGGGGAATGTTCTCCAATTTTAATGGCACAGGGAATGATTTCTGTGCTCTGTTAACCATAGACAGTTGCCCATGGCTACTTTCACATGAGAGGAAAAGTTTCATTTCTACACATTTCAGAAGATTAGCCTGCAATGCAAGAAACTGGTGTAAACAAATGCTCTAGTATGAAGTGTATAAAACAGTTGGCGGAATGAGCGACAGAGGATAACTGGGTTCTCGTATTGTGATTGTGGAGTTGAAGCACTTTCACAACCACTAATGCTGCTTTTATATAACCAGTTTGACTCCAGAGACATGCCTGCCTCTACATGAAACTCAACGAGAAAAGGTTGGTTCGCAAACAATGAGTGCCAAGTTTGATCTCCTGTTGTTTCTGCATCGAGGAGATTCAACTCAACTCTGCAATCAACAATCGGAGCTAATGATGATCAGTGAGTACACAAATATGACGTCATCGCATAAGTACACGACCACACGCTGACTCACACCACACTGATGTCAGACACTCTTGTGTGCAAAATATTGGAAATTTATTTTTGCAATCCCAACTACCACAATAACAACCGCCAGAACCAGGAAACGTTAGGAGTAAAGATGACTCGCAGGCATTCAGGTGCATCTCCCGGCCTATGCTACCTTTATACTGTTCGTGTCTATTGCAAAATAATTTCTATTGGTTTTGCAACAGACGACACGAGGCAATTACTTCACTGAAATGTAATTCAGCTAGACATATTTCTCTGCAATCCATATGTAAAACTAAATAGTTTGAATTTTAAGTGCTCCATGCTCCACTTATTTCCCCCATTTATTCAGTAACCTTATGTTGTGGTACATGCTTTCTCTACACTTCAGAGTATCGACCAGTATATTCAGAACTCTCTGGTTTCCATGACTAACCCTTTACCCTTTTAAGCACTCAGGGACGCCATCCAGCATGAAGGGCACTATATAAATGCAAGTTGTTGTTGTTCTTGTTGCAGAAGATTTGCCTAATTTAAAAGCGTAGGTTATCCTCTTGAAAACAGGAAACAGAAAATCTTTAGTAAAAGATTTATTTAAAAAAATCACCTTTACTGGCAGCATCATAGATACATCTGTGGTTCAGATGTGTATAAACAATTTTATAAAGCTTCACAATGTGGCATCACTAAAATTAATTGGTGTGATTTGCTTTTTAAATTCTTACACCTCTGTTCCTTTGTTGCCCTGTCACATAAACCACTGTGGAATACTGAGAGTTGACAAGCTGGGCTATAAACTCCTCAATAGCTCTAACCCTGTGGTGCATTTTACATTCCCCAGGATTTTGAACAATGAGCTGGGCTCATAGATTCCTGATGGTTGAAATTATAAACACAAAATCTTTTTAATTCTGGACACTAGATTTGATATTCTCAATCAAAAGACAGATTTCTTACATTTTACTGCCAGCCTACCCAGAGTACTAATTGGAAGATCCAGTGGTGTTCTGGGTGCTTTAGCTCAGAATGCATATTTGTGGTACCCATTTTCCTGGTTTTGAAATGTAAGATAGCAAACAGAATGGATATGGGCAAGCAAAAAACAAAAAAACATTTGTTACTACCTGGAAGCACAAAGTAGTTTCCAAATGTAAGTGAAATGGGAGGGGCGAGGCTGAAATGGACATAGGTCTGGTATTTGGTCTGCAGTAAGGTACTTTACAACTCACATCTTCTCATTCTTATCGTACTTTGACAAACCTTCAGATTGCTTTTTGGGGTCACCAGCTCTCATTAAGGCCTTGATTGCTCTGGCCCGCATCTCCAGTTCTAGCAATTCCAGTTGTTGTGCTGAAGGCTGAGTGCCCGCTCCATCTGGATCAGGAGAACCAGATGATTCAGATTCCTCCACAGTTGGGCCTGACAGACCTAGAATCTCATTCACGCTCTTCTCAATGTCCTTTTGAAGCTCATCTTCAACACCAACCCGAATGGTTGTGCTTTTTNCTGGCACTACAAGGCTGACAGCAACATCAGGTTCATTGCAGTTTTGTTCTATGTCACTATCGTATGCATCAGCATTAATGCTGAGGGCATCACTTTCATCTCCCGACTCCCCACCTAGTACAAAAGGGACAAAAATTTGTATTACTTACTAACTAATTGTATCAGTATTAAGAATGATGTAAAATACATACACAGCCTTCTGTGAACACAGTAATAAACGAGAAACTGGCAACTTTCCTATTTATTTAGTGCATTACTGAATTAGTAACTTGCTCAAAGCTCTTTGGGTAATAAAGACCCAATTAAAATCAACTACTTCCACGTATTAAGCTGTGTTTGTGCATCAGCATTTAATCTCCAAGGAAACCAGTAATGGAGTTGGGTGCAATCAGCAAACTGTTTAACGGGAGAGAAATTGTGCTGAGCTGAAACACAACTGAAATGTTGTAATGGAGAATATCCAGAATTTTCATCATAGTAAAAAGAAAGTCAGTATAAATATATCTTTCCAAAGGTTAACCAACCACATTCATAGAGACCTTTGTATATCTATTTGATGCACATTTATTATTTATTAAAGCCCTCACAATTAAAATAGGTTAAATGATTAAGTAATCTCTAGAGCTAATAATGAACTGGAAATATGAGGTCAACTATTGCAAGCATTGAGTTGCTTCTTGCAAACATGGTCAACATTGTGGAAATTTACAGTTAATGAATTGAAGGATACATTTGCCTGCTGTTAGAAACATAGAATATTATCTGTGGAATATAACTGGTCATTTTAAATATCTATTATTTGCTTAATTACATCCGGATAGAAATGCCATTTCTTTTTCACATCAATATGCCTATTAAATGCCAAATTTTACTTATGATTACTTAAACCTCTCTCACTCTCAAGAGATTCAACAACTTGCATTTATACAGTGCCCTTCACGTGGAGCAGTGTCTTGGAGCACTTAACAATGGTGTAGTTTGACACCAAGCCAGCGGGAGAGGGGAAATGACCGTAAGTAGGCATGGCCGAAAACAATAGGCACATGTCTTCAGGTGCGATCTGAAGGGGGCAATGTGGCAGGATTGAGGCAGAGAGTTCCAGAAGTTTGGGGTTTTGTTCCACAGAATCCCATCAATTTATTTAAAGCTTACAATCAGTGAGAAAAAAATGGACTCAATGGGCCAAATGGTAGATTTCTCATTTCATATTTTGCGTGCTAAATGTTGAATTTTCTTGTCTAAATCAGAATCAAAGAAATTCCAGCAGAGGAGAGGGCCATTAATTCGAGCTCATTCGTTGGATACTTGCAGTCCCAATTCTTCTAGTCTTTCCTTGTAACTCCGTTTTGCATCAGAGCACTAAATCACAGGTTAAAAATATTATTTTACATTCCAATATTTATGCCTATTAAGGCACAAGGTTGTCATGGTTGGCAGTATTCTGGATTTAGTGTTTTACAAACTGTTGACTTTGCCATGTAACACTGAATAGTCAATGACGATGCTTTCTCCCAGATGCATGGGAAGCCCACAATGCCAGAACTGCTACTTCTCAGCAGTAAGAGCAAAAGCCCTCTTCTTCTCCTTCCCTCCCCACTCCTCCCCTGCATAGATTTACCATGTTTTGAAAATATTCATTGTTTTGTGTCATTTTTTGTATCTAAATTTCACATTGAGAGACTGGTTAGACTGGTGACAAAAACGCAATGTCAGAAACACAATTTACAACTTCAATAACTCAACACCCACATAAAAAAGTGAAGTCTGTGAATTCTTTTTGGGTAAAAGATTAATCTGCATCTGATTAACATGTATGAAAAGAGCGGCATCACTGAATTAATGAGTATCAACAGCTTCAGAGCTTTATTGTTAAAGAATGTTCAAAGCCCAAAGAGGGTAATTGCTACAGTGCTAGTTTTGACCTGTGGCATTTCAGTTCCAAACACTGCAGAATAGCAAAGGTGTAAGGATGAATTGGTGCCACACATCAAAACAAAATGTTTAACTTGCTGCAATAATGTGACAGCTCGCCAACTGTAATCACATCAATCGGCAATTCCATGTATTGTGCCACAGGATAGGATTTTCTACGAGTTGCAAGTTGGTAATAAGAGGTTTGATTGTGTGAGTAACAGTTCACAGGCTCTTCCAGTAATTGTGCAAAGGACCAACATGCATATTTAAACAAGTATATGTCAGTTTAATAGGGCATTTGTAAAGGTCAAGCTACACATCTTTCCACTTCTCCAGAAATTGTGTTTCCTGCCATGTGGTCCTTCTCAGTTTTACCTCTTTCTTTTTTTCACAAATATGTAAATGAAAAGCCCTCTACATTTACATTTTCTCAAAAAGCTAGCATTACAACTGAACCGATACTAAGTTAACTACTAATTGGATCTGATAAATTAACCAGACAACAATATAAATATATAGTACATTGAAGTCTCAAAGCACTTTACATAGCTGACTGGTAGGTAAGCCGTGAGGGGGAGAGGGAGAAAGGCATCTGAAAACATAGTCAAAAATAGGTGTTAACTCAGGTTTTGAAGATGAAGAGGGCAAGGCAGAGAGCAGGTGCAGAATGGGTGAAAACTTATCCACCGATGGTGGGGCTGATCAAACAGGAACAGAACCAAAACAGGCCGGTATTTGCTGATAAGTTTGAAAGGCTGCATAAAATTAATTTATCGTGGTTTCCAAAGACAGGGGTTATACACAGCTCACTCTGGTTTCTGGACAAGAGAGGAACAACAATTTTCCTCTTCTGTTGAGCTATGTCCAGGAAGTGTGTAAGAAATAGCCAAACACAAAGAGTTGAAATCAGCTATTTATTCAGACTTCACTTTGTTCCAGACAACACTAAATTGTATCATGAAACAAAGTAAGAACTAAAAATATTGCGTTTAACGCTATTCTGCACAGGCTACATAATAATAATAATAATAATAATCCTTGCATTTGATATAGCGCTTTTCACGTCGGGAGGACGTCCCAAAGCGCTTCACAGAATATACTGTAAAGTGAATTGACTGTATATTTGTGGGCGAACGCGGCAGCCAATTGCGCACAGCAATGTCCCACAAACAGTCGTAGATTGAAAATGACCAATTTATTATTGTTTTGGGTTTTTTGGAGGGATTATTATTAGGCGTGTGGAGTAAGGAAACTTGCCCAAGGTTTCGCCCTCTGCCTGGAATTGAACCCAGGTGTCTTGCTTGCAAAGCAAGTGCTCTAACCACTGAGCTACAGGACTCCACGTAGCTCCACGTACAGAAATTATACTAAAGGGTAAAAACTGTGGAAAATAGCACCCTCTTGTGTTCAACATTTTGTGTAAGCAATTTGCAATTTCAGATAGTACAATTCCTTTCTTGGACACAAATTCATAGAAGCTGAACTTTCTGTCACCTTGTAATCATGCAATACTATAACTATTTATTAATAGTATAACTATTTATTAAAAAGGCTTAAAACATACTATTGAACAACGATGACGTTTGTGGAAATAAATTTAGAGAGAATCCTGATGCAAAGAAGATGGGGTGAAGAGAATAGTTTCATTCATATTTCTAAGATCTGATAATTAAACGCAAATGTAAACCACATCATCACTTTTAAGAAATACAAATGTTCGTATACTAACAACCCTCAGCACCCCACAAAACAGAAAATAAAAATTCAAAACCCACTTACCCTGTTTCTGCTCCAGTGTCGCGATTTTATTGTGTGCTTTATGGGATGAGGTGGAATCTATATTATTATCCTGTCTGGACAAAAAAGGTCAAAGCCTCAACACTTGTTTTTTTTCCCTTTTGTTTCAGAATACATTCAGCAATGCAGGTTATCAAATAAATTTAACAGCATTTCTAACAAACACAACATTCACTGGTGTGGACAGCTTCTGCCATCATGTGGCTACTCCGAGGCATTGCTCAACATGGTTTATAAAGTTAATGAAGGCTAAAAGAGAAAAACCACATAGAAAAAAATGACTTTTTAATAATGTAAAATAAAGCAGAGTTCAGTTCATTGTTATCGTTTCAAAAAAAGCAGAATAGACAAAAATAGGCACTGAATCGGCAAGCGTGAGAGTCAACAAACCATATTTTCATAAACATCCTTAAATAATGATCAGTGTTGTCACTCATCTGATTTAGCATACTGATAGAAATAAGCCACAGAAAATACCAACGCTTAGGTTAATAATGTATACATTTCTCGTGGGATACTCTTTCTCCTAGTAATGGTGTTACCTCTATCCACCCTCATGTTGTGCAGCTCAAATCGTTTTCTCTAGTCAGAGGTTTTTTGGAAGGGCTAGATCTCTGCATGATCATTTTTTTTCACACTTCAAGTGAACTCTACAAAACTGCAACCCACTCAGCCCTAGATTTTGATGAAATCCTACTAGGAAAAAAAGCCTGCAGCAGTTGAGCAAACTTCACAATACTGTACTATTATACTTTACTGAATTCCAAATGACAGCACTGATAGTTTACAGATATGTTCTGGAATCATTTCTGTTTCAACGGTGGAGCAGATAAAAATTTCCAAGGTTAGCCTGCATTTTTACCTTTTCCATGACCCCAATTTTGCTTGAACCATCTGTGGGGATATTACAGCAACCAACACCAACAACAAAATTACATTTGTATAGTACCTTTCACATCAGGAGGATGTCCCAAGTCAGTGTTTCAGACCCGAGCTGGGGTCGGGATCGAGGAGGGTTGAGGGCGCGGTGGGGGAAGGAGGGTGATCAAAGGCACAATCGAAGATGAGGGTGTTGAAATTGGTCTTGAAGGAGGCAAGGGAGGGGGAGAGGCAGAGGGACTGTGGATGGAGTTCCAGAGGGTGGGGGCAGTGGCTGAAGGCCTGCTAGCCAATGGTGAGACGGACGAGGCGGAGGATGTGAAGCAGGCCACAGCCCACTGAGCAGAGGCAGCAGGCAGCTTGGTAGGGGTTTAGGAGGTCGCAGAGGTAGGGGGAAGCAAGACCGTGGAGGGCTTTGAAGGTGAGGACCAGGATTTTGAACTTTGTCTTGTGTGATATGGAAGCCAGTGGAGTCGAGCGAGGATGGGGATGATAGGGTCACGGAGCCTGGTGAGGGAGAGGACACGAGCTGAGAGTTCTGGATGATCTGCAGCCTATGGAGGGAGGAGTTGGGGAAGCCGATGATGCAGAGGTGGGGGAAGGCAGAGTGGGTCATGGCACAGATGTGGGGTAGAAAGGATAGTTGAAATTCAAACAAGACACCAAGGTTCCAGATTGGCTTAGTCAGCCAGAGTTTGCATCCTTGGATGGTGATGCTGTCAGCCCAAGGTGTGGAGGTGCTGACGGAAGCCAATCATGAGAGCCTCGGTCTTGTTGACATTCAACTAAAGAAAGTTAGCTCTCATCCAGGACTTAATGTTTGAAGACATTCTGTCAGGACAGCAGTGGTCCTGGAGTCAAGGGTGGAGGCAGAGAGATTGGGTTGGGTGTCATCCGTTTACATGTGAAAGTTGTCCCCATATCTGAGAATGTCACCAAGAGAGAGCATACCAACGACAGAGCCCTAAGACATGCTGCACCAGCTGGTGGGGGGCTAGAGGAGAATCCGTTTGTGGAGATGAAGTGGAGACGGTAAGATCTGAAACATTCAAGGACAGAACCATGATGGTTGAGGTGAGAGGAGAGGCGGTGGAGAAGAAGAGTAATCAACGGTATCAAAGGCAGCAGAGAGGTTAAAGAGAATGAGGAGGCAGAGGGAGCCCTGGTCACAGATGGACAGAATGTCATTTCTCACTTTGACCAATGCTGTTTCTGTGCTGTGGGCGGCACGGAAACCCGATTGGAGGGGATCGTGAAGGGAATGTCGGGAGAGGAAGGAGCGAAGCTAGGAAGAAACAACTCGTTCCAGGACCTTTGAAAAGGAAAGGGAGGTTGGAGGTGGAGCGGTCGTTTGAGAGCAAGGATGGGTCCAGGGAGGGTTTTTTAAGGATAGGAGTGATGACGCTGGTTTTTAAAGGGGTGGGAACGGCGCCAGTGGACAGGTATTTTATGTCTATGAGGGGCAAGGAGGTGGAGCTGGGAGGTAAGGAGAGGTATAGGGTCAAGGGAGCACACAAAAGGCACTTTCCAACAAGGATGACACATATAATAAAAACAGAAGTCGCTGGGAACACTCAGGATCTATGGATAGAGGAAAGTGAGTTAACATTTCAGGTTTCTGACCTTTCGTCAGAACTCTGATGAAAGGTCATCGCCCGTATGTCAACTCACTTTCCTCTCTCCATAGATGCTGCCTGACCTGCTCAGTGTTCCCAGCGACTTGTTTTTATTTCAGATTTCCAGCATCTGCAGTATTTTGCCTTTTGTTTAAGGATGATTCTAATACTGGTCATGAGAGGGAAGTCTGGTTGATTTTGCTCTTTCCAATGCACGATTCTCAGGCCAATGACAACAGCTCAACTCCTGCCTCGGCAGAAAAACAACTAACTCAGCATTAACTGCTAACTGAACCTGTGACTTCTGGTCTGCATGGCAACACTGCAAATATCCTTTATGCACCAGACTTTCGAGTGAGATTCTATGTTTTTTTTTTTTTGCATGCTTAGACATTACAGTGGAATCCAACTATAATGCAGTAGTTGCAGTCCATAAAATTTCAACAAACGCTATAATGCGTTGTTCAGGCAGGATCGCTAGAAAGGCCCTTGGCAATCACTGTGCAAGTGCTCAGAAAGAAAGCCGGCTTAATCAGCGATTCAAAACAGCGCTCGCACACAGGAAGCCAAAATAAGTAAGTACACATCATGCCTCAGAATAGGTGGTTTTAAAATTACTTACTGCTGAGAGTTCAGTCTTGGCAGCTTAGTCGGAGTAAAATTCAGCAGGGACAGGATCAACAGTAAAATAACAGCTAACAGACATGTTTATATTTGATTTCAAAATTCAACTCGAGCTAGCGAAATATTACATGGGAATTCCCTTAGTCATCATTATAAAATAATTACATTCCCACTTGTGAACCCAAAAAGAGTGACGAGTTACAAATATTATTTTTGTTGAGCTGGGAGGACGATATGTGAGGAAGCCCTCTGCTGTACTTCAGAGTTTCCCTGTCCAGCTCTTGGGAACTCACAAAAGTAGAGCTTTTGTTGTTAATTCTGGACTGCAACATCAGTTCCGCTCCGAATATCCAATGCTTGTCTTCCAACAGAGACTATTGATGCATTGTTGGTAAAAGCAAAGGTTTTAGGAACCCCAACATACATGGAATTGAACCAGTAAAACTGCTCACTGGAAAAGCCTTCCAAGTCTCAAATTTACCAATGTCAATGGTTTATCATAATGATAATCTTTGCATTTGATATAGCGCTTTATAGCGTCTTCGAGACGTCTCAAACCACTTCACAGAATATACTGTAATGTGAATTGACTGTATAGTTTGTGGGCGAAATGAGGCAGCCAATTGCATTACAGCTGTGTCCCGCAAAAGGTCATGGATCGAAGTGACCAATATATAACAATTTTTTTTTGAAGAAAATATTACGCCCGGAAAAGTGATCCGCCAATCGACTAACAATTGGGTTCCTACTTACTGCTAGGTAAACAGAGGTGTGTGGAGTAAAGAAACTTGCCCAACATTCTGCCCTGCCGGGAATCGAACCCGGGTCTCTCGCTTGCGAGGCGAGTGCTCTAACCACTGAACTACAGGACTCCAGTCTTTTTCTCCTCCTTGAGGAATGACACCTTACACTTTGATATTTACCAGCAAAAACATCAAGAATCTCTAAGATAACTTATCCTGGATTTATCGGCCGTGCTGCTGCCTGCAAAGTGCCATTTAGAGTTTTTTTTGAAGACAGCAAGATAAAGCTACCTCTAACTGTGCTGGCTATTCTGAACTCCAAATCTGCCAATGCAGAATAGAAATGCAGGCTCTGCCTTCTTGGCATATATGGAATACATAAAAATAAAGGTCTGAGATCAAGACAACAATTTGAATTTGCTAAAGCCCATTTGACAAAAATTGGCAGAGATTGTTTTAAAAATGTGGACCCAAAGCAAGGTCACCACGATGCATTCTGGGTGTGGTATAAGACAGTGTTTTTCGAAGAAGCCTTCAGAGACATGGTCTTGGTGCCTGAAGGCTTGGACAGCAATGGCAGATTAAATGGAGTTGAAGAAAGCAGTTTTCATTATGGACCAAATCTGAGGAAAATCATCTTATGGTTAAGTATACCGGCATTGTTGTGCACTACATGATTCAGTCTTCCAGAGCGCAGGAAGTTGACTGCATAGCCAGAGGCACATAGATTCTATGGAGAACTAAGCAAGATGGCTTCAGTCTCATTTACACTCAGATGATTTTGGCTCATCTAGGTCTTTCAGGCAGTCAGAACAGCAATAGGGGTAGAACCAAGGGTTGCTATGAAGAGGTGGAGACCAATATCATATGGAAATTAAAACAGAGAGAGCTGGGAAAACGAAGGGTCGTGGACCCGAAACGTTGACTCACTTTCCTTTCTCCATAGATGCTGCCTGACCTGCTGAGTTTTTCCAGCTCTCTTTGTTTTTGTTTCAGATTTCCAGCATCTGCAGTATTTTGTGTTTTGTTCATATGGAAATTAACTTTGCCACGGGGCATTACAGAGCTGCTCTGTAAAACACTAATAAAACACACAGTGTTGTCTGTTACCTTAAAATTTAAAAAAATTAAAATAAATAATAATAATTTGGTCACTCAATCCACGACTGTTTGTGGGACATTTGACAGTAAATACTGGGATAATTTTGACAGTTCCTCCTAAGATTAGGTTCATAGCACAAATCGTGAATAGGGAATAGTCGGAGGTGAATACATAGTAGGGTATCAACACAGATTCCAGTACCCTGCCCTTAATTCAGCACTAAATTGGAAATCATAATTGCCAATCTTAGAGAAGATATAGGAAGTATTATCAGAGATGCAAAATGTCAGATTAGTCCAGTAGATTTATACCTCCCGAGATTTGAGCTGATGTGCATTATTGGAGGCTGGACAGTAACATTATTCTGTAACCAACTGCACCTGATCTGAGAGTGGTTTAATAACTGTAACAGATGCCCATGAGAAACAATCCTATTTCTCAGAACTAGCAATCCTCACTTGGACAAGCACAAGAACAATAAACAAAACAAAAAGTTTAAAAAAGTAGTAAAATGAACACTACATCTACCATTATATTGTTAAATGAGTATTATTCAGTTTGATTTTGCAAAATCAAAACCAATGGCGGCAAAGAAATGGGGAATTCAAAGAGTTTCCGACATGGTGCTTAGAATCCAGGAAGGTGCACATTTTTCATTCTGAACAGTTTAAGAGACAGCCCAAGTCTTGCAGAACAAAAAGTACAAACAATGATTCAAAGTAAACCTCTCTGTGAAAAGAAAATCTTATCAATTTTATACTTATTATCTCACACACTGTGAAACATAGAAAAAGATGATCTATCGTATCTCAGGTGTGTGTTGCTAAATCAACTGCGAGATGAGGCAATTGAGAGGGGACTTGATTATGGTGTTAAAGATTGTGAAAGAATTCAATAGGGTGGACTTTGAGAAGCTGTTTGCACTTGTTGGCAAGTCCAAAACATGGGGGCAAAAATATAAGAGCCATTAGGAGGATTAAATTGTATTACGCTGTAGTTAATTTTAGATATTTTTCTTATTCAAAACAATGAAGACAAAGCTTTTCTATTTAGGTTAGAAAGTCTTCTGAGTACACACTAATAAGAGGTCGAACAAAGCAGATAGAACCAGCTTTTGCTAAGATAGAGGGGAACCAAGAAGACAATGTTAGTGAGCAACTTGGGGGAAATAATATTAGTAAAGAAATGATTTTAGTTAAATTGTCAGGTCTTAAAACTGACAAAATCCCCTGGACCTGATGGCCTACATCCTAGGGTTTTAAAAGAGGTGGCTACTGAGATAGTGGATGGCTTGTCTTTGATCTTCCAAAATTCTCTGGATTCTGGAATGGTTCCCATTGATTGGAAGATTGCAAATGTAACACCACTATTTAAGAAGGGTGGGAGAGAAAAGTTGGGGAACTGTAGACCAGTTAGTCTGACATCAGTGGTAGGGAAAATTCTTAAGTCCTTAATTAAAGATGTCGTTATGGGATTCCTGGAAGAACATAACAAGATTAGGCAAAGTCAACATGGTTTTACAAAAGGGAAGTCATGCTTAACTAATCTTTTAGAGTTTTTTTGAAGATGTATCTAGCGGGTTATATAGGGGGGAACCAGTAGATGTAGTATATTTAGATTTTAAAAAGGCATTTGACAAAGTGCCACACAAAAGGCCGCACAAGGTTAAGGCCCACGGGATTAATGGGAACATATTAGCATGGATTGAAGAGTGGCTAACGGGTAGAAAACAGAGAGTAGGGATAACCGGGTCATTCTCGAATTGGCAGGATGTGACTTGTAGAGCGCCACAAGGATCAATGCTTGGGCCTCAGCTATTTACAATTTACATCAATGATCTAGACGAGGACATTGAATGTAACGTATCTAAATTTGTGGATGACACTAAACCAGGTGGGAGAGTAAGCTCTGAGGTGATGCAAAAAGATTGCAACAGGATATAGATAGGCAAGGGGCGTGGGCGAGTAGGTGGCAGATGGAATTTAATGTGGGGAAGTGTGAAGTTATACACCTAGGTAGAAAAAATAGAAAAACAGATTATTTTCTAGAGGGGGAAAGATTAGATAGTGTTAGTGTTCAGAGGGATTCGGGTGTCCTTGTACACCAGTCTCAGAAATTTAGCTTGCAGGTCCAGCAAACAACTAAGAAGGCGAACGGCATGTTAGCGTTCATTGCAAAAGGTTTACAGTACAAGAGTAGGGAAGTCTTGCTGTAACTGTATAGGGCCTTGGTGAGACCGCACCTAGAGTATTGTGTGCAGTTTTGGTTTCCTTATTTAAAAAAGGACATACTTGCCCGAGAGAGGGTGCAGCGTAGATTCACTCGGTTAGTTCCTGGGATGAGGGGACTGACCTATGAGGATAGGCTGAATAAACTAGGGCTGTATTCTCTAGAGTACAGAAGAATTAGGGGGGATCTTATTGAAACATATAAGATTCTTAAAGGGCTGGATAAAGTAGACACTGAGGGTCTGTTTCCCCTGGTAGGAGAATCTATAACCAGGGGTCACAGTCTTAAAATTAAGGGTCAACCTTTTAGAACAGAGTTGAGGAAACAATTCTTCACTCAGAGGGTAGGAATTCACTACTCCAGAAGGCTGTAGATGCTCAGTCCTTGAACATCTTCAAGGCTGAGACTGATAGATTTTTAAAAAATAGAGGGATTAGGGGATAGGGCAGGTAATTAGAGTTACGTCTGAAGATTAGCCATGATCTTAGCAAATGGCGAGGCAGGCTCGAGGGGCCGAATGGCCTACTCCTGCTCCTAATTCTTATGTTCTTATGTTCTAGATGTCAACTGGAAAGTGCACAGCTATGTTCCACAAACAGCCATGCAGTAAATGCCCAATTTTGTCTGGGGAATTGTTTGCCAGGACAATCTTCCTTCTCTTTTCGAATACAATAGTGCCACAGGATCTTTAATAACCACCTGAACATGCAGATGGGATCATGGTTTAACGTCTCAACTGAAAGACAGCATCTCCAATAATGCAGCACTCCACTGGGGTGTCAGGCTAGACTGTGAGCTCAAAGTCCTGATGTGGAGCTTGAATCCACAACCTTTCAACTCAGACATGAGAGTGCTACCAACTAAGACAGGCTGCCAACAGTGGAGATGACACCAACACGGAGCCTTTTGAAATCCAAATGAAATAAAGGTGCTTTTATTTTTTAAAAGAACTTCCACTTCTAATATCTGTTGGCTGTCAACTTAAGAAGAAATGCTTTCTTTGGTTGCGGTTACCTTTAAAATTAGGAATAGCTGTAGCTGAGTGTCTAAGGAATTACCACATGCATTCTTTCCTATGAGGGATTCCAATAAGAAACAGGCTTTAAAAGGAGGCAAGGTAACCTCAAATAGACAACTGCATATCTCATTTATCTAATATTGTGTTAAGTCACTATTAATGTATGCACCAGTAATGAGAGTGTGCTTGTAGCTACCCGGGTGTTGAAAAGCAATTGGATCCAAGTTGGAGAAGCTTTAGAGTCTAATGTCAGAGTTGTCTCTTAGGCACTTATTAATGAAAAATGTTTGTGTGCTGTGTTCTGGCTTCCAATGATGCCTCATGAAATGCCTGGAAGAAACAATGTCATGCAGCAAGCTGAAGTCATGTCCCACTCCTGGAATTAAACCCAAGTGAGTGGTGCGCAACACAGATTGTCTATGAGAAGATTGTCATAGCCCTCAAAAGAAATACACTGTGATGGTCCAAAACATCATCCAAGTATTGTGCTTGTAGGACTCCACTGGAAAGTCTAACAAAAAAATCTGATTTAGATGGGAGTAGAAGTGCAGGCTCATGACAATCACAATGCCATTTTAAATTGGGATTTCTCAAAACTGCAAAAAAAATGCACTTAGTTTTACTGCTTATAAAAACGAACATTGCTTGTAAGTACAATAGAAAAATAAGGAAAGTCACATGGCTCTAAAACCAGCAAACCTAAAGATCATAGTCCTGTATATAATTTTAGACATTTGTATGAATTGTCCAGTTTAGCCAAATGAGTAATGATAAAATGACCAAAATAGATCAACTGTGTATAAATATGTATGTTGCATGTGCTCAATTGATCGTGGTTGAAAACGGTGTCTGTTCTTGCAAAGCAGATTTGGATTCCAAGGAAGAGAATTATTAGGGGTGGTTGGAACTTAAAAGTAACAATAAAAAAAAGTATGAGGTAGTCATCTCATACAAATGCCCAAGAATGTATTTTAAATATACAAATCAGCCAGTGGGGTCATCACTTTACAAGCTTAATTTTTAGTTTGTGATAGAATTAAGTTTTATTAAGCTGTGCCATGGGTTAATTGTAATGTAAATGTCATACACTGCCTCAGTAATGTTTCTAAACCAGTACCTCAAGAGAGCGTTGTGACTGCAACAGCATTCCTTCTTTCCGCCATCATGTAGCTTGTTGGATTGAGTCTGCAAATTACTGCGAATTTTGAGGCAGTTTTGTGCTGAGCACTCTTGTCCATCTTGATCCCCTGTCAGCCCAGCGTTTATTCTTTAAAACACAGCATAATGAAAATGGAGCTGCATTAAAGTGATTTGTGGAAAACAGATGAGAACATCAAATAGAACGGTCAGTAAATAGCAGGCTCACAAACGAAATTCTCTGTACAGGCCATACAAAGTTATGCAGCAAAGCAAAAGTAAGAAAATTGGCACACCAGTTATTTGCATTACTTAAGTGCACCCTCTGGTGCTTTCTCAAGAGAAGCATGGACAGGGGCCGAGTGACAGATCACCAGAAGATCAACGAGAATAGGTTGAATGGTGGATAAGGAAAATCAGCTGCAATTAATTCACGAGGAGAGAAATGAAAAGGTCAGTATCCAAAATATTATGGAATAGCAAAAAGATCAAGAAGCAGATTGTGGAGATTTTCGGGTTAAGGCTGCTGAATAATGTAATATTTTAGGTAATCTACTTTTAATGGACATTTCTGCAGTATGTTTGGCAATATCCCACTTAAAATGAAAACTACTGCACAAAAGTCACTCATCTAAGTGCAAATATTTCTTAGCATATGCTAATCCCCTTATTTTTGAGGATTTAGCATAAAATATTTAACATTCTGTACTAGATTTGGAAATGTGAATAATTCCTAATAGTTCTGGTAATCACGAAATAATTACATAACTAAAGAAAATAAATTGATTCATCACAGAAAAGCTATTTATCCACTAGGTGGTGCTATTTACTAAAAACATCCTGAACTTTTTGGCAAGGAATATTTTGAACCCAAATGTAAAATTCATGCTATTCTAAAATGTTAAAAATATCAGTATAATTTTTAACTGACAAGGTATTTAGATGAATCCAACACAAACACAATATTACAGTCTTCTCAAGGACGCCTTGCATTTCATCTGAGTAATTCTTAAAAACTAAAATGAACAAGCTACAATTCTAGGTCTCATCTGTCTGTTCTGGTGAATGTCAATTATCTCGTGGCATTCTCTCAAAGAACAGGAAGTAGTTTAGGTGTCCTCCCTTATCCACACTTGCCATGAAAACTGATTATCCAGTCATTCATCTTCTTGCTATTTGTGGAACAGACTAGCTGGTGCACATACCTAACAATAACTACATTTCCGAGTAACTCATTGAGCAAAGCACGTTAAGACATTTACATATAAGGTGCTACGCTATTATTTCGCAGTGGTTGGGATAAATAAAATCCCAATGCATGGTATGAGATGAGATGGTAAGTTTCACTGTGATTTTGTGCAGCCAACCTGCTCGCTTGGCAGAGATCTGATGACCTGAGCGTTGGCCATTTTTGCTTCCTGCAAACTAAAAATATGGCAGACTTACAAATTATCAGATTGTCGATGTTGCATGTGCAAAATAGGAAGTGGCACCAGCAGTGACCTCATGACTTGGAAGATGCCTTTTTGTTCACAGGAAGCTAAAATGGCCAATATACCGATCATCAGAACTGCCGACATCACTTCCTGCTTTATGCATGTGGGCACAGAAATTGAATGGGGTCAGCATGTTGTGTATTCATGCTCCACATCAGGACTTTAAACTCGCATCCTAGCCAAACACTCCAATGCAGTGCTGGGAATGTGCTGCATTGTTGGAGATACCGTCCTTCAAATGCGATGTTAAACAACCAAGGTCCTGTCTCCCTGTTCAGCTGGACATTAAAGATCCCATGGCATTTAAAAAGATGGGAGTTTGTTCAGGCATCCAGGCCAACAATCCTACAAATAAAATTGTTCATTCACTTGATGGCTGTTTGTGGGACATTGATGTGTGCAAATTGACTGCTGCGTTCCCACACAGTCACTCCAATTTACAGTATATCCTGTGAAGCACTGACAGACATCCTCCCAATCTGAAAGTTACTATACCAAATGTAAGAATTGTTAATATCAAAAGTTTTAGATTTACTGGGAAACAAAAAAAATCAAATTGCATCTATGTGCAAAACTTTACTCCAGACACTCAAAATTGTACAATTAGATTTGGAATGCAGTTCACACACAATCCTGGAAACTCAATATTTATCTTAAACTCGTGAATTTTTTTGAAGTCACAAAAAAAACTATAATATACACTGAGGCATCTTCACTATATGTAAACATTCTAGGCTCTCTTTGTTTTACCTGACTAGTGTGGAGTTGCTGAAGAATACCAAAAATGTTTAATGACATACTTCTAGGTTGAATTTTTGGTAAATTTCAAAATGACCTTCAGGAAAAATCTTCTGTTCAGTGAAGATGCATTAAGCTCAAAGTTAACATAACCTGCACATCTAAGTGCAGTGAATTATGCAAATATTTTTGAGAGAAATAGCTTTTAATATTACCTATGTTCCACCTGTACTCCCACGTGTTTGGAGAGTTTAGTATTGCGCAAGGTTAAGAAATGTGATCAAGGCTGCAAGAACCACTGCTGGTATAATACATTACTAGCAAAGGATTGGATTTTTTTGGACACATCTAAATAATGTATGAAACAGAGGTTGCCTAACTGGTTTCCAAATACCTTATTCTTGTTTGTTCAGTAAAGTGTTATACTGTGGTACAAACAAAATTGCAACAAGAAAATAGGGGCGGGGGGGTGTGGAGGGGAGAGGGAGAAAAAGAGGGAGGGTAATTTGGAATTTCTATATAGTATCATGCTTGCTCAATCTCTGGATATATCCTGTAGATTAGTGGTTGGAACACTCGAGAGACCTGGGTTCGATTCCCGGCACGGCGAAATGTTGGGCAAATTTCCTTACTCTGCACATCTCTGTTTACCTAGCAGTAAGTAGGAACCCAGTTGTTAGTCGATTGGTGGATCAATTTTCCAGGGGAAATAATTCCTTCAGAAAAAAAAAAATTGGTCACTCACTCCACGACTGTTTGTGGGACACTGCTGTGTGCAATTGGCTACCGCATTTCGCCCACAAAATATACAAAAAAAGATTTGGTTGCAATGTCAATGTGAGGAGTACCACACCCACAATGAAAATGCCTGCTTCTCTCAGTTCCAAGAAACATAAATAATTTCCTGGTGCAATCCAGAATCCTACTGACCAGAAGAATTCTGGCTGAACATACCCAAAGATGTTGAGAATCAATCAACAAGGAAAGAAAATCTCTGGTGGCTCCAAGTAAAACTTTTTACAAATTACCTTTCTATTGCAAGTTAAACTTTCTATCATGCCCAATGCTTGGGAGGATATTTTGATTGTCTAAATCAACCCGTTAAAGAAGCTGTGTTACATTCCACAGTATAGACCACACCCTACACAATACTGTCAATGAGCAGATATTTTTCACTGGGTTCTGAACTAACTTGAAACGAGATGATCATGACTTGCTCAGGAATGAAGTGTATGGAATCACAGAAATCCGCAGCAAAGATAAATGAAGCCTAAAGCTGTGCTGGTTTGCCACTGGAGCTAACTGCTCTAATCCTCTAAATGTTCTAAGTTTTTTTTCTGTACCCTTCTATATTTTAATCCTCTAAAGTTCATCCAATTCCCGTTTAAGGGCTATGGTCTCAGTAGCCAAAGCATTCTATGTTTAATAAAACAACTCTACAACAACAACTTGCATGAATTCCCAACCCTATAAGGAGCAGCTATGCTTAAAAAAAAACAACTTCCAACTTCCCAGCAACCCTACCTGTGGCCTATATATGCGCAAAGCAGGAAGTTCCATCAACCTAATAATCCAGAAGTCATCATTCTTAGCACAAGAGAAACTAAAATGGCTAACGTCCAGATCACCAGGTATCTGTGACGTCTCTATCTGTGCAATGCACATAAAGTAGTGACCTATTGACCTGCAAGTCGGACACTTTAGCTTGCGGCCAGCTGGTGTGCAGAAAGCAAGCTGGCCAGAAAGCCAGCATGCAACTATCATTTACAAAATTCTCTGATAACATCCTTCTGCCACAGGAATACAAACTTTTGGATTTAGTTTTTAGCAGAAATAATTTTAAACAAACCTTTTGCTTCATAAGTACTGTTCCGACCACATTTATATGAGGAATAGGAACATAGGTCATTGACACAGGCCATCCAGTCCATTAAGACTGCTACATTATTCTACTGGATAGTGCCACAAAGAACCAGGGGCAAAAATGAAAAGGACTGACGAAGGAACCACTGAAATATGACTGTTCTGGTGAGATGCAGGAAACACGACTCATGGAACCCCAAATTGAGTCTGTTCTGTGTTATAAAATCACTGGGAAAGAGAGAATCCAGGAATCTAGAAATCAATATTATTTCATGCAACATGACTTCCATCAGGTTCAGTAAAAATAGCAAGTCACTAAATGGAACGGTGGTTGAGCACCAAACTCAAACAGGATTGTACTAGAATATGTCAAGGGGCTAGTGATACTTGATGGGTTCTTTTTTGTCTCTCTCGTATTTGGTATAGCACAAGGTACTATCTCAACAAAGTAGATTTCAAGCTCTGTCAAAACTGAAGTAGAGGCTTTATAAACAATATGAACTAAAACCAGCATCAGCATACTAGCCAAAGCAATCCCTCATCAAGTCCAAGATCTTTATCCATTAGCTTAACACAGCTGTATGGGAGGTGAAGTGTAATGCCTGTTAAAATAGAGGTGGAAACATATTATATTGAAAACTGCATTGGGAGACTGTCCACATCCAAATCACTTCTCTTGCAAAACGCTAGGTCAGGGATTTGAAAATGTCAATCTGGAATTTGAAGTTTTCTTACTTAGTACTCTTTTACAAATTCAAATTAACAAGGGCTAGCCTGCCTACTGTGCTCCAATTAGTTGGAGTTTGGGTGAGGTGGATGTTCGTTTGTGCAAACTGATTTAAGGCTAATGCTTTATTATGGCCTTAATTTTCCACTCAGCAGTCAGGAATTGGCCCAGACAAACACCTTGAGGAAAGAACCATGAGTAATGAGAGTCACAGCACGGTGTTGTGTTGAACAATCAAAAGAACACATTCCAGTTGCCAGTGGTATCCTTAGTAAGAACGATATATGAGGCAACTAATCTGAATATAATTGTGAATTCCTCAAACAGCCTCCTGTTCATCTAAGTTAAATGTTTCAATTAAAGGTCTACGGATCTAAGCAGCTTACAGCATTATTGGTGTGAATGAATAAATAAATGTTCGCAGTATAAAACCTTCTTACTATGAGCCCCCCCCACAGAGCAGACTTCAAAAGGAGCCTGAGCTGACACCTATACTCTTGAATTTGAGCCTGGTATTATAACTTAATCTTATCCCAGAGACGACTAACGGCCTGCTAATACTGAAATCTTAGAACCTGGTGCCAGCCTGGCTCAGTTGGTAGCCCTCTCTCCTCTGAGTCTGAAGGTTGTGGAAGTCCATGCTGACACTCCAATGCAAACTGGCTGCTGTGTTCAACCACAAAATACAGTCAACCACTTACAATATGTCCTGTGTAGTACTATAATAATAATCTTTGCATTTAGAATGGAATTTTTTTACATCAGGACGACAACAGCAGCAATTTTCATTTATATAGCCCCCCCCCTCATGCAGGGTAGTGTCCCAAAGCGCTTGACAATGGCGGAGCATGACGCCGACCCAGGGGTAGGTGACTGTAGGCACAGTCAAATAGGAAGATCTTAAGGCGCAACCTGAACAAGCGGAAGGAAGGGGCAAGGCAGAGGGATAGAAGAAGAGTGTTCCAGAGTCTCGGGCGTAGTGGCCGAAAGTGCGGCACCAATGGTGGAACGGAAGGCACGAGGGACATGCACAAGGCAGCGGGGTGTGGGGTAAGCAGGTCAAAGAGATAGGGAGGTACCAGGGCATGAAGGGATTCGAAAACGAATGTGAGGATCTTAAAATTGAGGATCTTGAAAAGAAGGGTAATCGAAAGCATGGTCGAAGATGAGGGTCTTGAGATGGGTTTGAAGGAGGCAAGGGAGGGGCGAGGTGGAGGGACTGCAAGATGGAGTTCCAGAGGGTGGTGGCACAGTGGCTGAAGGCTCGCCCGCTAATGGTGGTGCAGGCGAAGCGGGAAATGTGGAGCAGGCCAGAGCCCACTGAGCGGAGGGAGCAGGGAGGTTGGTCAGGGGTTAGGAGGTCACAGAGGTAGGGGGGAGAAAGACCGTGGAGGGTTTTGAAATTGAGGACCAGGATCTTGAACTACATCCTCTGTGTGGTTTGAAGCCAGTGGAGTCGGGCAAGGATGGAGGTGATAGGATCGCAGAGCCTGGTGCGGGAGAGGATACGGGCTGCAGAGTTCTGGATGATCTGCAGTCTATGAAGGGAGAAGTTGGGAGGTCGACAAGTAGGGCATTCATTTATTATGAAGTGGAGCGAATGAGTATTTTTGGGCGAACGACCCAAGCTTTATAGACGTCTTGACAGTGTGATAAGGTGCTATATTAAATATACGAATGGTTATTAAAATTATTATCTATAAGTGGATGGAGGAAGACTGCTAAATCATATAAAACCTTGATGTTTTCTCCCTGGATGTGTAAGGTTGTATTCAGTGCCTGAAGCAACTTCTGATGTTGGTTTGGCCACTGTCCATCTAGGACCAGAGTCTAGGCCTTTGGTCTTTTCAGAGAATATGTTTCAGAAGGAATGGATAAAAGATGTATCTTTATAAGAAGCAGTGGTAAGAAACACATGTTGTAAACATTCTGTTATTGACATGTACAAAGCTGTATGGGTATAGATTTAAACTTTGATTTGTACAAAGAAATGAGTCAACAAAATGCTATATTAAATGAAGAAATGGATACTGCCTGGTATTCCTGGTCACACTGCCAATAAAATGCAATCTCTACGATAAAAACTCAAAAAAGCAGAAAAATACTTGGGAATGTTTCCTACTGGGAAAGTATGAGGAAAGCACAGCAGCTGATGCAAAAACAGCAAAGGCAACAATTGAAGTGCTGAAGAGGTAGCGAAAACTAATGCTAGAAATGTTACCCCTTGATTTACAGTGCACAATCAAACCTGCTGAGCATTTTCATAGAACAAGTATGTCTATAAGTATGTCATATTGGGATGAAGAGTTCCAATGAAAATAGTATCTTTAATATTGCAGTTTTAGGATTAACCTCAAGATACTTTATGTTGCAATTATGTTCCAGAGATAATAGCACATGATTAGTAGGAACAGTGATGCAAGTGACACCATGTGTATTTATAACTGAAAATTACAGCATTTTTTCGAAATTGTACCAAAATATTGTAGATTTAAGTAAATATTTTCATTATAAATTACTATTCACAAATGTCACATTCAAAGCTCCAAATCTCAGATGATTAATTGTGGACCTCTTAAAGACAACAATTATTTTGTTATAATCAATCTATCCAAGATCATCTAGTGAACTTTGATAGGATGCTATTTCAATGATTGACGTATGAAAATATTATTTAATTTATATTTTATAGAAGAATTCAAGAGGGTAAATATTTAGTACACCACAAGCGCTAAGGTCAACCTATTCAGCTGCCTACCTTAATTAAACAGGAGGCAAACTGAAAACATGTTCTATACACTGCTGTATACTTACTGACTTTCTGTTTCAAGTTTTTTCTTTTTCCTGTCATTTCCACTTGCGTCGTCTTCTGTATCAGACGAACCAAGATCATCACCTACAATCAAAAAGACTAAAATTGATACTCGCGTGCAATAGTGTATGGCACTAACATCTTCGCAGTGGTGTCACTTTGACTCAGTTGGTAGCACTTTCGCTCTGGGATAAAGGTTGTGGGTTCAAGGATCATGTCGAGACTGTGAATTTAAAATCAAATCTGACACTGCAGTGTTCAGGGACACTGAAATTTCAGAAATGCTGTTCTTCTAACGAGATGTTAAACTGAGGTCCAGTCTACCTGTTCAGGTGGATGTTAAAGATTTCATGGCATTTTTTTCAAAAGAGATCTTCTAGGGTTCTGCCCAATTATCCTCCTATAAATCCCTTCATACCCTCACGCCTCCCACCTCTGCAATCTTCTCCAGCCTCACTTTTCTGTTTACCCCCTTGGCCCGGCAAACATGGGCCTATTCCATCCCACTATTGATGGTTGAGCCTTCAGCTACTATGCCTCTACCCTCTGGCTTTGTTTTTTTTTGTATAAAAAAGGAATAAAAAAGCTTAGTGCTTTTTTAACCCCTTTTTCCGAATCACATGTTCTTCCAAATCACACCACCTTCTTCCAAATCACACCTTACCCTCTAGAATTTGAAGGAGTCTCTTATCAGATAACAGTTTCAGCTGCTCCAGACACAGATTCTTAATTTCTTCCACAGAACAATTCTGCTGGAGACAAAACACAAAATATCAGTCACAAAAAATACCACTGCGTTTTGCAGGCAAATATTTTATATTCTAAATTCAAGTCACAATATATCCTTGACTGCATCTTTCAGTATGAAACTCACATTCTGCACTCCAAAAGGCATAGAAAAATACATCTCCAAACTCACAGCTGAACATCAGGCCTGTTTCATCCAATTTACACTTATTGTTCATCATCTGTTAATCATTCACAACTAATGTTCAATATCTAACCATAGCTTACAATCCTACATCAGCATTACTGTGACACTATACCAAAATAAAATATTGTCACAGTCCTGCAATACTAAAGTAATGACAGTAAAAACGTCTTGGGAGCCTTGCACCTAAATCTTATCTCTTTGAGAAAAGTCAGATATTTATAACAAACTATCAGAAACAAGTGTAAATTAGTTTCTCAGAATAGGTTTTGCAGGAAAAGGCATTCAATTTTGAAAACAAATATGAAATTTGATACTTTATTGATTTAGCAAACACTTCAACAATTGTTATGCAAGTTAGTAAAGTATTGACAAAAAAAGTATTAACATACTGTGCTTAAACATTAAGTCAATGATGGCCTTGCCGAGAAAGTTTGTTATGATAAGTTACACACGTTATTAGTTAAAAGGAAGCATAGCATTTCATTCCAGACATGGAACTCTTAGTAGTTTGGTTCAGATTTTCTTAAACATGATGATGTGTCAGACATTTGGCTGAACCAAAAAAAAAATTGAAAATGAAGAAGGCTATTTCTTACTCAACCAATTTTATTTCCCAACAGTATAAAAGATTGAAGTGGACAGGTTTACAAATGTTAAGCTGATGCATTGTTTTCTTAGGCGACGGGTGACAAAACAAAATAGTGGATACCTTTAAAATATCCGGAAGCATTTTCTGGAGCTTTCTTTCACCGATGACTCTGAAGCATTGTTCCAACATTTCTTTTCTGTCTGAGATATATGAACTGATTGGCTTCAGTACAATACTGAGATCCAAGCCACCTTCTTCCAAATCACTCGGCTCATTAATAGTTTCTTTCTCCAAAACAATTTTTCCTGCCTACAAGGATACAAAACGAACAAAGAAATAGATATCTCAAGTACATAATAAAAGATTACTGGTAAATTAAAAAATTAAAAAGCTATGGGCTTCCTCGTTCTTTAAATACAGTCCAACATTCACCGACAAATAATAAGCTAAATAAAGCACCACCTTTTCCAAACTCTGGTGCCATTTAAACAAGGTGCTCATCTGCAAGCTGAGCTGAGGATCCTATTGTGGGCACCACACCTTAACTGGAAGCAGAAGCACAACCAAGCTAAACAGAGATGTTTTCAACAAATAGAAAGCAAATAAATAATTAAAATGCATCAGGTTGAGAAGAAAATAAAGGTAGCTTTTTTTGTGTGTTCATTGAATGAGAACTTAGGAGGTACAACTTCATACAGAGGATGGAGAGACTGTGGAACTCGCTGCCTGAAGGTGCCTTGAATCGGATAGTGTAGATAAAACTCAAGAGGAAGCTAGACCTTCACAAGAGGGAAAGGGAAATAGAAGGGTTGGGAGAGAGTAAGGAGTGGGTGAAAATTCATGTGGGGTATAAACACCAGCACAGACCAGTTGGGCTGTGTGGCCCACTTCTATGCTGTACATTCTTTGCACATTACAAAGAATGTTTTGTAAATGGTCTCAGCAAACGGTTTCTCCTCCAGCACTCGTCTGATCATTTGCGGGGTACCCCAAGGCTCCATTCTTGGCTCCCTTCTTTTCATCATTTACATGATCGCTCTCAGCGATAACATCCACAGACATGATGTCAACTTCCACATGTATGTGGATGACACCCAAATCTACTTCTCATTCTCCAGCTGCGACTCCCAGTTTGCTGATGTTCTGTCTGCTTGTCTGTCGGACATCAAGGCCTGGATGCACGCAAGTGTCCTGCAGCTGAATGTCGGCAAGAGGGAAGCCATACTCTTTGGCTTCCGTCAATGTCTTCTTTCCTGCGGGTCAAAACTCCTCAACCTCCCCAGGCTCTCCCTCAGACTCACCAAACCTGTGCTCAATTTAGGCGTCAGATTCGATCCACAGCTTTCCTTTCTCCCCCACATCCGTTCCCTGACCAGGATCGCTTTTTTCCACCTCCGCCACATTGCCCGCCTCTGTCCATATCTTACACCCACAGCAGCCAAAACCCTTGTCCACACTTTGTCACTTCCCGGCTGGACTATTCCAATGCCCTCCTCGATGGTCTCCCGAGTTCCACCATACGCAAAATTCAATTAATTCAGAACTCCGCCGCCTGAATACTCACCCGCACAAACCTCCGAACCCCCATCACACCAGCCCTTGCCAGGCTGCACCGGCTCCCAATTACCAAACGGATTGATTTCAAGATCCTCTCACTCATTTTCAAATCTCTTCATGTCCTCTCATCTCCAACCTATCCGATTTGCTTATTCCCCCCCACCACTGCCTCCTGCCGGCCAGCTCCGGCCCGCTGGTCATCCATCGCCCCCTCCACCATCGGCTGCCGTGCTCTCGCCACTACACCCTGAAGCTATGGAACTCCCTCTCTCAATTCCTCCCCCACCCACCTTCAAATCACGCCTCAAGACCTTCCTTTTTGACTGTGCTTACGTTCACCTCCCCTCTCCGACTCCACCACTGTCAAGCGCTCTGGGACACTATCCCGCGTGAAGGGCGCTTTATAAATGCAAGTTGTTGTTGTGGTTTATCATGCTCTTTGATTCTACAAGTATCATAGGCAATGGGTGTTAGTGTGTGTGTGTGTGTGTGGATGGGTGGGGTTGGTGTGGGGGGTGGAAATGTTTGTATGTGTTGGTGTCTTAGCGTTGGTGTGTGTTGGGTGGGGGGGCCCTACTGTTGGTGTGTGTGGGGGTATTAGTTTTGATGTGTGTGTGTGAGGGGGGTGTTAGTGTGGTGTTAAGTTGTGGGGCGGGGGGGGGGGTGTTGGGGAGAAGGTGTTTGGGGGAGGGCGCTCTATGTGGAATTGTGAGGGAGGTGTGTGTGGGGGGAGCTGTATGTGGAGGTGTGTGTGTTGATGGGTGGAGCTAAATGTGGAGGGGGACTGAAAGTGGAGGTGTGTGGGGGGTGTGATGTACGTGAAAGTGTTTGTGTGTGTGAGGGGGGTGTATATGAAGGTGTGTGTGTGGGGGAGGTGTATATGGAGGTGTGTGTGTGGGGGTGTATATGGAGGTGTGTGTGGGGGGGGTGTATATGGAGGTGTGTGTGGGGGGGGGTATATGGAGGTGTGTGCGTGGGGGGGTGTATGGAGGTGTGTGTGTTTGTGGGGGTGTATATGGAGGTGTGTGTGGGGGTGTATATGGAGGTGTGTGTGGGGGTGTATATGGAGGTGTGTGTGTATATGGAGGTGTGTGTGTGTGTGGGGGGGTATATGGAGGTGTGTGTGTTTGTGGGGGTGTATATGGAGGTGTGTGTGGGGGTGTATATGGAGGTGTGTGTGTATATGGAGGTGTGTGTGTGTGTGGGGGTGTATATGGAGGTGTGTGTGTATATGGAGGTGTGTGTGTGTGGGGGGGGGTATATGGAGGTGTGTGTGTGGGCGGGTATATGGAGGTGTGTGTGTGGGTGGGGGGGGGTGTATATGAAGGTGTGTGTGTGGGGGGGTATGTGGAGGTGTGTGTGTTTGTGGGGGGTGTATATGGAGATGTGTGTGTGTGTGTTCATGGCTCCGGTCTGCTCCACATCCCCCGCCCCAACCGCCCTACCATCGGTGGTCGGGCCTTCAGCCTCTCAGCCCGAGGCTCTGGAACTCCATCCCCCAGTGCCTTCGCCGCCTCCTCCCTTTCCTCCTTCAAGGCCGGTCTCAAGACCTTTCTCTTTGACCGTGCCTTCAGCTCCCCTCTCGACTCTCTACCCCCTCCTCGCTCCCTCCCTTCCCTCCCCTCACCCTCACCATTTCCCCCTTGCTCGGGTCATGACCCAACTGTGCAGCGCCTTGGGACGTCCTCCCGAGTGAAAGGCGCTCTATAAATGGAATCTTGTTGTTGTTGTGTGGGGTGTATATGGAGGTGTGTGTGGGGTGTATATGGAGGTGTGTGTGGGGGGGTATATGGAGGTGTATATGGAGGTGTGGGGGGGTAATTGGAGGTGTATATGGAGGTGTGTGGGGGGGTATATGGAGGTGTATATGGAGGTGTGTGGTGTGTGTGTGGGGGGGGGGTGTATGTGGGGTGTGTGGGGGGTGTATATGGAGGTGTGTGTCCGGGTGTATATGGAGGTGTGTGTGGGGGTGTATATGGAGGTGTATATGGAGGTGTGTGTGGGGGGGAGGTGTATATGGAGGTGTGTGTGGGGGTGTATATGGAGGTGTATATGGAGGTGTGTGTGGGGGTGTATATGGAGGTGCGTGGGGGGGGGGAGGTGTATATGGAGGTGTGTGTGGGGGGTATATGGAGGTGTGTGTGGGGGGGTATATGGAGGTGTGTGTGGAGGTGTGTGTGGGGGGGTATATGGAGGTGTATATGGAGGTGTGTGTGGGGGTATATGGAGGTGTATATGGAGGTGTATATGGAGGTGTGTGTGGGGGGTATATGGAGGTGTATATGGAGATGTGTGTGGGGGTGTATATGGAGGTGTATATGGAGGTGTGTGTGGGGGGTATATGGAGGTGTGTGTGGGGGTATATGGAGGTGTGTGTGTGGGGGTATATGGAGGTGTATATGGAGATGTGTGTGGGGGTGTATATGGAGGTGTATATGGAGGTGTGTGTGGGGGGGTATATGGAGGTGTATATGGAGGTGTGTGTGGGGGTATATGGAGGTGTGTGTGGGGCGGTATATGGAGGTGTGTGTGGGGGGTATATGGAGGTGTGTGTGGAGGTGTGTGTGGGGGGTATATGGAGGTGTATATGGAGGTGTGTGTGGGGGTATATGGAGGTGTATATGGAGGTGTGTGTGGGGGTATATGGAGGTGTGTGTGGGGGGGTATATGGAGGTGTATATGGAGGTGTGTGTGGGGGTATATGGAGGTGTATATGGAGGTGTGTGGGGGGGGTATATGGAGGTGTGTGTGGGGGGTATATGGAGGTGTGTGTGGGGTATATGGAGGTGTGTGTGGGGGTATATGGAGGTGTGTATGTGGGGGTATATGGAGGTGTGTGGGGGGTATATGGAGGTGTGTGTGGGGGTATATGGAGGTGTGTGTGGGGGTATATGGAGGTGTATATGGAGGTGTGTGTGGGGGTATATGGAGGTGTGTGTGGGGTATATGGAGGTGTATATGGAGGTGTGTGGGGGGGGGTATATGGAGGTGTGTGTGGGGGTATATGGAGGTGTGTGTGGGGGTATATGGAGGTGTGTATGGAGGTGTGTGTGGGGGTATATGGAGGTGTGTGTGGGGGTATATGGAGGTGTGTGTGGGGGTATATGGAGGTGTGTGTGGGGGTATATGGAGGTGTGTGTGGGGGTATATGGAGGTGTGTGTGGGGGTATATGGAGGTGTGTGTGGGGGTATATGGAGGTGTGTGTGGGGGTATATGGAGGTGTGTGTGGGGGTATATGGAGGTGTGTGTGGGGGTATATGGAGGTGTGTGTGTGGGGTATATGGAGGTGTATATGGAGGTGTGTGTGTGGGGGTATATGGAGGTGTGTGTGGAGGTGTGTGTGTGGGGGTATATGGAGGTGTATATGGAGGTGTGTGTGTGGGGGTATATGGAGGTGTGTGTGGGGGGTATATGGAGGTGTATATGGAGGTGTGTGGGGGGTATATGGAGGTGTGTGTGGGGGTATATGGAGGTGTGTGTGGGGGTATATGGAGGTGTGTGTGGGGGGTATATGGAGGTGTGTGTGGGGGGTATATGGAGGTGTATATGGAGGTGTGTGTGGGGGGGTATATGGAGGTGTGTGTGTGGGGGTATATGAAGGTGTGTGTGGAGGTGTGTGTGGGGGGGTATATGGAGGTGTATATGGAGGTGTGTGGGGGGTATATGGAGGTGTTTGGGTGTATATGGAGGTGTATGTGGGGGTATATGGAGGTGTGTGTGGGGGTATATGGAGGTGTGTGTGGGGGTATATGGAGGTGTATATGGAGGTGTGTGTGGGGGGGTATATGGAGGTGTGTGTGTGGGGGGTATATGGAGGTGTGTGTAGAGGTGTGTGTGGGGGGGTATATGGAGGTGTATATGGAGGTGTGTGGGGGTATATGGAGGTGTATATGGAGGTGTGTGTGGGGGTATATGGAGGTGTATATGGAGGTGTGTGTGGGGGTATATGGAGGTGTATATGGAGGTGTGTGTGGGGGTGTATATGGAGGTGTATATGGAGGTGTGTGTGGGGGTATATGGAGGTGTGTGTGGGGGTATATGGAGGTGTATATGGAGGTGTGTGTGGGGGTGTATATGGAGGTGTATATGGAGGTGTGTGTGGGGGTATATGGAGGTGTGTGTGGGGGTATATGGAGGTGTGTGTGGGGGTATATGGAGGTGTGTGTGGGGGTATATGGAGGTGTGTGTGGGGGTATATGGAGGTGTGTGTGGGGTATATGGAGGTGTGTGTGGGGTATATGGAGGTGTGTGTGGGGGTATATGGAGGTGTGTGTGGGGGTATATGGAGGTGTGTGTGGGGGTATATGGAGGTGTGTGTGGGGGTATATGGAGGTGTGTGTGGGGGTATATGGAGGTGTGTGTGGGGGTATATGGAGGTGTATATGGAGGTGTCGGGGGGTAATGTGGTGTTGTCGGCGCTGCTCTGACCTCGGCGCCGCTGGTGATGTTTCTGCCGGTGGTGGCGGTGGTGTTGGCGGCGCTCGAGTCGGAGCTGTTCCTCTTCCTGTCGCTGTGGCTCTCCTGACTGTGAGGCCGCTTACGCCTCTTGTCTTTGGCCGACTTCTTGCCCGCCATGGCCTGAGCTGGCGGGGTGGGGGCTGGCTCCACCACCGCCCGCACGTCACTTCCTTGACGACCGGAGTCTGAAGTCACGTGCACCGGAAGTGACGGAATTGTTTCTGTGGCAACGGGGGAACCACGGGCCTGAGCGGGGGCCCAGAGGCCGCGGACACCCCTCACCTCTCGGCCATTGCAGATGTCACCCGGGAAACGGCATATCCCTCCAGCGGGGCTATGGGAGCCGAGTTCCTGGAGCAAATGAGGCGCAGGTTGACGAGAGCCAAACGTCGAGGAGCCCCTCGGCTCCTGACGTGTGGAGCACTGCTGGAATCTTACTGGAAGGGGCGAAATCTTGGGCGGGTTTCCTCACTCCACTCCACTCGCCTCTGTTTACCTCAGTAGGAACCCGGTTGGTCGTTGATTGGCGGATCACTTTCAGGGGATAGTAATCCCTTCCAAAAATGTCTGAATTGGTCACTCAATCCGAGGCTGTTTCTCCACTGAGTCTCTGTCCAGTTGGGGTGTGGGGTGGGGCGGTCAGTCAGTCAGTCCGGGCACCGCTGTGTTTCACTTACAAAATACAATCCATTCCCTTTGCAGTATTGTTCTGTGAGGCACTTCAATCCGTATCTTTGTCACCTCTCGGTTGGACTACTCCCAACGCCCTCCTCCCCGGTCTCCCATCCACTACTATCCATAAAATCCAAATCATTCAGAACTCTGCCGCCCGCATCCTCACCCGCACCAAACTCCGCTCCCCGATCACCCCAGTCCTCGCCAGACTGCACTGGCTGCCTGTCCCAGAGAGGATCGACTTCAAGATCCTCACCCTTGTCTGTAAATCCCTCCACTCCTCTGCACCTCCTGACCTCTCTGACCTCCTCTCTCCTCAAAACAGTACCCGTTGCCTTTGTTACTCCGGGTCTGGCCTCCTCGTCCCCCGAGTCCTCCGCTCCACCCTCGGCGGCAGTGCCTTCAGTGGAGTCCTGTAGCTCAGTGGTTAGAGCATTCGCTTTGCAAGTGAGAGACCTGAGTTCAATTCCAGGCAGGGCGAAACCTTGGGCAAGTTTCCTTACTCCACACAGAGCCTAATAATAATTCCTCCAAAACCAAAAATAATAATAAATTGGTCATTTTCAATCTATGACTGTTTGTGGGACATTGCTGTGCGCAATTGGCTGCCGCGTTCACCCACAAATATACAGTCAATTCACTTTACAGTATATTCTGTGAAGCGCTTTGGGACGTCCTCCCGACGTGAAAAGCGCTATATCAAATGCAAAGATTATTATTATTATTATTATTACTATGCCCCGAGGCTCAGGAATTCCCTTCCTCACTCCCTTCGCCTCACTCCCTCTCTTCCTACTTTCAGGTCCCTGCTGAAGACCTTTCTTTTCGATCGCGCTTTTGGTCACCTCCCTCCCCTTCCCCCTGGCTCGGCCCCGGGATTCGTTACTCTGAAGCGCTCAAGATGCCGTCTGGCGTGGAGGCGCTATATAAATCCAAGTTGTTGTAGTTGTATCAAAGACATGATAAGGCACTATCAAATGCGAGGTTTATTATTATTATACCATCGAGAAAGTGGAAAATGCCCAGCAAGTTCCCAGCTGCTTCTCTAGCCCTGACTAACCTATCCATTCGTGCTTCCAAGATAACAGGAATCAAGTGGAAAGAAACCCTGCCCCACCCCCCAACTTGACAGAGATGCAGAAGAGAAAAAGAGAAACTCCCATCTCATTTCACCTAATGCCATGTGATTTGCAAAATCCATTATCACCTTACAATAGAGTGACCAGACGTCCCAGGTTCCCAGCGACAGTCCCGGGATGAGATATTGTGTACCTGGCCAAATTTGCCCTACAACAATAATAGTAAGCCTTGCATTTGTTATTGTGCTTTTCACGACTTCCGGACGTATCAAAGCGTTTCACAGAATATACTGCAAAGTGAATTGACTATATTTGTGGGCGAAGCACAGAAATCAATTGTGCTCAGCAGTGTCCCACAAACTGCTGTGGATTGAGTGACCAAATACATTTTTTTTTGAAGGATTATTATCCCAGGAAAAGTGATCCTCCAATCAACTTACAACCGGGTTCCTACTTTCTGCTAGGTAAAAAGGTGTGTGGAGTAAGAAAACTTGCCCAACATTTTGCCCTGCCGGGAATAGAACCCAGGTCTCTCGCTTGCAAGGCAAGTGCTCTAACCACTGACCACTTGAGTTCAGCAACAAACTGAACAACAACAATTCTAAAACAGATACACTCTTCAGAGAAATACAGCCATTAATCCAACAAGCTTCTCCAGTGCTGCCATTATAAGGAATTGTGGCAATTTTCTGTATATTCATCCTCAGATTTGAATAACAAAATATGGTCACCTTACCTTATGATTCAAGAACTGCTGTAATCTGAACTAAATTGTCAGAAACAATTGGATGTTTCCTGCAGCAACAGAATATTGTTTTTGATGCAGATGAGAGATAAAACAATTTACATCCAAAAATTTTGGAAATAGGAAATCTGTAGAAATAATGCAGCATCATGCATTAATCTCTTGTGCCAAATATCCTTCTCCGAATTCAACCTGTATTTTAATCCCTAATTGCAAATTGCATTAATTGAGAACAATTATAATAATTTTTACATTGACTTATCACATTTCACGTTTCAGGTGGACCTCCCAAAGCACTTCATAGGACATACTGTAAAATGCAGTGATAATACAATACAAATTGCATTTGTGTAGCACCTTTCACATCAGGACATCCCAAGGCGCTGGACAGTGAGGGATTTGGACCCGAGCTGGGGGGTCGGGATCGCGGAGGGTGAAGGGTGGGTGGGAAAGGTGGGTGATTGAAGGCATGGTCGAAGAGGAAGGGTCTTGAGACGTGTCTTAAAGGAGACAAGGGAGGGAGCAAGGCAAAGGGAATGTGGGATGGAGCAGGGCATAACCTGCTGAGAGGAGGTAGCGGGCAGATTGATATGGGGTCAGCAGGTCACAGAGGTAGGGAGGGGCAAGGTCTTGGAGGACCTTGAAGGTGAGGACAAGGATTTTTAACTTTATCCTCTGGGGAATGGGAAGCCAGGTGAGGGTGGGGGTGATGGGGTCACGGAGCCTGGTGCGGGAGAGGACAGGAGCTGCAGAGTTCTGGATGATCTGCAGCTTGTGGAGGGAAGAGTTGGGAAGGCCGACGATCAGGGAGTTGCCGTAGTCGAGTTAAGCATCAAGAACTTGAATAGTGCAATATAACTACAATGATTTGTTTTAGTCAAATCGTACATTTTTTTAAATTTTCTAAAATCTTAAGACGATGAGTTTAAGGCTAAAACCGTGATATTTGGGGTCGAAAGTCTTTTCATACTGGGCAGGAAATGCAGTATTGACAAGCTGGGTTGAATGGTCAGTTTCTTTCCAGCAACATTCTATTGAACGATCCACCAGTAGTGCACACTTTCACCTGTCCCAGTCTGAAACCTGCCATATTTTCACACACTGTAACTATAATCTTAGTATATGCTTAAGTGAGAAGCTGAACTTTTATGTGACCTCAAATAATTAACTCGAGAAAATAAATGTACATTTTAATATTATTTGTTAAGCATATTCGCCCACAAATATACAGTCAATTCACTTTACAGTGTGTTCTGTGAAGCGCTTTGGGACGTCCTCCCGACGTGAAAAGCGCTATATCAAATGCAAGGATTATTTATTATTATTTTATTATATTATCAGTAATTCTCTAATATCTCTGGTTCCTTTTATGTTTCCTTGATCTATTGTAACTATTAATTTAAAATGGGATTCTTAATGCACATTAAAATAACAGACTACTTCTTCCTGACACCAGACCTACATTTTTACAACACATTTATCATAAAAAGCATTTTATATTTAAAAATAATAAATACTTATTACATTAAAAAACACTTGCCTCCCCCTCCAACTCTCTTCCTGTCGGTACTACCATAAACACTTACAGTGAGATAATACAATACTTAGAACAGGTATTAACATCAATATTTATACAGTAAAAGCAGAAAGAACCAGTAAATAGGCTCTATTTAGGAGGTTTTTTCTACTTTTACTCTACAATTATTACTAAATATGGGACATGGGGGGAAGGAGATTTCAAACAGGAAGAAACCTTTCACCTGAAAACCTTCCCCGCACAAAGCTGTGCACATGCGTTGCTGGGTTCTCTCCCAGCCTCATGTCGTGCGCCTTAGCCCCGACCTGCGCTGCGCTTTCATCTTGTTTCTCCATTGCAAATGGCACTCTCTTTCTCACATGCATCCCAGCAACTTAAAAAGTTGGCAACTGGCCAGGCCGCTTAAAAAACAGGCAGGTGGAAACCCTAACATGTCCCTGATAATCTTGTTGCGCCCCAGTTTGAAAACCAATGGTCTAGCTGCTAGCATACCCATGACACGTAGAAATATCCCAGTTAAAAACCCCTGCACCATACAATAGGTTCTCAGTTGCTGGCAAAGTACTGGTCTATGAGCTTAAACCTATTATGTTTGTGTAAAGTTATGTGATATAAAGGATCAAAGTAGTTCTGGAATCATTCAACTCAACATTGTGTAAAAGGAAAATCTGAACATTGGCAGAGGATATTTTTTAAAAAATGAAAAGCTAATCAATGAAATCACCAAACAGAAAGACATTGAAACACAATCAACAAATGTGCAAAACATTTATTATTTTATTTATATATCCTAGTGTTTTTTCTGCAAGTTCCACTATGAGAATCAAACACTCCAAGATTTTTTTGCTTTACCATACTTATGTCAGGATATTACAGAACAATGCCATCAAAACTGATATCATTTAACTGTATCATGTGAAAAGCTCTTGTTGCAATAGTGGGTAATTACAGCATATTCAGAACAAACCTACAGCAATCACCAACTTTAGATGGATCTGAAATGGAAGAATACTTTCGGATCTGTGAAACAACTCCCAGAGATTGAGCCAATTGCAAAGCACTAGGATCATGGCTTATAATTGTCCCAAGGGCCACAAGAGCTCTGAAAATAGCTTCGGGATCTTGGAGGACTTCCATGGCAGTGCTGATAATAGATAAACAATGTGCTTTACCTTCAATATCATTTCCTGCATGCAGAATTACTGCATAATTTAGTATCAAAGTAGCCAGTGCAATGTGAATGTTCTTGTTGCTAGCTCCTCTCATTTCAATTGCTTGAGAAAGTACCGTTTCCCTTAAGGACATCATGAGCTTTGAACCATGCGACCCGCTAGCAAAACAGTTGCAGACAGTTCGGAGAATAAGCATTTGATTTGCTGGTTTTCCCTGCAGGTTTATTTTGTTTAAGAGGTAGTTGCTGAACTGTGTCCTGTAGTTTTCACTGCAGAAGTGCTCATTTACTGCTGGGTGTTTCACAGCTAGACGAAGAATATCCAGTACAGGAAACAAAATATCTAGGATGGGTAAAAATATAATGAAAGTTAACTTTTTTATTTTAATAGCAGACTATTGTAATATTAAGCTATTAAAAGCACAGGTTTAAGAGAGAATCAATAGTTACACAAATTAAACATGTGAACAATGCAAGAAGAATCTTAAGTGTTGACAGTCTAAGTTGAATGAGATAATAATAATCCTTGCATTTATCGCTTTTCACAATTTCTAGACGTCCCTAAGTGATTTACAGAATATACTGTAAAGTGAATTGACTGTATATTTGTGGGGAAACGCGGCAGCCAATTGTGCACAGCAGTGTCCCCAAAACAGTCTTGGATTGACCATAAGAAATAGGAGCAGGAGTAGGCCATTCGGCCCCTCGAGCCTGCCCAGCTATTCAATAAAATCATGGCTGATCTTCTAACCTAACTCCATCTGCCCGTCTTAGACCCATATCCCTTAATCCCTCAGCCTTGAATATCATCTCAGTATTGATTATGTTCAAGGACTGAGCATCTACAGCCTTCTGAGTTAGACAATTCCATAAATTCACTACCCTTTGAGTGAAGAAGTTTCCTCAACTCTGTTTGAAAAGGCTGACCCTTAAGTGAAGAAATGTTTCCTTAATTCAGTTCGAAAAGGTTGACCCTTAACCTTGAGACTATGACCTCTAGTTTTAGATTCTCCAACCAGGGGAAACAGTCTCATGGCATCTACCCTGTCAAGACCCTTAAGAATCTTATATGTTTCTATCAGATCACCTCTAATTCTTCTATATTCTAGAGAATATAGGCCTGGTTTACTCAACCTATCCTCATAGGTCAAGCCGCTCATCCCAGGAACCAACCTAGTGAATCTACGCTGCACCCGCTCTAAGGCGAGTATGTCCTTTCTTAAATAAGGAGACCAAAACTGCACACAATATTCCAGGTACGGCTCACCAAGGCCTTATACAACTGCATCAAGATTTCTCTACTCTTGTACTCTAACCCTTTTGCAAACGAACGCCAACATTGCATTAGCCGTCCTAGTTGCTTGCTTTACCTACATACTAACTTTTTGTGACTGGTATACAAGGACACCCAAATCCCTCTGAACACTAACACTACCTAGTCTCTCCCTCTCTAGAAAATAATCCTCTTTTCTATTTTTACAACCTTGGTGAATAATTTCACACTTCCACATGTTATACTCCATCTGCCACCTTCTTGCCTACTCATCTTGCCTGTCTATTTCCCTTTGCATTCTTTGTGTGACATCCTCACAGCTTACTCTCCCACCTATCTTCATATCATCTGCGAATTTAAATATGTTAAGTTCTGTTTCCTCATCTAAATCATTGATATACTGTAAATAATTGAGGCCTTGTGGCACTCCACTTGTCACATCCTGCCAATCTGAGAAGGACCCATTTATCTCTACTCTTTGTTTTCTTTCTGTTAGCCATTCTCCAATCCATGCTAATATATTACCTTCAATTCCATGGGCTCTAATCTTAATTGGCACCTTGTTGAATGCCTTCTGGAAACCCCAATACACCACATCTACTGGTTCCCCCCTATGTAACCTGATAGTCACATCCTCAAAAAACTCTATCAGATTGGTTAAACATGATTTCCCTTTCGTAAAGCCATGTTGACTGCCCCTAATCATGTTATGATTTTCTAAGTACCCCAGGATGACGTCCCTAATTAAGGACTCAAGAATTTTCCCTACCACCGATGTCAGACTAACTGGTCTATAGTTCCCCATTTTTTGTCTCACACCCTTCTTAAATATTGGGTTATGTTTGTGACCTTCCAATCACTGGGAACCATTTCAGAATGCAGGGAATTTTGGAAGATCAAAAACAAAGCATCCACTATCTCTGCAGTCACCTCTTTTAAAACCCTAGGATGCAGACCATCAGGTTCAGGGGATTGATTGGTTTTTAATCCTATCAATTTCTCTAGATTGAGTGACCAAATCATTATTGTTTTTCTTGAGGGATTATTATCCCCGGAAAAGCAATCCGCCAATCGACAAACAACCAGGTTCCTACTTACTGCCTCGGTAAACAGAGGCGTGTGGAGTAAGGAAACTTGCCCAACATTTTACCTTGCCGAGAATAGAATCCAGGTCTCTCGCTTGCAAGGCAAGTGCTCTAACCACTAAGCTACAGGACTCCACTATTGATATTGTAAAAGCATATCAAAAGGTCATAACTTACCTATAAAATTACTTCAAAACTGTGCCATATTAGTCACACGTGGAATACATATTTTGAATGGCAATTACTATAATGCTGGTCATTGTAGTGCAATGATAGGATAGTGTTGTAAAGTAAAACACTAATTAACCTATGTCACCGATTAAACTTCCTCCCGTTCTTCCCCACTTCCCATAATCCCAAAACAACAACAACATTTCATTTATAGAGCGCCTTTCACGTCGGGAGGACGTCCCAAGGCGCTGGACAGTTGGGTCAGGACCCGAGCAGGGGGGAAATGGTGAGGGGAGGGAAGGGAGGGAGTGAGGAGGGGGCAGAGAGTCGAGAGGGGAGCTGAAGGCACGGTCAAAGAGAAAGGTCTTGAGACTGGCCTTGAAGGAGGAAAGGGAGGAGGCGGCGAAGGCACTGGGGGATGGAGTTCCAGAGCCTAGGGGCTGAGAGGCTGAAGGCCCGGCCACCGATGGTAGGGCGGTTGGGGCGGGGGATGTGGAGCAGACCGGAGCCAGAGGAACATCAGTTGTTGAAACTCCGGGAGGCATTCTGTGCCAAACATGCTATGTTCCAGAAGGTACTCCAAGAGGGCAGGTAAGTAGTGGGATAGTAGGTCGGAGAGGTAGGAGGGAGCAAGGCCATGAATGGCCTTGTAGGTGAGGATGAGGATCTTGAATTCAATCCTCTGGGGGATGGGGATCCAGTGGAGGCGAGCGAGGGTGGGAGTGATGTGGTCCCGAAGCCTGGTGCGGGACAGTACACGAGCTGCAGAGTTCTGAATGACCTGCAGCTTGTGGAGGGAGGTGCCGGGAAGGTCGGCGAAGAGAGAGTTCAATTAAATTGACTAACCTAAACTATCCAGTATTTCTGAAAATCTCCAAGCACTGCCACATTCTGCAATAACTAAATGCAGTGCAACTAGTAGGAATATAGCATTCTGTCAAAATAGCATCATACAGTCAGACTTCAGTTATAACACAATGGTTTGGATCTATAAATCAGATCATATGTTAACTGGTTACAGAATAGAACAGCTCGCAGTAGTGCATCTGGGTTAGCAGGATGCACTCACATCGCCAAACCGCATTGCTGGCATTTACATCAGTTGCTGAAACTCCAGGAGGCGTTCTGTGCCAAACATGCTATGTTCCAGAAGGTACTCCAAGACACCAACCTGGTGGAGGGATACTATATAAATGCAAGATGTTGTATTGCATCTCTTCTATACGTGCACCCACGCTATTTATAGAGATTGCTATCAAAAGTAAGTAGTGGCAAATGTAACTGCAAACAGATAAAGGTGTTCTAATTCCTTTTCGGAAAAAATTCCAAAATGCTTAGTACTCTACAAAGGCAATGAGAACACTTTAACTTCTCATACCGACGACTAGCTTTAGAATCCCTGAAATTCTTTTTTTTAATATTTGGGAAATTTTGTGTTATTATTTTATCCATTAAAAAAATTACATTTACATTAATAAAATACTTCAAATGACTGTTGTCCAATTCCTGCAAAGCAAAAACCTTCCTAGGGAAGAACGTCTCTTTTAAGGGAAGTTGGGAGGGGAAAGCCCGGAGGTCAGTGCTCCGATCAGCACCTCGCTTATCTCCTCAGCACCCGCCCATTTCCAGTCCAGCAGGCTGTTTGTCAGGGCATCCTCGCTTGTGACCAGCCAATGGTAAGTCAAGTCTTAAAGGGCTTACTTTTTTTGTTTTATTTAGTTTTATACATAGATTTGTTTTATTAGGCATTATTTCATATTTACAAAGAAAACAGGCTCTATATATACTTAAAGTGATTCCCCAATCTGTTAATTACTCTCTAGAAATAAAATACAAGATGACTAGCAAAAAAAACTCTAAAGGTTTGCATCCTTAATCACACTGAGCTGTATTCATCGAATATGATAACCTCATTCTTGCAAATGATTTGAGAATCCTAATAACCTCACTAATAACCTCAAATCAAAACATCAACATTTAAAACAAAAATTCATAGACACCTATGCCAGGAATTAAGGTTTTATTTCCTTATTTTCTTTTAAATGTCTAGAAAGACCTTCAAACAATCAAATTTAACTTGAATAATCCAAACTCATCTAGTCATCTGCTTACCTTCAGGCCACTGGGCAGCTTTCCATAAAACATCCAACTGCTGTGTAGTAGGAGTCTCAAGAGTTGAAGGATTAGATATGATGGAAAGTAACTTCTCAAGCATTTGCAGATCATCTGAAGACAACTTTTGTTCAGCTAATGTGTTTTCATTCAGTTCCATTACCTTTCCTGCAACAAATTTTGTTTTAAAAAGAATCACATGAAAACTCTGCATTTATTCCATTTTTATCAGATACAACATCACAGATCAAATGCAACAATTGTGTCATTTGATAAACAACAATTTGAACAACACAGAACAATTCCATCTACCAAGCTTCTTTCAAGGTAATAAAATTGAAAATGTATATTTTGACTTCACAAAATAAAATTAATGTTTGAAAGCTAATTCTTCCATTCTCAGCTTGGTATTATACTTCAGGCTTGTGGCCCTTCAACTGCCAATTAACATGGATGCTGGCTTTTCAGTAAACAAAATCTGACTGTCAGTTGAAGACTGTAATCGACAAATTCAATGACATAAGGCCATCTTCACAGCCTTCGGTATTTGAGAATGTGGATGAGCAAAAGAAGGAGAATTTTTGTGTGACATGTACATCTGTTTCCATTCAATTACCAAATTGCTTGCTAAATTGACTACAATAGATAAATAATAATCCTTACATTACTGCAGCGCCTTACCATGTCATTGAGACGTCTCAAAGCGCTTCACAGAATATATTGTAAAGAGGACTGACTGTATTTTGTGGGCGAAACACAGCAGAAACATTTTGTGGAAAGCTGACCTGTAGCTTTGTAGCTATTACTGCCACATATTGCTACAAAAATAATCTCTTCTGGAAGTAAACGAATGAACCAAGGCAGATTTTGTCACAAAAACAGATTAGCTTACCCATTATCTGGGTTACGTTTCCCTGTCCAAATATGACAGGATCTTTTTTGGGAAAGTAAGGATTACTGGGTTGTGCTTGTCCATCAGCAGAAACATAAGCATTTCCTCCTAGGGGAAAGAAGAAAAATACAATGTAAGATTATAAAATACAAAAACAGTTTGCATATTTTACTAGCATTGCTATTAGAAATCAATGGTTTTGAGCTATTGGTCCAAGATGAAATACATAAAAATATCTTGAAAAAATAATGCGACATTAACCACTTCTATGTTATGAGTCTTGGAATCAGAAAACCTCCACCAGACTGTGCTAAAACTTTTCAAAGCATCTCATGGTAATTATTGTCAAACATAGTGACTTGACTATATTTGTAGAAAAAAGCAGCAGCCATTTATGCCAGCGAGTTCCCACAAACAGCCATAATCAATCTATCTGCAACATTGCTGATCTGAAAATTGTTAACTAGGACACTCGTACTTTGTTGTAACAGTCTCTTCAATACTCACCCAAAAGAGGCTCACACACGCGCACACAGAGACGCAAGAGAATCACAAGAGAGATTGGAGAGAAAAAAAAGGGATTTCCTTCACTTCCCTTCCCCCTCCCCCAGTCTGTCTCCCTTTTGATTCCCCCCATCCCCCCAAAAAAACCACTAGAGAAATTATTTTGTTTTTATATTCCTTGCACTTCTCAAATTCTACCTGTAAAAGGATCACCTCCTGCAGAAGGGACCAAGCCAGAAGAGCCAGGAACATATCGACCAGATCCTGCAATAGAACAAGTAGAAAATATTTTCCCCAATTCAGAATACACATACAATGAAAGATTAAGTATACTGTCACCTTCATTCTTGAAAGACTAAATGTCTAGAGATTGATGGCTGGTGAGCCACATCAAGAGCAAATTCTGGCAAAAATGTGGATAGCATCCTTATGACATTGAACACCAAAACAATCTCTTGTGGTTTCATGAAACAGCTTTGTACTTCTCGTTTATTTTTCATTTACAAGTAAGGCACTAGCGGATCAGAATGAGCACAAGTCCAACTTTGCCTCTCTCAAATAATATCAGTCAATATTTTTAAGGGAAAAAAAGGAAAATCCTAACGGGGAATAATAGTCACTATCAGAAAACTCTAAAAGGATAAAAAAGCACTCTAAGATATTATGTATATTTTTATTGATTACAAACTGAACTCTTTTTCAGGAGCTTGTAAGGAATACTGCAATATACTATTTTCCTACAAATACACAATCACAACATTTTCCAGTAAATCCGGTGAAGCACTTTGAGATGTTCTGACTATGTGACAAGGAGCTATATCAAATTAAATGATTATTAATGGTGCAGTGCTCAAGCAGCTTAAAAAGCATTAAAACAAAACCATTAACCACACAAGATCCTCCTCCTTATAATAATGTTAGAATCCCAAGTTGGACCCCATTCTCCTCGGCACTCCCCACGTACTTGTAGGAATATGAAACAAGCCCTACAACAACAAGATTACATTTGTATAGCGCCTTTCATGTCGGGAGGACGTCCCAAGGCGCTGATACAATACTGAAAGCTAGCAGTTCTGCAATATTCCCCACAAGCTTTTGAACAGAATTCAGCCTGCAATCAAAAAAATACACAGCACAACACTTCTTGTAAAAGAAAAATATTTTCCATGCACGAGAACAAAAATCGAGGAGACAGACTCCCGACAGGAAGACAAACTCGTGCATCAGCCAGAAGAGACACCTTTATCCAATCAAACGATCATTTTACAAGGGATTACACTGTCTAATTTTCTTAATCGTGTTTACTCCTGTTGTACATAGAAGATAAGTAAATAAAATTAGGTCACAAAAAAAACAAGTTATAATTTCTAAGAATCGTACCCCTCATTGCTACATTTCTGAGTTCTATATTATATACAATACAAACAGGCTTAAACCTAAATCAATTATGAAAAACCCTTCAGATCACTACCATACTCTTGTAATAAATAAAGGATATCTTTTAAAACAAAGATACACGGCTGCCTATTCCTTACCCGTAAATGGATCCACACCACGTGGGCCTCCAGGGCTTAACCCACTTCCGGGTATGTAACGACCGGAACCTGCAGAGGTTCATACAAATAATACTGTTCTATATTCTACACACTTTCCCTCACCCAGTAATAAATTCTTACAACATTTTCAACAAATGGGAATAGAAATCTAGTTTTAGGTGAGAAATTTGTTTTGGATTAAAATCATCTGTTAATGTGCAATTCATGTATAATTGGATTTAAAAAAACATTGGTCTCAGAGGTTCAATCTACTTTAGACTGAACATTGCACCTTCAGCATCCTGCTTATGCTGATTTGAAATCAAATGACAATTGTCTGAACTACTGGCAAAGAATAAATATTTTTCTTTGAAGTACAACATTGAGAATGTAAATAAACTGCAACAGTATTATTTTCATTAAACATAGTTGCAGGATGTGAACCAATGACAGCAAGAAAACTCCCAAATTTATAAATTAAATCATCTCACCTCATTATTGAAATATATTAGGCAGAAAGCCAATATACTCATTTGTTTTAGAATTACATCAACGCAACACTGAATACTGCATTATTTAACACAATTTATTGCATTCAAATATGGTTGTTTGTATTATATGGTTGTGAAAATCTACACACATTAATGTGAAATAAAGCAGTGTAGATCACATGTTACATTAGTAAGTTGGTGAAATGTAGGCACTATAAAGTTAAATAAGGGATGAAGGATACGCTACTGAATATTTGAAATACTATAATTCAGCTTGCTCAGTCAAGGTTAAACATCTGGGCAGTCATCCAGACCAAACAACTCACAAATAAAACTTTTTGCCAAAAAAATAATGAAACATATAGTATATAAAAATTATACATATCAATTTTAAACAAAGCAATCTGGCTTGAACACAATAAACCAAGTTAAGTGCTAAGTAAAGCAATCTTCACTGTTGATGAATAATCATTTAAGAACAAATAAGCAGAAATATAAATTTGTAAACCTTTAAATATATAAACTCACTAACCTGTGAAAGGGTCTGAAAACCCTGTGCCTGTTTGTCCCAGTGTCTGCCCTTTCGTATTCTCAATAATAAAGTTGGCAACCTGATCTAGAAACATGGGGCTCAAGTCATTTTTTTCCAGGAAGTTATGGGCAACAAGCCATGGATCATCACTAATATTGTAAGGCAGTTTCAAGGAAGGTCCAGCCTCATTAACATCAATGGTAAAGACATAATCATATTCCTAAAAATAAATATGAGATCCAACAGTCAATTTTCCAACTCAAAAAAATCAATTTCCAACTTTTGAAATAAGAATAGTCAATCAATTGTTTTATGTGATCACAAGATATGGTTAGGAGTCAATACAGACTGTCTAAAGTTTACAATTTACAGATAAAATGATGTAATGCTAAATTATAATAAGAACATCTTCCAGTTTAATAACCAACCTGACTTTAGAGGACCACAATATTCATAAACTAAATTTCCTCAGCAGACCTTCAGGTGTGGTCTATGCAACATGCTGCCACTTAGATGCAGACAGCAAAAAGCATGCAGCCTAATGATATTTTATTTTAATTTAGTATAAAATGAAATGTTCATAACCATACGCGAAATAGTTACTTGACTGATTTACTAGATGAATGGCGGAAAATGTTTCTTTAGATCAGGAGACAAAACAAAGGCCATTTTAAAACTGCAGTGGTACATCTGAATTGATTTTCCATTTCCTGAAAGGTAATACAACAGTGAATAGCATGTTTCTCTGGCTGTGAAACATACTTTGCCTTCATAAAGGACTTTGCCAGATGTCTTCTGTGTTGCTCCTGATGAACCCACTACATCCCCAATCTTCATCCATCGTCCATCAACAACACTCCACTGATAGGCATGGACATTGTCTTGAACTCTGATTAGTCGTGTCTGACCTTCCCTTGTACCTGAAAATGTAAAGAATCTAATTTTTTTTGTCAGCCAGATGTTTGACACATGTAGAAACGCATCACCATGCTAACAGTATCCAAACCACATAGAATTCCATGCATCCCATCTATCAATGGAAATTCACGAGTTGTGTTCTGGAATGGAAGGTGTATGGTCTCCCTGGACGGACAAATTCTGCTTACCTTATTCCAGAGAGTATTAGTCGCAGGTTGGTAACAGCCAAAGTGTACTTTGGGTAATGCTGAAAGCTAACCAGCTAAAACGTCAGAAGACAAGGTTCAAACCTACACCAATGTGCTTAGTAACTTGTCTCAGACTTCAGTACAAACAAGCATTGTAACATTAGATTTAATCATGAACCTTAACTTAGCTTTTCATTCAATCAACCTCTGGATGTAGGTTTGCTTGCCCATTTAGCAATTTGGTATCAAGTGGAAGAAGGCATGAGGTTTAGTAAATCCCTCTACTGCTCGATAATATTAAGTGGCTAATATAAAGCAGTGGTTATGCACACATTAACCATATGAAAGGAATGGTACCACATACCAGGCTCATCAAGATGCTCTTTTCCTGGAAGTTCATTGATGTTTATATCCCCCAAATCTCCAGCTTTAGGATCAATAGTTGCACTAGACAACTCATTTTCAAAAGTCTGGATCTCTTCTGCACTGGCTACCCGCTCGTCAGCTTCTGTGAAAACTCTTATTATACCATCACTGCAACCGAAAAAAAAAATGTGAGTCTGGCTACAGTAATAGTTAAATATACAATGGAAGCCGGGATTGTCCTGTTTAAGCAACGCCCGAGGTTAAACAAAATACCATGACCACTTCCCACCCAGCAGCAGAGAAGAGCCTCCTCCTTCCCATCGCATGGAAAGGGGAGCAATAAGCAGTGGCATTCCACCCACTCACAAGCAGTTCCAGCTGTCAATCAATTGCAATTTGACTCCTCCCATTCCCTCCCTGGTTTCTTTCCCGTTCCTCCACACTCCCACTGATTGACAGTCCAATTCCAGCCAATTATGAATGGCTGGGGAACGCTGTCAATCAATCACAATTTGTCTCCTCCATCTCCATCTGCGAGTACACTCAGCAGCGACAAGCGTGGAGTTTTATCTGGATTAACCATACTGTTCTACACATTAATTGGCATGTTCCAAACGAGTAACAATACAAATGAATCGAGGCCGGACATTTTGTACAATTTATCCGGCATCTAAGCTTAACAGGCGTCCAGTTAAAGTGAATTCCGTTGTATTTAAACTGAAAACATATGTAACATGCACACACATATTTTAAGATTTCCTGCAAATATATCACTCTGTGAAGCTCTTTGAGGTGTGAACTTTATATGTGCTATATTATACTCAACTGTACAATAATTTTTCACGATTTATATTATTCACTATTATGGTTTCAAAATTTTAACATGAATCGTACACTAGCTCAACGACTAGATGATAGCAGTTGGTATGCAAATTACCTTTTTATTCCAATTATCTATTCAACTAAATGCTTTTTGCTAGCTTGCGGCTTTACATAAAACAAAGCTGATCAAGTATAAAGTAAATGATCCTTTCATTTAGTGTAGTACCCTTGATGTCAGGATGTCCTGCCAATTCGCTTCACAGGATATACTGTAAAGTGTAGTGATGGTGTATTTATTGGCAACCAATTGCACCCAGGAATGTTTCACAAACAGTCATAAAACATGACCAATTTTATTTGGGAGACTGTTGGTCACGATACTGGGAAAAATGTCCGTTTTTTTTTGAATCATGGGATCTTTAACACCACCTGAGCAGCAGAATTACCTTAATATAGACAAATATAATTAATTATGATTAACTAATTATAATTCACTGGTTGATTGTTGGCTAATAACTAATTATAATTGATAATATAATTCTATCTTAATTAACTTCATTAACAAATGTAGATTGCACCTTGAGAACCTAAGTTATTCCAGCTCGTAAAACAGCAAATTCTAAAATGTCACATGCAGTCACATGGATTCAATACCTCAGAGACTGCATTATGAAAAAGGCTAACTTCCATGCTACCAAGTCTTCACTAGTCATCACTTCCTATGCGGTATGAGACAGAAGTATTAGTGATGTGACTACATTTATGAAGTGATATCAGCTTGGTCTTTTGCAGTTTTATTAAAAATGTAATGTTAAAAAATTTAAATGTAATTTGTGCTCAGATACACATTACAAATCTACCTTGAACCTATAACTATGTCACGATTGTCCAGCACACAGCAGCACCAAACAGATTGAGTTGGCAGCCTGATGGTTTGAGCACATTCACCCTTTTTCCAAATTCTCAAGGATCGATCTTCTCCCGTAGAAACAAAATCTGAAATGGAGACAAAAATAACAACCATATAAAGAATATCCTTCTACAAGGCGACCTCATCAAAAAGGAGTTCCAATGTAATGATGCTCCCCAAAATGTATTTAATGCAAAATATTTATCTTAACAAATGAAGTGAGAGATTAATATGAAAACCTAAATATAGTCAATTCACTTTACAGTATTTTCTGTGAAGTGCTTTGAGAGGACTCGAAGACTTGATAAGCACTATATCAAATGCAAGGATTATTATTATGGATTGAATTCTCAGCTTTGGAAAAAGAAAAAACAATCACGTCAGTGGTTTACATCTCATCCTCTGAACTGTTGCAACTCTTATATCCTTTTCCCTCTCCATTGCACCATCTGCTACAGCAAAAGGTGATTTCACTTGCACTGCTGAATGTCTCATCATTTTGGTCTATAAATGCTAAGTCTTAGTAGTAAGTGGGAGTGCATTTCAATAATTCAAATCAAATTAATGTAAACTCATAAAAGATTGATATTTTATTGTATTCTGTAATAAACATTTCTCTTACTATGATTATGATGTCCATAATATTACAATTTTGAACAAGATTCTTCAATAAGGAAACCAAGTGTAATTTGAAGCTTTGAGACATCTCAACGACATGATGAGGCACTATATCAATTGCAAGGATGATTATCTCAATTTGCTTGCAGCTTTACTAGAGAACGCTATTAAAAATTGCCCTAATATCCATCCGTCCTCTTTCATCCACCACCCCCCAGAAAATCAGCTACCACATATCAGCCTAGGAATTTGGTTTAATTTCAAAGAGGACTGTTCACTACTACCTTTTCCTTCCAAAAAAACACTGGGCAAGAAAAATAAATTTTAAAAAATCAACTTATGATATGAAGCTAATAAAATGTCAAATGTTTCAGTATTGTTCCTAATTTCTGGCAAGCATATTTATGAGAAACCTGTCCCACAGAAACAAAATGAAGATTGGGAGTTTTATTTGAACTGCAGACAAAAGGGAACTCATTAGATCAGATTCAGCAAATATATATATATATAAGAAAAACATGTTTGTTAATTTCACTAATTCAAGACATTAAAAAAACGTACCCTCTCCATTAGGGAAGACTGATATGGAATAGATATAGTTGGTATGTCCATAGTAAACCTGTGAACACTCGCCGGAGATTTCCCATCGGCGAATAGTGGCATCATTACTGCAAGACAGGAACTCTAAATCGTTCAAAATGGCCAGTCCTCTAACACAATCTTTATGACCTAAAAATAAAATTAAAGTTAGTCTGAACAACGTTATAACACTGTACTTGAAATTGAAACTAAAGGATTTAAAGAAAATTTATCCTTTCCAGAATTGCAAAAAAAACAGAAAAAGTGGGACCAAAATGGCTCAGATATACCATGCATTAAAGAGAAAACAGAAGCCTCCAGTCATTCTCACACACTTGCTCAGCCAGGCTGAAGCAAAGCAGAATATCTGACACACAATAGATTTCACATCCCATCTAACTTGGATCTACTTTGTAGAATCCAACTGCAATGATGACTGAGCATGGAACATTTTAACACACTGGCAATCTCAAAAGTGTCTAAAATCAAACACTTGTTTGTGCATGTAAACAATTTTCTGCTTATCTAAACTTCTTTGTTAGATGATGACAAGTGGAATCCACTCCAAAAGGAGTAATGGAACAGCCATTGCATATTAATGGATCCTGGTAGAGGCAACACAAGTGGACATACCAGTATAAGTGCGTTCACATCTGCCTGCTTTCCACAGTTTAATCGTTTTGTCAGCAGATCCTGTCAGCATGAAACCTTGTTCGGGTAGTATCCTTACTGCCCACACTGCTGCTGTATGACCCTAAAAGCAAAGCAATTTTTTAAAAAAAATTACTGAAAGCAATAAAATATACTTAAAAAACCTGGAAGTATTATCTTTTAGTTAAAGGGGGAAGGAAAGATTTACCTGCAATGTCATCAGACATTTATCATTTAGCCAGACTTTTGATGTAGTATCCCAAGATCCACTAAGCAATGTACCAAATTTTCCAGATGAAAGACTGCAGACTAGAAGCAGCAAAGGCATAATGATTGTACATTAAAATTACAATGTCAGGAGTCCACTGCACATTGAATAATACATCACAAATTCTGGAAGTTCTTTGTTATTAAATTTACGCATTTTTTTTAAAAAAAGCTAAAACATGAAGGTTTATAAGATGATAGTGACAATTAATCTACAACCTTTTCACTCATTGTGCAATCTTATCTCTGATCATAACAATTACAAATGACATTGGTATTTCTCGTCGGGAGGACGTCCCAAGGTGCTGGTCAGTCAAGGATTTGGACCTGAGCAAGGGGTTGGGATCAGGGGGGTGGAGGGCAGGGAGAGTAGGGGTAGGAGGATGACTGCTGACGTGAAAGGCGCTCTATAAATGTAATCTTGTTGTTGTTGACTGAAGGTGCGGTCGAAGAGGAGGGTCGTGAAACGTGCCTTCAAAGAGGTAAGGGAGGGAGCAAGATGAAAAGACTGTGGGGATGGAGCTCCAAAGGGTGGGGGAGGAGAGGCTGAAGGCCTGACCACTGATGGGGGTGGGGGCCGGAGCCTCCTAAAAGTAGGACAAGTCATTTCCCTTCCAGTACACATTAACAGCTAATTATAGGGGATGAATGCAAATGAGCAATAGTGAAAGCAAACAACGAAACAAAGTAAACACCACCTACCAGTATTCTTATGTCCTTCAAGAATGTACAGCGGAGTTTGGCTATCCAGTGTGAAGACACAAATGTTATTATCGTTGCCTCCTGTTACAATTTGTCCCCGAGGGTATGTGTCATTGGGTGCTATGACGCATACACATGACACAAAATTTGAGTGCCCATTCATACAGTGCATATCTGTAAAACCTTTGCTTGAACTGAAAAATAGAAACAAAACAGAAACAATCCAATGATTGTTCTCAATACAAGAGAAAATAAAGTGATGATTAATTTCCCATAGTAATCAGATAACAAATTATAAGCATTCAAAAACACTACCCAGATGAAAGTTACTATATAAATTCAAGTTGTTATATTTTAAAACAAATTTAAAGTATTTTCCCACGAAAACAGTACACCTGCAGAATTAATATTTTCTAATTTGTATAATCAAAAAATGATACTATGCGGAACACTGCTAGTTCCAGTCGATTAGTCAGCTAGAAATTTCAGATCAACGACACTTGTTAAATATAAACTTCAGGTTGTCTCTCCTACAAATTCCACATCATAAAATCATATATAATCTATGAGCAATGATGTGTAATAACCTCACCTTTGCAATCTACAGCAAAGTGGCATATTTTATTAATTTAACAAGATTAGGCCTCAGACAATTTTCTACCGTCCTGGAAGCATTTTGACTCATTTTCATTTTTGCTGTGATTAAAATTGGTCATTCACTTCACAGCTGTTTTTGAGGAATTGTTGGCTATTGTGTTCACCTACAAATACAACCACTTCACAGTAACATTCAGCAAAGCTGTTTGAAACATTTTGACAACCTGATAAGGCACTATACCAAATGCATGTTTGTATTATTATATTGGGGGGGTATTTATTGATCAACCTCATCTAAAGGGCCTTTACTTGTCTATGACCATTTACAGTTTTGGGGGTAGAGGGAGAGAAAGCGTGAAATTCAGGGAAGGCTGAATTCATCCTTATGAGGCACCTTCACAAATGCACCATCATCAAAAGTTACTGTCTAATAATCAGGCACAAGAAACCTGGCTGAATTGCCCTGCTCTAAAATGGGGCCATTAAATAAATGAGTCTTTGTAACTGATCCATGGCTGAGATCAGGATTGAATCTGGGATTTTCCGTGAATGTGAATTCCGCTTTCCGCAGATTAAGGTCAATAAGTTTATTGGGTGCTCAGCGTGTTTTGAAGTTAGCGGGGAATGAAGTGTCACACATTATCAACACCATTTCAAAACTAACCCCAAAAAAAGTTTGTCAGTATTTTCTCTGTTATCGTCCCTTGCTATGACTTCGCCAGGATTGGATGGAACCCTATAAATGAGCCCTAGTTTTTAAGTGTTTAACCTCGTGCATAAACTGCATTGAGTTTCATATTCCAACAGATGCAACGAAGGACTTAAAAGACTTTGAAATTAGATGTAACTTTACTTAAAAAAGTAACGCAACTTCTTTACAAAGGTTAATTACATTAGAAGTAATTAACATTGAGAAGATAACAAGAAAATATGAGAGGACCGTTGTGTTTCTTTCCTGTGGACTGCAGTTAAGATAGTCTGAAGCATAACGATGGGTCTAAACTACAATTTAACAGCCTGACAGCAACCCCCGGGAGGAAGTGACTGTAAGCACAGCCGAAGAGGAAAGGTTAAAGGGCAATCCTTTCACTCACTCACTCGCTCTCACGTCCCGTTCCCCACCCAAACACGTTAAAAAAAAAAGCAGTTTAACTCTCTCTCATTTTTTTTAATACCTAACGCAACAGAAACGCACCCACAGCTTTCCACGTTGGTGAACGCTGACACTGACCAAGGACCCGACCGACCAAAAATAAAACAGAAACGATGCAGTGCCGAAACCCTCCGAGAAACCGAGCAGGTCAAGCGTGGCCTTAAGGAAAGTGATGATGATGATGACCGGCTACACCCGCCCCGCCCGCCCTTCCTGCCCCGCCTGCCCGCCCCCGCCCCGCCTGCCCCCTGTGCCGATCTCGGAGTTGTCAAGACATGGGCGAGGAAGAGGGAAGGGGGAGGGAAGCTGCTGACACACAGGGAGGGCCGAGGCCTGAGCCGGGGGGGATGGCAAAGGGACCGGAAACGTTGTTACCTGTTGGGTACCCAGAGCCGAGCGGTGCGGTCTCTGGACACGGACACGAAAGCGCTCTCGGGGTACAGGGTGGCCGCCAGGCCCCTCACGTCCATTTCGTGTCCGGGCAACGAGCAGCTGAGCCTGTAACCCCCGGACGCCATCTTCGCTCCCTACCGCCGCGCCTGCGCACACGGCCACCCACCAACCGGCACGGTTCCGCTGCAGTGCGCAGGCGCCGCGCCGTTGCATTCTGGGTTCGGTAGGCGCGAGGGGGGGGGGGGTGTGTGTGTGTGTGTGTGTGAGGAGGATCACGTGGTTTGCCAGACATGACGATACATCTGTAGCCCAAAGTCCACCAAACACCAGCCCAACAAGTAGCCCAATATTAGTGCTGTTTACATTGTCAGGAAAAGTTCTTCGAAGGGGAACGTAAATACACTTCTTTCAGGTTTAAAATAAAAATGTCCAATTACAGAACGGATCGACCACAAGATTCGCTCAAATTTTCAAATGCCTTTATGCCCTTGCACTTCCCTACCATCCGACTCGCTCACTCCCCCACTCCACCCACCCACTGCTTCCGCTCGGGTGGCTCCAGCCTCCTGTCCATCCCTTGCCCCCTCCGCTCCACCAGCTGCTGTGTTTTCAGCCAACTACGCCCCAAAACTTTGGAACTCTCTCCCTCGTCCCCTCTGCCATGCCCCCTCCCTCCGTCTCCACTTTCAAATCCTGCTTAAAGACCTTACTTTTGAACGTGCTTATGGTCACCCCTCCCTCGCCCCCTGGCTCGGGGTCAGAATCCACCACTGTCAAGCACTCCGGGATGCTATACCGCGTGAAGGGTACTATATAAATGCAAGTTGTTGTTGTAAAGAAAATTAATCAGTCACCCACCCAAGAAATTATGAATGTATTTTAACTTGTGGCAACCCTGGCTGCCTGGCGGAAGAGAAGGGTTTTGATAGAAATTAAACTACATCTGCCAGCCCAAAATCCACCAAATACTAGCCCCAAAAAGAGCCCAATAATAGTGCTTTTGAACCTGTAAGAAAAGGGTCTTCAAAGGGGAGTGAAACAAAAACAGAAACGTTCTGCAGTTTTAATTTTTTTTAATTAGACACCATCCCAAAATTATAAATGTAGTTTAATTTTTGGCAACCGCAGCTGGCATGCGGTCAGGCGGTCAGACAGGGTTTGACAGAAATTAATAATAATAATCCTTACATTTGATGTAGCGTCTTATCACATCTTCAAGACGTCTCAAAGCGCTTCACAGAAAATACTGTAACGTGAATTGACTGTATATTTTCTGGGGAAAAATTAAAACACAACTTGTAGCCCAAAGTCCACTAAACAAAGGTTAGAGCACTCGCCTCTCAAGCGAAAGACCTGGGTTGGATTCCCGGCAGGGCAAAACTTTGGGCAAGTTTCCTTACTCCACACGCCTGATAATAACCCCTCAAGAAAAAAGTAATAAATTGGTCACTTCAATCCACGACTGTTTGTGAGTCACTGCTGTGCGCAATTTAACTGCTGCATTTCGCCCACAAATATACAGTCAATTCACTTTACAGTATATTCTGTGAAGTGCTTTGAGACGTCTAGAAGACGTGAAAAAGCACAATATCAAATGCAAGGATTATTATTATTGTTATAAACAAATTGAAACAGATTTGTAGCCCAAAGTCCACCAAACACTAGCCCAAGATGTAGCCCAATATGACATGTCACCTGCTGTTATGGGTAGCAACAAAGTGGCCCCGAGTTAGGTCAGACCTTTTGAAACTAAGAAAAAGGGGTGAAAGAGAAAAAACCTTTTCCCAGACTAAATTTATTTTATTCTAAAAATTAGGCACCCGATGCCCAAAACCATTTTTTTTTTTACACATGCGAAACGACAAGAACACTCCCCAATAATTTGGCGCAGAAAACTGCACTAAAATATGGCGCCAAGCCCCATCCCTTCCCTCCTTCAAGACCCTTCTATTTGACCGTGCCTTCCGACTGTCCTAGCGCTGCCCTCCCTGCCCTCTACCCCTCCTGATCCCAACCCCCAACCAGCTGCCGGCTGGTCGGTCGCCATGGTGACTGGCGGCAGCGCTGGTGATGCCGGCCGCGGTCAAGTGGCCATCGGACAAAAAGCCATCGAATGCCTGAAGCGACAGGAAAAGAGGAGGAACGAGGAGTGGATCGAGGGAAAGGGCTGTCTCCAGGACAACTCCCCACACACACACATATACACACACACACACACAACACACACACATACATGCAACACACATACACACACGTATATATACGCACATACGCATACATACATACACATACACACATTCATATACATACACACATACATATACATACACACACACATACACACAACACACACACACATACACACACACATACATACATACAACACACATATAAACACATACATACACAACACACATAACATATACACACAACACACACACACAACACAAACACACATACACACACATACACACACAACATATATACACAACACACACAAATACATAGATTAACACATACATACACAACACATATATAACACACACATAACACATACATACAGAACACACGCATACACGACATACACTAACACAGAAATACACAACACACACATAGATAACACATACATAACAACAAGATTACATTTGTATAGCGCCTTTCAAATCGGGAAGACATCCCTAAATAGCATACATAGATAACATACATCTATGTAACATACATTGATAACACATACACAACATACATAACAGACATAGATGTCTGTGATATGTGGGGCAAGGAGGTGGAGCTGGGAGATAAGGAGTGGAGTGGGGATGGGGTCAAGGGAGCAGGTGGTGGGTTTCAGGGATAGGATGAGTTTGGTGACAGAGGGTGGGGAAACGGGTACGAAGTGTGTAGGGGAGGATGGGTAGGAGTCGGAGTGTGGGAGGGAGGGGGTGGGTGGTGGGTGGATGTTGGAGGGGAAGTGACCGCGGAGCGAATTCCCTTGATTTTGGATTCGAGGAAATCCAGCATCTCCTCGCCATGAAGCTTGGAGGAGATGACCTGCGCGGGGTGGCGGGGGAGACGGGGGACGGAGGAGTTTGGATGTGGTAGAGAACAGTAGCCTGGGGTTGTCCTTCGCCTCCAGGATTATCCTGGAGTAGAAGGACAATTTGGCCGAGGCTAGAGTGGAGCGGTAGATTTTGAGGAGGTCCAGCCAGATTTGTCGGTGGACCGTTAGGCCAGATTTGACACAGGTGCGTTCAGCGGCCCGCACCTGGCTCTTCAGTGAGCGGAGGTGGGTGGTGAACCAGGGGGAGGAGCGAGAGTAGGAGACAGTACGGGAGGTGATGGGGGCAAGAGTGTCAAGTGTGGAGGAGAGGTTGTTGTGGAGGAGGGTGAGAGCAGAAGAGGGGTCAGTGAGGGTTGAAGGCCAGAGGGAGAGGAGTTCAGAGGACTCCAAGGCAGCGGTTAGGGATTGAGGGGGTAACTTCTTCCAGGGGCGGTAGAAGATGGTGGTGGGTCTGGTGGAGGTGGGGAGGGGGGTGGAGGTGGTGAAGGAGATGAAGTGGTGGTCGGAGATGGCCTTGTCGGTGATAGTGACATCCGAGACACTGAGGCCCCGGGTGATCACCAAGTCGAGTGGGTGGCCGTGACTGTGAGTGGCGGAGTTGATGTGGAGGGAGAGGTTGAGCGAGGAGAAGAGAAGTCTGAGGAGATTGAGCAGGAGGGGGTGAAGTGCAGGTTAAAGTCGCCCAGGATGATGAGGCGATCAGAGCAGAGGCAGAGAGATGTGAGAAGTGTCGAGATATCAGAGATAAAGGTGGGAGAGGTTTTAGGGGGCCGGTAGAGGAGGAGGAATTTTTAAGTGAGAGGAAGGAGGGGTGGGAGAGGGTGAGGTGCTCAAAAGAGGGGAAAGAGCCAGAGGAGTAGGGGGATAGGGCAAGTGGTGTCCTTGAGATAAGGGCAACACCACCGCCACGGCGGTTGGGGCGAGGGATGTGGTGGGAGGTGTAGCCGGGTGGTGTGGCCTCCGTGAGGGGGAAGGTGTCGCCTGGGGTGAGCCAGGTTTCCGTTAAGGCCATGATGTCAACGCTCTCATCAAGGATGAGATCGTTGATGACCAGGGCCTTGTTACAGAGGGAGCGAACGTTTTGTAGTCCGATGTGGAGGGAGCGGTTGACAGAAGGGTGTGGTGGGGGGGAGGGGGTTCCAGGTTGTGAGGCAGGAGTGGGGGAAATGGGGATAAGTTGAGGAGAGGTTGGCTCCCCGGGTCTTTGTGCGGGGTGGCTGGCGAGTGTAGTGGGGAATGGGGCAGTCGGTGTGGCAGTTGCTGGACAGCCAACGCCGAGTGCCACGGTGAGCCCGGCGGAGGATTCCCAGGCTGGAACAGAGGGAGGTTGTGGGAGGGTCAAGTGGGGATAGAAGGCGAGAGGGACGGAGAGAGAGGAGGAGAGAGCGGGAGAGATGCAGAGGGGGGAGGGTTTGGGGGTAGAGAAGAGGGAGGGAGGGGGTGAGGGGGCTCGGGTCATAGCGGCAGCCATATTGCGCACGCGGGGACCGGGAGCGAGCGGTCAGGTGGACCACCACTTCATCTCCTTCACCACCTCCACCCCCTCCCCACCTCCACCAGACCCACTACCATCTTCTACCTCCCCTGGAAGAAGTTACCCCCACAATCCCTAACCGCTGCCTTGGAGTCCTCTGAACTCCTCTCCCTCTGGCCTTCAACCCTCACTGACCCCTCTTCTCCTCTCACCCTCCCCCACAACACCCTCTCCTCCACACTCGACACTCTTGGCCCCATCACCTCCCGTACTGTCTCCTACTCTCGTTCCTCCCCCTGGTTCACCTGACCATCCACCTGACACACACAACACATACATATGTAACACATACATACACAACACATACATCATAATAACAACAAGAAAATGACATTTATATAGCGCCTTTCACGTCGGGAGGATGTCCCGAGATGCTGGACAGACAGAGTTTCGGACCCGAGCTGAGGGCGGGGGAGGGGAGAGGGCAGGGAGATCGAAAGCACGGTCAAAGAGGAGGGTCTTGAGGTGGAGAGGGAGGGGGCGAGACGGAGGGACTGCGGGATGGAGTTCCAGAGGGTGGGTGCAAAGTGGTGGAAGGCCCACCCGCCGATAGTGGGGCGAGCGAGGCGGGGGGCGTGAAGCAGGCCAGAGCCCACTGAGTGGGGGGAGCAAATAGGGTGGTAGGGGGTTAGGAGGTCAGAGAGGTAGGGGGGAGGAGCAAGATCATGGAGGGCTACATATTACATACATACACAACACATTGATAGCACATACATACATAACACACACACATACGTGCATAACACATACACAACACACATAACATACATGACACACACACACACAACGGACATGTATAACACATACATAACACAACACATTCATTCATACATACAGACGTAACACATACACGTGTGCAATATGTAAAACACAACACGGGGGTGGGGGGAGTAACACACACACACACACACACACACGTGAGGGGGGAGTAACACACACACACACACACGTGAGGGGGGAGTAACACACACACACACGTGAGGGGGAGTAACACACACACACACACGTGAGGGGGAGTAACACACACACGTGAGGGGGGAGTACACACGCACACACACACGTGAGGGGGGAGTAACACACACACACACACGTGAGGGGGGAGTAACACACACACACACACGTGAGGGGGGAGTAACACACACACGTGAGGGGGGAGTACACACGCACACACACACGTGAGGGGGGAGTACACACGCACACACACACACACGTGAGGGGGGAGTAACACACACACATACACACGTGGGGGGGGGGGGAGTAACACACACACATGAGGGGGGAGTAACACACACACACACAGAGCTGAAGGCGGCGGTTGACGCGGAGGGGAAAAGAAGACGGATTTTTTTTTAAAAAAATTACAACAAAATACACCCAAAGCGAGAGGAGGGGGTGTGGGGGGTCTTCTCCTCCTCTCTGCCCTCTGCAGACTAACACTGACATGTGGAGGTGCGGATGAGGGAGTGTGTCCGGGCGGGCGGGGCCGGGGGGGCGGGGGCCGGGAGGGCCTCACAGGCTGAGGTCGGACACTCACTGCGGGACATGGACTGAGCTCAGGATTTGCCACCAATTAAAATATATTTATAGCCAGAGCGCCCCCTCCCCCCCCCACAGCCCCCACAGCCCGGCCCTGTGTGTGGGCAGCGATGGCCGAGTTATGGTCAGTGTTTTTCAAACTGCTTTTTTGAAAAAAAGCTTTTTCAAGACGTTTTTCGGGTTTAAATCCAAAAAAAATGGGGGGAAAATGCGGCTCCAAACGGTCTGTGAGCCCTCAGCACAGACCGCAGCGGCTGACAGTTACCCACAAGCACATGGACACCACATACACGTTGGGTTATATATATATATATATATATTTATATTAACATTGATCAGTATACACACAACATAGATGATTAAGCTTTGGGGGATCAAATGCCTTATTGAAACATTATCCGTGTGTGTGTGTGTGTGAGACAGAGAGAGAGAGAGAGCGATGGTGGTTGTCAGTTACGCACTGACTGACTGACTGACTGAGACTGACTGACATTGACTGCTTTGCTGCAGTGGTTTCTCAGAGCACATTCCCCCTCTCAGGCACCGGCCGCGGGCGGGGATTTTCGAAGCAAATCATTTGCTTCTCCCAAACCGCCGACTCCTTGAAGCCCCGCGCGGGCCCATCCCCCCCCCCCCCGGGTTTGCGGGGGAAGGAGGGCCGGGGCCGCCGTTATCTCACTGTGTGCGGCCATTGCTGTCATCGTCAAAACAAATCTCCTGCATCGAAAAGGGAAGGACTTCGGGGGTATTGAGAGCGAAACCCCCGAATGCCGCAGCTCAGAGTCTGGAGTGTGACTCCGGGAGTGGTTCCCGATGCGGCGGCGGCGGATGGCGGGATGTGCAGTGTTGAAGTTTTGACTGATTTATTCCCGGTTGTGTGTCCTTGTTGTCGTTGCTGTCGTGGTTGTTGTGTGTTGTTGTGGTGGTGGTGGTGGTGCTGGTGGAGGTTGGGCAGTGTCAGGCGTGACTCACTCACTCAATCACCAAGGAAACGTGACGCTGCCCCCAAAGCGGCGGCTGCAACAGTCCTGGAGGCGGAAGGAAACATAACCTGTTTAACCCGGTGTTCACACATAGCCCCAAATTGATGACTGTAGGTTTATTTCCCCCCCCACACCCCCCCCACCCCCGGATCTCTCTCTCTCTCTCTCTCTCTCTCTCTGCCCCTCTCCATGTCTTCCTCACCAGGGCGTTGAATCTGGTGAATCTGTACGATGCCTCAGAAAGTTCTGAAGTGTGTCATTCAAGTTGATATCCACGCGGTAAGGCATCTCTGACCCTCCTCCTCCCTCCCTCCCTCCCTCCCTCTGCTGCTGCTGCTCCGGTCAACCGAGTGCTCCAAAGTATTGCATCCCTGGGGTTTTTTTTAAAAAAAACACACGGAAAGCTGTGTGAAGCTCCTCCCGTAACTGTACAATCGCCCCCTCCCCCCCCCCCCCCGTGTGTGCCCCCCCCCCCTGTGTGCCCCCCCCCCCCGTGTGCTGCTGCCCCCCCCCTGTGTGCTGCCCCCCCCTGTGTGTGCCCCCCCTGTGTGTGCCCCCCCCCGTGTGTGCTGCCCCCCCGTGTGCTGCTGCCCCCCCCCTGTGTGTGCTGCCCCCCCCTGTGTGTGCCCCCCCTGTGTGTGTGCCCCCCCCTGTGTGTGCTGCCCCCCCCTGTGTGTGCCCCCCCTGGCGCCCCCCTGTGTGTGCTGCCCCCCCCTGTGTGCTGCCCCCCACTGTGTGTGCCCCCTGTGTGTGCCCCCCCTGTGTGTGCTGCCCCCCCCCGTGTGTGCCCCCTGTGTGTGCCCCCCCCTGTGTGCTGCCCCCCCTGTGTGTGCTGCCCCCCTGTGTGCTGCCCCCCCACTGTGTGTGCCCCCCCTGTGTGTGCCCCCCCTGTGTGTGTGCCCCCCTGTGTGTGCCCCCCCTGTGTGTGCCCCCCCCGTGTGTGCTGCCCCCTGTGTGTGCTGCTGCCCCCCCCGTGTGTGCTGCCCCCCCCCGTGTGTGTGCCCCCCCTGTGTGTGCTGCCCCCTCCTGTGTGTGCCCCCCTGTGTGTGCTGCTGCCCCCCGTGTGCTGCTGCCCCCCCCTGTGTGTGCTGCCCCCCCCCGTGTGTGTGCCCCCCCTGTGTGTGCTGCCCCCCTCCTGTGTGTGCCCCCCTGTGTGTGCTGCTGCCCCCCGTGTGCTGCTGCCCCCCCCTGTGTGTGCTGCCCCCCCCTGTGTGTGCTGCCCCCCCCCTGTGTGTGCTGCCCCCCCCTGTGTGTGCTGCCCCCCCTGTGTGCTGCCCCCCTGTGTGCTGCCCCCCCTGTGTGTGCCCCCCCCTGTGTGTGCCCCCCCCTGTGTGTGCTGCCCCCCCTGTGTGTGCCCCCCCCCGTGTGTGCTGCCCCCCCCGTGTGTGTGCCCCCCCTGTGTGTGCTGCTGCCCCCCCCCCTGTGTGTGCCCCCCCCTGTGTGTGCCCCCCCCTGTGTGTGCTGCTGCCCCCCCCCATGTGTGTGCCCCCCCCTGTGTGTGCCCCCCCTGTGTGTGCCCCCTGTGTGTGCTGCTGCCCCCCCATGTGTGTGCCCCCCCCTGTGTGTGCCCCCCCCCTGTGTGTGCCCCCCCCTGTGTGTGCCCCCCCTGTGTGTGCCCCCCCCCTGTGTGTGCCCCCCCCTGTGTGTGCCCCCCTACCCTGTGTGTGCTGTCAGCACTATTGGAGCCCAGAACAAGCTCCTTACAGATGAGTGTGTGTCTCCTCAGTGTGTGTGCCCCCGAGTGCTGGGGTCAGCAGTGAGGCTCATAGAAACCCATTACTAAACAACACTCCTGCTACTGGAAATGAATTCATTTGGGCTAACCTTTCTGTTGGGTTGAATGTCATTTTTTTTCCCCCCAAAAGTAACATGAACTGAAATATTGTGTTCTAATATGACGAATGGGGTTTGATTTGGGAGAGTCACGCACTGTATTCCTTCACTGTATTTTTTTGAGCGTCGGGCGCTAAAGCCACTGAACTTCTTGACAAACTCCTTTTCTCGTGTTAGTATTGTACAGACTTGATTTTATACGAGTGAGGTCATTGAATAATGTTATATTGACCGCATCCAAGCTGAGCAGGCAGCACTCAGAACAGTGCCAATATGTTTGTTTAGATGTGTAAACAATAATAAATTGGTCATTTTCAATCTACGACTGTTTGCGGGACATTGCTGTGCGCAATTGGCTGCCGCGTTCGCCCACAACTATACAGTCAATTTACTTTACAGTGTGTTCTGTGAAGCGCTTTGGGACGTCCTCTCGACGTGAAAAGCGCTATATCAAATGCAAGGATTATTATTATTGTAAATTGCAGGCTATCAGGAGATACTCAATTCAGGAGATTCCTCATTATTCCCACTGGTCAACCCATGACTTGTTTGGCGAAATTGACTAACCAACAACCAACCATAATGTGAGGGTTCATTGTGAGACCAACATTTAGTTGTGTGAAGATGACCAATCACAGTTTGATTCAGGTGTGGGTCCTGAAGAAAATGTAACAAGCAGGAAATTGAGCAAATGTCACCTAACAGTTAAAGAAGATTGCCAGAATAGGTGATGAACTCTATTTGGTAGTTATGTGTCCCACGAGCAAAGACAGAGGGTTTAAAAGAGCAATTGGTGAAGCTTAGAGGAACCTTCTTTAGAATTCCACAATGGTCCATAGAGGGTGCTGTCATTTTTAATGGCTTTGCTTATATTCCCTACTTAATTTACATGGACTCGTACTGATTTGCAGCATTCTATTGAACTGGAGAAGCCTGACTAGGTTTGTTAAGTTGTTATTTTAATGGTATGGCAACAATCCAGGTGCCAGTATAAAGCACTGGTTAGTTTCACAGAACTTGTGCAATTAGGATCACCTTGCCCAAAAGGACTTTGGGGGTTTTAAGGACCTGTATTGTGTAGACTTACTCAGTCTGATGCCAGTCAACTGTCAATTTAACTTGGAGTATTCTAAGGCTTCATTGTTTTGCAAAGTGTGTCTCCTTGGAGCCAAGTCAACTGAATTATTGAAACCCTGTTTAGCAACTGCTTCCCCCTCTTCCCCCAATTTTATTTTCAATCCCCTTAGTTATGCAAAATGTCTTAAAATGTTTTTTTAAATTCAAATAGAACTCTATATATAGAGATTGTTGCTACCCATTTGTTTTCCCCTAAGGTGACGTGTCCAGGTGTGATTTTACCAAGGAAAGATGATATTCTCCTCAGGGTTTGTGTTCTAGGTCAACACTGGAAAACGAGATGTATAATACCAGTGTTTCCACTCCTCATTCATGAAAGTGTGCAGTTTGAAAAGGTGAGTACAAGTAACATTATTTTTTGTTATTTTTTCAAGTATTCAGTCTACCTGAAGTGACTTAACTGAAGTGAATTAACTTTCAGAAAGTTGGATTGGGCGTTGGAATGAAACTTGTTTTACAGAGTTGTGTTCGGTGTAAGAGTGATTATAAATAATACATAGTTTTATTATAAATAATAATAATTTAATGATAAATACCAATACTCAGTTTTGAGTATAAAGAGATGCAATACGGAGTCCTGTATCACCAAGTTGCTGACCTGAGGTGCATTGAGCTCCTCGAGATCACCTTGCAAATACAGTAACTGGTCACAGAACGCCATGTGTGGCATCATTTTATAGAATGTCAATATAATTTCTTTAGATGTTCATTCTATGGATTTTTTCATTCACTGTTTTAATTGCTTTGGAATCAATGCCTTTCATTATGATAGCACTGAATTGGGTGATTGAGTATTGAGAAACTGCAATATATTTTGCAATTGAGACAAAAATTGAAGCAAAATTTGGTATTTACTGTACATGTGACATGATGAAATTCTATTTGGTCTTAAACAGTTAATTATTTGACAAACGTTGTCATGTTATGCTGGAATCATAGTGACATACTGTAATTGCAAAGCCTCTTGTAATTAATTGCCTTCTTCCAAGACCTTTAAAAGAAATGATCAATTATCGTACAAAATATATTTACAAACCAAAGGAAATGATAGATAATCTAAAAATGTAAGATTTAAAAATAATATTAAATGTATCTGTGTAAAGCAACTTAACCTGAATACATACACAATCTCAATATTTCCTCTGACACAAACGTTATCAGCACAAGTGAACTTTAGATCCTTGCATTTTCCTGACACTAGATGTCAGTATAAAACAATATTTAATACTTATGGGACGGTGTGAATTCATTATTTGGCCTATATAAATTTGAAAGTATAAAATTGGATTTTATTGTATTACCTGCTATGGTGGATGTGGGTGGAAAGTCCACAGACATAATCAAGCAGATCTTAGCCAACATTTTGTGTTAGATTCCTTTTTTCCCCTGAAACATTTTAATTTTCTAACTAAGCTCCAATTTAGTGCACAACAAATCAAATAATTCATATTACATCATAAGAACTTATAAGAACATAAAAAATGCTAGACGAAAAAAGACCAAGGTCCATCTAGTTCACCTTCCACCTTCCTGGCGGCTGCATGCACATATGTCCCAAACTACCTATGTACTATATTCCATAATGTTATTTCCTAAAAGAAAGCTGTCTAGTCTGTGTTTGAAAGAATCAACAATTCCTGCTTCAACAGTCTCCCTCGGGAGCCTGTTCCACAGGTTCACTATTCGCTCACTGAAATAATGTTTGCGTAGATTCGTTCTGAATTTACCCCCTTCAAACGCAGGCCGTGTCCACTGGTTTTACTATTCTAGACAAGATGAAGCAACCTGTCATGAACTATATTGTCTTGCCCCTTTAGAATCTTGCATACAGCAATCATATCGCCTCTCAATCTTCTCTTTTCCAGAGTGAACTTGGCCAATTTACTTAGTCGCTCCTCATAGTCCAGTCCTTCCATTTCCTCAATCATTTTGGTTGCCCTCCTCTGTATCTGCTCGATTTCTCCAATATTCTTTTTTGGATTACCTCATTACTTTGGCTTGCTATTGATTTTTTGATACATCCCAACATCTGGTTTGCTTTACTGACTGACACAGAGCACTGTTGGAAGAGCTTTAATTTATTGTCAATCAGGACCCTCAGGTCTTTTTCATTTTTCATCCATATTATTTTCCTTCTGTTCAAATAGCAGTCCCTTCCAGGATTTTTTGTCCCCATGTGAAGTACTTTATATTTCTCCACATTGAATTTCATCTGTCACCAATCTACCCAATTCCCAAGTGTGTTCAAATCCTCCTGTAACCTTGTTCAGCTTTGCAATCTACCACCTTCATTAGCTTGGTGTCATCTGCAAACTTAGCCACTGTGCTTGCGACTCCTATTTCCAGATAATTTATACAAATATTAAACAAAAAAGGTCACAAAACAGACCCTTGTAGAACTCCACTAGTAACATTTTCCCAGTCTGATGACATTCCCTAGATCACCACCCTCTGGGTTCTTCCGGTCAACCAGTTGTGTATCCATTGTAATATACTTCCACTGATTCCCGTTTTCTTAACTTTCTGTGCCAGCTTCTGAAGAGGAACTGTATCAAAGGCTTTACTGAAGTTCAGATATACAACATCTACAGCCTTACCCTTATCAAGCTCCCTTGTCACACTGTCAAGAAAACCAGTAAATTACATTGGCAAGACCTCCTCTTCATGAACCAATATTGGCTATCATTTATGATTTTGTTTCTGTTCAGATGCTCCATGATTTTATCCTTAATAAGAATCTCAACCCACAATGGACGTTAAACTTACTGGTTTGTTACCTTTCTTTAAAAATAGGAGTAACATCTGCCTTTCTCCAATCCTCGGCACCTCTCCAGTATTCAATGATTTTTGAAAGATTTGTCCCATTGTTTCTGCGACTTTTTCCCTTAGTTCCTTGAGAATCCTTGGATGCAATTTATCCGGCACCTGGGATTTATTTACCTTAAGTTTACACAGCTGTTTGGCAACCATGCTGATAGTGATATGAATAGTGTCGCAACTATTCTCTGTGACATCCTTGAGTTCTCTTTCCAGATCAGATAGGTTACTCCCAGATAAAGACTGATGCAAAAATCTTATTTAGCACTATTGCAACCTGTGCAGCATTATTTGTCATGTTCTCTCCCAAACCCACCTTCAGTGGCCCTATTCCATTGCTTGTTTTTCTTCTACAAAAACAACAACAAAATTGCATTTGTAGAGCGCCTTTCACATCGGGAGGATGTCCCAAAGCACTGAACAGTCAGGTATCGGGGTCCGAGCATAACGGAGGGGTGGTGTAGGGGTGAGGGAAGGCAGAGGTGGGAGGGTGACCAAAGGCACGATCGAAGAGGAGGGTCTTGAGACCGGTCTTGAATGAGGGAAGGGATTGTGGGATGGAGTTCCAGAGTGGGGGCTGAAAGCCCGGCCGACGATGGTAGGGTGGGTCGGGCGGGAGACATGGAGCCGACTCTTATTGTAACTAAAAAAAACTTTTTGTTATCATTATCCTTCACATCTCTTGCCATTTACAATTCAAAAATTTTTTGTTATGCCTTCTGGTATTGAATCTGACTCATTTCCGTGCCATTTTCCTTCATAGTCTTAAAAGCTTTTTTTTTCCTTTTTATGATTTGCTTTGTAACCCCATCCAACCAGGCAGGAATGCCTTTAAGCTTGGTATCTTTGCTTCTCATGGGTACACATTGTTCCATTGCCTTCATAATCACCTCCTTGAAGGAACTCCATAGGTCCTCCACTCCCATTGCCATATTTAAGCCTGCCAGGCCCACTCCGACGAGACTTCTCAACCGCACAAAGTCAGTCCTCTTGAAATTTGGCGGTTTTGTTTGGGTTTCTATAACCTCATCAATTCTTGTGATGTCAAATATGACTGCATTGTGATCGTTGTTGCTTAATGTTTATGTTGGAGATTTGGTCATCCCTGTTGCTCATTATCGAATCCAAGATGTTATCTCCCCTTGTTGGCTCTTTTACAAACTGAGTCATAAAACAGTCTTCCTTTAACTCTAGAAATCCCTTCTCTACCCTCCTTGCAATACAATAAATGCAACAACTTGCATTTATTGGCCCTTCACACAATGTCTCGGAGAGCTTATTACAAATAAAGGGGAAAGATAGCCTAGGAAGAGTTCAAAAACTTCTAGTCATAGTAAAGGAAAAAGGAAAGGAAAAAGAGAAATGTGGGATGGAGTTCTATAGGATGGGGGCAGAAAGGCTGCAGGCCCAGCCGCCAATGGTGGAGCGGGCCAGGCGGGGGACATGGAGAAGACCAGAGCCTGCTGAGAGGAGGGAGCGGACAAGTTGATATGAGGTTAACAGGTCACAGAGCTGTGGAGGGCCTTGAAGGCAAGCATGAGGATTTTGAACTCTATCCTCTGGGGAATGGGGAGCTAATGGAACTGGCACGGGTGGGGCTGATGTAGTCACGGAGCCTGGTGCGGGAGTGGACATGAGCTGCATAGTTCTGGATGATCTGCAGCTTGTGGAGGGAAGAGTAGGGAAGGTCGACAAGCAGGTAGTTGGTATAGTTGAGCCTAGAGGTGATGAATGCCTGTATTATTGAACATTAATATTTAATAATCTTAAATTAAATAGAGCCCCTTTAGGAAATACCTGGTTCTTTACAATAACATAAATCACTAGAGAGGTAGGTCCCAGGAGAATAAACATAAAATTGAAGTTCCTTGTTACAGGGAGAATATGTACAGTATTTACAATTGCATACAGTCTTTGCCATAGCTAGGGGGAGTGCTTTGATTAAAAAGTGCTCTCGTGGATTGTGTTTTCATTAAACTTGTTCATAATTGTTTGAATCTGTACAATCCTTACCATATATTTCTGGAAGATGATATTTGTCATTGGATAAAATTTGGTTTTGGTCATTACAGTAATTCAGTGCTTTATCAATAAAACATTATTGCATCTGCATTCATAGCCCCTTGTTCCCTATTTCATGCATTTCTATTCCCTTTTGCAGGTGTTTGGGAAAGACATTATTGACCCCGCTGATGTTGCTGAGTTCTTAGAATGTAAGTACCAAAGCACAATATTTTTATTAATGGCAGAGTATGATTTAGTTTATGCAAAATAATTTACAATTTAAATGGAAAATGTTGAATTTCTTTCTACTTACAATAATGTTTGGTATACACAAGACATAGGCAATGGGTACTCAGTTAAAAGGGAGGGGATTTTATTCATGCTATAAAGATAATGTTTCTGGATTTTCAAAATAAGAATATTACGTTTTTATGTGAATTATAAAATGTACTAATCAGATTTTCTTCTCTTTGTATTCAGGTGACATTGTTAAGTTTGAACTGTTACACCTTACTCCCACAGGTACTTTTTTTTATTAGTTTGCTAACAATAGCCAATTGTTCATATATTTAATTGCTCTTAATGGTTTGTTAAACATGGTCATATATTGTTCATCATAAGCAGCTTTGAGCTTCAGGCAGTTCAAGAGGTAACTTAAATTTACAGTTTTCCCCCTTGAAACGAAACAGCTACTTGGTAGTGAACAGTTTCCCTGGCTTCCAGAAGCAACATTTATTAGAAATGGATCTAATATATCAAGGAGCTTGTTAAAAAATTGAGACTTGAAAATGAAAATTATTCTCCTTACTGCAGTCTATTTGCAAACACTCTGTAGAGGTTTTGATTAAGGTGACTAATCCAGAGCTGCACCCTTGTGAAGTATCCTTTCAGTGCCAGTAACTTGTAAATCGACAAACAGAACAAAATAACATCACTTTCACATACAAATCATGTTAACACATCATTCTGTAATAAAATGGAATTTTACTCATTCTTTCATGTTCCACATGTGTTTCCAATAGCAAAATTATAGTAATTATTCTAGTGTTGCAGATATTTTACAGGAAGGTTTGTACTTTGTCACTACATTGAAGCATATTGGTTTTACAATAGAATTATAGATATATTTCAACAGTAGCATTTTCTCCTTTTGCCTCTTCTCTTAAGACATTTATCTGCTTTTTCCTCCATGAGGTACAGTTTCCTAGGTTCCAGGTATCCTCGCCCCCCCCGGGGTTCCTAAACTGGGGTCTGTGGACCCCTGGGGAGGGGGGAGAGGGGGCACGAGATGGTTTGTTGTTAAATAAAAACAAAAGTGGCTGGGAACATGCAGCAGGTCAGGCAGCATCTACGGAGAGAGGAAAATTAGTTAACGTTTCAGGTTGATAACCTTTCATCAGAACTGACGATAACTGACAGTTATTGATCTGAAACGTTAACTCATTTCCTCTCTCCAGGTGCTGTCTGACCTGCTGCGTATTCCCAGCGACTTCTGTTTTTATTTCAGATTACATTACATCTACATTAACACTGTAAGCATTACTTTCCATTTATGTTTTTCATTCTTTTAAAATGTTGTTTGCAATTAAAGTAAGGTACTCAATTTCTCTGGATTTATTATGTGAGGGTTCACAATCAGCATGCTTAATGTCATGGGAGGCTTGAGCCCAGAAAGTTTAGAAACCACTGCTCTATCCTTCACCCATTTGATCATTGTTTACACGTGCCCTTCAACATTAAGTGTTAGTAGGCAATTTAACTACAGGGGACATTACAACTGATTCTGTCCTCACCCAACCTCCAAACATCCTCACCTTCCAGAAATGCCTCAGGACAATATTGGAAACCTTGGCTGATTTCTCTCTTTCTTAGATAGAGTTACCTGCATTGTCAGAAGTGCTTTCTTTCAGATGAATTGTTAAACTGAGGTCCCGTTTGCCTGTTTGGGTGGATTTTAAAGATCCCTTACTACCATTCGAAAAAGAAGGAAGTGTCTCCCTTCTCAGAATGTCTCCATTTTCAGATAAAATTGATCATTCATTTCATGGCTGTTTGTGGGACAAGCTTTACCCTGATTGAGATCAGCTAGCTCAGCACAGATTTCTAACCTGTGACTTTCTGGTCTTTTAAAATTGTAACTTAATTGTTCTCATAGTTCTACTTTTAACAATACATTTTTAATAATAGGAAACATTGTTAGAGTACTCACCTCACAACCAAGAGAACTGGGTTTGATTCCCAGGCGGAGCGAAACGTTGGGCACGTTTCCTTACTCCACACGCCTCTGTTTACCCAGCAGTAAGTAGGAACCCAATTGTTAGTCAATTAGCGGATCGCTTTTTCAGGGGGAAATAATTCCTTCAAAAAAATACATTAATTTGGTCACTCGTTGTGCGCAATTGTCTGCTGCGTTTGCCCACAAAATATACCGTAAATTCACTTTACAGTATATTCTGTGAAGCATTTGAGATGTCTCGAAAACATGATAAGACACTATATCAAATGCAAGAATTATTATTATTGTTCCTGAAGTATTTGTTTATAAAACAAAAATCTAAAAGGCTGCCGAAAAGATCTAATGACATTTTCTTTCCTAATTTTGCCATTATAGGTGATGAACCATTAGCCATCTATGAAGAAAACACTAGACCTTTCTTGTTCCCTGAACCCAAGTTGACTCCCACATACCCTGGAGTGGATAGAGAAGTATTGATGAGAAGATGCTCACAGGCTTTTGTAAGACATTACTTCCATTTGATTATTGTTATGATGTATTTATTGCAATTTTTTCTTTGCAAGGTCAAACCATTTCAGTTCATCAGAGTTCATACTTTTTTTTACTACAGATAAAATCTTCGAATTTGTTTTTCATCCATTACCGTAGAAGCTATGTGTAATATTAACCAACTTAGGAACAAATAAACCATTCACTGAATTGTAATAAATCTTCTTTCAATGGATGGTTCATTGTGAATGTTCAATGGTGCATTTTGCTTGTGGGCAAATTGTAAACATCACTTTGACCAATATTTATCATTGGCCTATTTATCTATACTGGATATATATGTATAATTTATGATTTTTTATGAGAATAATCTTGCTTTAGCCATATTTACTCAGTAAGTGTTGTGGTGTCTCTATTTGCAGTAAAATTGTGACTGAAGTGGACATGCAGTCTGTTTTCAATAATATGTGAATACAGGATATGCAAATATGTTACAATGGTAACTTTTGTAATAATAATCCTTTATGGAGAGCTGATCCATAACTGTCCAGTATTTGCTATGTCTAAATTGTAAGCAGTTAATTTTGTAATGAATACAGATTACTTTTAATCCACAATACAGACATTGATAACATTTTAAGTAGAATTTAAACATTCTGTATGTATATTGTAGAACAATGACCAATATTTGTTTCCAGCTGTGAAAAAATCAAAAGAGGGGAATCTTTCAGTAATGTTTCTTCCTGCTTTCTCCCAGGGTGGAACAAGGATTGTTTTTATGGAAATGCAGGTTAGCTGTCTTGCCTCAGGGCAAGAAGGTTGTGGGTTCAAACTTGGTTTCATAGACTAGGCTAACTCTCCAAGGGCAGCCTATGCATCAATGAATTATAGAGCCCAGAAGATTAATGTTTCAAGCCTAGTTCAAATTGGTTTGAATTATTAATCTTCTGAGGGAGAGGAAAATTGGCCAAAAATGGAGCTGCTGATTCCTATTTGAAGATTCTTGTTGCAAGGTACACTTCTGTGCTCCCTTGGTTGAATAGCCTTCCAACACTTACTATCATGGCTCATACATGAATTATGGCCATGTGTGAAGTACGAGAGGGCACCTCATGCTCATAGAATCATAGATTAGGAGAATGGAAAGTGAATTAAAGACCATTTGGGGGAGAAGGAAGGGTAAGATTGGAGGAGAATAAAATATCTATTTAGGAAAGGGTTAGCAGCTGTACAGTTTGTAAAGACATTCACTCTAAGCAGTGCTCTACAGGACTCCAGTTTGGAGTAAGGAAACCTTGGGCAAGTTTCCTTACTCCACATGCCTCTGTTTACCTAACAGTAAGTAGGAACCCAGTTGTTAGTCAATTGGCGGATCGCTTTCAATGGATAATAATCCCTTCATATAAATAATAAGGTCATTCAATCCATGACTGTGTGGAGCATTGCTGTGTGTAAATGGCCGTCGCCTTTTGTCCAAAAAATATTTAGGCAATTCATTTTGAAATATATTCTGTGAAGTGCTTTGAGATGTCATGATGACGTGATAAGGCGCTATATCAAATGCAACAATTATTATAATTATTAGAAAGACAGAATTAATTGTTTTTCCAAAAATACAAACAAATGTTTAGTTTTTTTTAGAGCACATACTGCATAGGAGACCACTAGGCCTCTTATGTGAGTCATATTTTGAGCTCCTGCAGGATTCTACTCAAACCCATTCCCCATCTTTTCTCCATATAATTTAATATTATTATTTTATATATTGTGCAAATCTAAGATCCATTGCAATGGTTCAAAACAGAACAAAATTTACCCTTGTATACTTTGCTGACTATTGGTACAATTGTTTTCTGATATACATCAGTCACAATGACAATGGATGATTTCTTAAATTTCTGCTTAGCCTTTACCAGACTGCAGAGATACAAAGCACAAAAATTGATTAGTGATGTTACAACTGGGGAGGACAAATTTGCAAGGCTATGGGGAGAGAGCGGGGGAGTGGGATTAATTTGGATAGCTCTTTCAAAGAGTCAGCACAGGCACGATGGGTCAAATTGCCCCCTTGTGTGTTGTATAATTCTATGAATTGACCACATGAAAATGCAACATTTTTACGTTATACTTATTTCCTTACACATGGTTCAACCCATGTTGCATACTATTCATAAGTACATCTCTTGATAGTTGGGCTTACATTCGCCCCCATTTATACTGTTGAATTGTGATGGGGGAAGTGAAGCTATGTATGCATGTCTCTCTTATCTGTGTTGAGGATACATTTGCATGAGAGACACATTGGCAATGTTGTTTCTGTCCATATCTTTTAGAATCTCCTCAGAAATCATATTGATGGTTGTAATGACCCAGAGATAATAAGTTTGGAAAAAATATCCATAAAAACAGATTGTGTTCCTGTCAAAAGGCATACCATAGAAAAGATACAAAATATTAACAATGATATACAGTATTACTGGAATATAATAATTCTTGCATTTGATATAGCGCCTTATAATGTCATTGAGACGTCTCAAAGCCCTTCATAGAATATACTGTGAATATATTGTAAAGTGAATTGACTTTACTGTACCATCATATCCTCTAGTCAACTACAAATATAACCTTTTCCATAGACTTCATTTCCAGTGATATTAGCACAGATGGCTATGATGACACTTCTGGCATTATGTAATGTTGTTAAAGTTGACATATACCTTTCACCCAGAATGTTAGTTTGGATCAGTCAGTGGCAGCCTAGACAATTGACAAGTCATCCAGGACAAGGAAAAGATGATAAAGCTTGTCAGCCACCTTAGCAGTAAATTGAGATAAAAATTTGCCCTGTTCCAAGAGTTGGCATTCACTTTAGTAAATAAATGCCAAATGTTGCACCTTCTGCGAGATGTCCAAAGAAAACAAACCCATTAGTGAACGCCAATATCAGATATTGAGTTCCAATTTAAAGAAATCCAAACTTAACTTATTAACATTCATTTATTTTAGAACTGAAATTTTCCACAAGACATATTCTAAGTTGCAATAAATTCCAGTTTTTAATGTATTTTGAGTTTATGCATACCAGCATTGTTTTTACATTCATTTTCCTTCCTTTTATTTACTCTGCAAAACACTATTAAAATAAGTTTCATTACTTTCATTTAATTTTGCTATGCGGCATAAGTTTACAAACAAACCCTATTAAGATCCAAGTGTGTGAAAGAACAAAATTAAAATCTTATAGAAAAATATGTTTCACCATTAAGACATCCAACTAAAAAAAATGCAATCCCAGGTTTAGCTTCAAAACTGAGCTGGCCTTCTGAAAAGCTCAGTAGAAAATATATCCATCTTATCTCAAACATTATATATGTATTATATCAGTTACTCATTTTCAATGCTTTTATTGGCAAACATTAGATTTGACTAACAGATAGTGGGAGGTGGGATGTGGAATTCTCAGGTACAGCAATAATGGAGAAATGCTTTTAAATGAATTAGATACTTGACAAAGGAAAATTAAAATGTATGTTGACTGAGCAAGAGAGTGGGTAGGATTAAGTGACTTATGTAGATGTGACTCATAGAGAAAAATGGTTCTGCAGACATGGTAGGCTAAATGGCTCATTTCTATATGTAACATTTTGTGATTCCATGAAAAGCTGAGCAATTGACTTTGTTTATCTTTCATTTGTTGTTTTAATTGTAAAGGGTGGATTTAAATTAGTTTCCGGCAAGTAAAGACTTACTTAAGCAAGCATGTTCCTGATTCAGTTTGAGTACCCTGTGTTGCTCTATTTTCTAGGAAATAGGAAGTGTATGGGAAGAATTGCTTGAGGCACAGCAGATTTCACCAGCTTTTGTATCTGCACAGTGCATCAATTCCAAAATGTAGATGGCCAATATACACACTACCATCTTATGGGTAGAATGAACTTTTGTAAAGAAAAAAACATTCTGCAAAATTGTAACCTTCACAGTCACAATAAGGAACCCCTCTGTCATCTCATACTATCTATGTGCTTCAGTAAATGCTCAATCTTCTTAAAGACTATTTACTTAGCTCAAGGCATGATATATTAGTTCTATAGAGTAATATAACTCTTTATTCATTTCATCATTCCTTTATCTTTATTCTTGTATTTTTAAATGTTTGCATCATTGTTTAGCTGCTCTTCATTGTTAAAAAAAATCATTGTAAATGCAACTTCAGGCTTTCTAGATTACTTTGATATGTTTTCTGTTAATAATTCTGTTGATGCAGCACATTTATTTTACTGGCAGCGAGTAATAGGCTATGAATATTAAATTAATTCCCACACACAAAACAATACATTTTCTGCCCGCCTTTGTTGTGGTTCAGAGCAGAGCACAAGTTAATGTACATAGATGAATTAGAAAAACAAAGACACTTTTACACACCGAGGGATCAGATATCAGTGCAAATGTGTTTTTCCTTTCAATGTTTATATTGATAATGCTCCATCTCAGAGTGTAAATGTAGTCTGCTATTTTTCTGCTATTTCTACCATGATGCCCTTCTAGAATTGCACAAGTAAAGCGCTATATCAAATGCAAGGATTATTATTATTAATATACTAGATACACAGCAAAATGAACCTATCAATAGTTATGTGATAATGTGAAAAAAAGATGCAACATATTTCTCCTTTAGTGAAATTGGGTATGATCAGCTAAAGTTCAAATTATTTATAAGAACTGTAGCTTTGAAATTATCATATTTTGAGGGGACATTGTCATTATGAAAAAGAATTGTCAATCTTTATTTCATTTGCTTGCAAACAGGACACAAACATACAAATCATTTCCACGAAAATAGTGTTCCTTTAAATATACCATAAGCAAAAAATCTTTGATATGGGGGAGGGGGTTATAATTACACTTGGGGGTAACATCTGCTGTCCATAAAATATTAGAACATACAGAATTTTAAATGTTAGTTCTAAAATGTTCTTAATTTCACACTATATAGCAGCTCTAAAATGCAGTAGTGAAGACATGAAAATGAAAAAAATTAATGAAAATGAACAAAAACAAATTACTAGTTAAAATTCTGTAGCATAAATTGGCTAATTTCACAATACGCTTAAGCAGTTGCTTATCAAGGACGTAACAAGATTGGATATAGAGCAATGAAGGTAAGCAACAAAAAACTCCTGATTTACTTTAGAATAGCTGGCTTTACTATTTGAAATAATTATTGTGTGATTTATGTTATGGATACGAAGGACTAAGTTTGATTCCTAAATGCTTTGTGTAGGACAAGCACACACAACAATTATGCATTCAGCAGCGATTGAAGATTATTTTCACTTGGAGGAAGACTAACAGCTGTAACAAGAATCATAATGAAGGCTAAACAGAAGTTAACTGCAGGAATTAACCAGAGAGACGACTGTTCTGTCAGAGAACATATATTTGAACATAAAGACAATCTAATCTCAAGCCACTTGGGACTTCCAAAGGAAGTGATTAATCAGTTTTGAAACATTATCAATGATGAACCTGTGTCAGCCAGGCTAGGTTGGTAGCACTCTTGCCTCTGGGAGTCGGAGGTTCTGTAAGTTCAAACCCCACATCAGGTCTTTGAACTCATATTCTAGTCTGAGACTCCGATGCAGTGCTTGGGGTATGCTGCAATGTGGCAGGTGCTGTCCTTCGGATGAGACGTTAAACTGAGGCCATGTTTGCCTGTTCAGGTCGACATTAAAGATCCCATAGCACTATTCAAAAAGAGAAGGGAGTTTCTCCCAGTGCCTCATAATAAAATCGGTCATTCATTTCATGGCTGTTTATAGTGCGCAAATTGACTGCAGTGTTTGCCCACAAAACACAGTCACTACACTTTACATGGGATATCCACCCAACCTGAAAGATGCTATACCAAATGTAAGGAACAAACAGAACTGCCTCTGAGCATCTCAGAGGCAGTTCTAGTTGTTGTATAAAGGTTTCTGATACTCAATCTTTATGCATTCTGTTCCTTCCAAGACTCACACAAGTGGTGTAGGTAAAACCAGTTTGCCATGTCCATGATCATTGAACATTTTACCGATATCCTTTGTAATAAAACATACAGATAGTTAAATTAACTGGAAATCCATGATCAAGTAGATAGTCAACACAATCCTTCTAGATATCTAGAAGTATGAGGAGTCATGGACTGCTCACATGTTGCAATTCATGCATCAACTTGCAATCTAATGGCATACATGAACAGAAAATACATTTACTCAATGCTTATCCAGGTGATATGGGAAGAAGATGAAAAACAATCTGCATGTCAATAGCCACTCTGGTGCCACACATGGTTTATGTATTTCATGTGCTCCATGTGTTTCAAATGAGGTTCAAGACTGAGGAAGACTTTAAGAGTGAATCATTGGTGATATGGGGTTAGTTTATGCACTATAGTTAATGATTCAATTGTAAAATCCTAAATGGATACGGAAGTGGCACAAAATACGTTTCATATGTACATGAGAACTATGATCAAGGATATATTTGGTGCATTAAAGCATAAATTCCATTGCTTGGATTACTCAAGATGCTGCACACAGCTTGTTGCACAACAATAATAATAATCCTTGCATTTGATACGGTGCCTTATCACATCTTCTGGATGTCTCAAAGCGCTTAAAAGAATATACTGTAAAGTGTTGTGACTGTATGTCTTGTGGGCGAAATGCAGCAGCCAATTGCGCACAGCAATGTCCCACAAACAGTCAGGGATTAAATGAAACAGTCATGGATTAAGTAATCAAATTATTATTATTTTGAAGATATTATTACCCTCAGAGATTAATGAATGCAGAGCCATCAATAAGACTATGAAACAGCAAACTATCTAACTGTCTGAGTATGGTCAACAAAAGAGCAACTTGTCAGCAAAATAGCGTCTGAAATTATAACCCATTAACTAAGTTTCTTGAAATAATTATTGTTGGTGCACATTGATGTACTGGGGCTATCAATTGACCTGACAAATTGCCCTTTGCCATTACTGCAAAGAAATGCAAATATTAGTTTTATAGTGTTTTCTTTATGGAAGACACATAATAAAATGAGATCAATAATGTTGAGTTGTGGTGTTACTGATTGTATACAGTGTTAAAAGTGTCAACAGTGTGCTCTGGTGTGTTTCCTTTCGTCATATATAACCATAAACCAGGTTTTAAGACCTTCCAAACATTATCCTACTTGAAAAGCAAGTTGTTACAATACTGTTTCTAACTTGTACTCCAAGGTTTTGGAGAGTGTTTTCACTCTCCAGAGTAAGTGTAGGTTCAGTATAAAGTCTCTTTCTAACCAAATTCATCCAGCATGCTGTGCAGTACCTGATTATTCTGGCAAGAAAGTTGAAGGAAGCTTCTTGCCCAGTGATACTGTAGCAGTCACATCTGGGGTAGATGATGCATGACCTGCACTACCAGAACTAATAATAATAATCCTTGTATTTGATATAGCGCTTTTCACGTCTTCTTGACGTCTCAAAGCGCTTCACAGAATATACTGTAAAGTGAATTGACTGTATATTTGTGGGCAAAATGCCACTGGGAGGGATCTGTATCAGTAACTGAATGCCACTGAGTGAAGGCATGTCATCACTGGTGCTACTCCTTTAGGTGAGATGAGTCATTGGCTGATTCAGAGTAAAATTCTGCAGAATTGTTCATTAAATGTAGAAGCCTCTTTAAGAGAAGCAGTTACATTCTGAATGGACTTTGACAATGTGATTGTATTCACATATTTGTGTTTCCCAGGATTTCAGAAAATTCATGATAGTCATGGAGATCCTAGAGTTTGACTACTCTTCCTTCCTAGTGTCCTCCACATAACTTAGTGTTGCACCAACTCTTTTTCATTGCGGGGACACCAAGGCCTGATTCCTTTAGTTCCAGAGAGCGTGTTCTCCTGGAAGCTTCAACTATCAGATGAACTGTTTGTTGCTGCAGTGGTATCTTTATTTTATAGCGTCAAATTCAGGAGGATAGTCTCAAACAAACATGCCTTTGTCAGAAACCTTTTTTCCTCCTCTATGTAGAGGGTTATGTATATGATCAACTTGAAAAGATTTTCTTTATTCACTGTACCATGACCCAGCTTTTTTTATTTGTTGATTGCCACAGGAATTTGAGCTTTGCAGCACTTTTATTCCTCTATCTGAAATTCACTCTCCAGCTGTATTGGTGGCTACTTGCAGTGTAAATAATGAAGTTATTGAGCTGGTTAAGATATATTTGAAGATTAGTAGAATCCTGTCTGATAATTTAAAATGGCTGCTATGTACAACTAGTATTCTTATAGACATCTACCTGTTATAACAATGTTATGTTTCCTTGTTGTTGCTTGTACTTAACTCACCACAGATAATCTTGTCACAGTATGCTTCATTAAAATAATACATTTGTGTTTATTTATAATATGTTGGAATATACTGATTGTTCTATATAGTCAAAATGATGCACATAAGTCTTTAGATCATCCAGTGTTCTCCAATGCATGTGTGTGATTTCATGTGTTAAATGCTTGTATAAATGTAATTTGTAATAAAAATAATAATCATTGCATTTGATACAGCACTTTCAACATCTTCTAGACGTCTCAAAGCGCTTCACGGAATATACTGTAAAGTGAATTTACTGTATATTTGTGGGTGAAACGCAGCAGCTAATTGCTAACAGCAGTGTCCCAATTTATAAAGATTATATCAGACTCAGAAGTTAACACAATGCATGCTTTCGATGGAGTGACAATAAATATATATTATTTTATTGTGTGAACAGCCTTCATTGTATTAGATCTTGAATCTACGACTTAAGAGAGTAATAATGGTACTGTAGTTTAAACTGGCCATGCAAAACTTCTCTTCATTCCAGGCAATTTCACCCAAACTGGAGTTTTCTACAACAACAACAATTACTGAGTGTTGTATTAGATATCCAAAGAGGATTTCTTCAAGCTCATGCCTGGTAAGAGCCTTTAAAACAGTTCTAATATTTTTTGGGGGGTCAGCCAGGTGTCTGATATATGCAGAAACTCCTCACCGTGCTTAAGAGTATCCAAACCAAACTGAGAATTCCATACATCTCACCTCGAGTCCAAATCCTTGACTGTCCAGCCCCTTGGGACATTCTCCCGACTATAGGAGCTATACAAATGTAATTTTGCATTGTATTGTAGACATGGACATTCCAGAGATAAATTGTTGGAATGGAATGCACACGCTTTCCCTGGAGAGACACGCCCTGCTTACCTAATCCCAGAAAGTATTAGGTGCTGGTTGGCAAGAGTGTGCATTGCAGTACTGCTGGAGTCTAACCAGCTAAACCCATATCGCTTGCCGTTGATATGTGAAAGCTTTCAAACTTTTAACCTGGAATACTGCAAACCCACCTGGTCCAGGAACCGGACTACCGAGGCTGCCACAGAGGGCTGGCTCGATTCTAACATTCCATGATCAAACATGTCGACTTGGAGCCAGTTCAGCTCCAAGGAAACCCATAATATGAACATAAGAAAGAAATGAAGTAAGCATGAAATGCAAAACAGCTTTGCGACCGATCAAGTTCATTCCTTCCACGGCCGCACAAATCTCCTGTGGTTATGCTCACAGGAACAAATATGACAGTACTGAAAATCCCGGAAACATTGTTAGGCCCAACCATTGAGCCAACCGTAGGATTGGTGTGTGTGGCCCGGAGGTTCAAACCAGTCTTTAGCTATAGATGAAATAATATAATATTTCTTAATTGATTTGATAACATTTAATCTGTTAAGAATTATCAAATTTTTCACCACATTTAATATTGCATGTTTTGTTATAATTTGCAGTAAATGTATAGTGCTATGCATTAAAGTAAACTAATGGGAGTAAATTGGAAGTCATAACAATATAATTTTTTTAAAAATTCCAATCTCAGATTTTGTAATGTTGATTTTGTTACAATTTTTAACACAGACAGAAAGAAAGGAAAATCACCTTAGAAAAGTCAAGTCCACAAAATCATTCAACATAGGAGGAAAGGGATTGTGTGAGAAGAAATCTGATACCTGCAGAAAACCAGTGTCACCTTCCAGTTCCAGACAAAGGTCCCCGTCTGCCTATTGTAGAAGGTGTTTGCTTGAGCTTTCGTTAGATGATGGACAGATTTCGGACCTAAGTCCAGAGCGTAAAGATTGCAAGATCGATTTCGGGTCCAAATCAACTTGTCCATTGCGACATGTAAGTACCACGCAGCTTATGCTTTGTATAAGAACATATTTATGGATTGATGGAAAATTGACTAGAATTAACATCTGATATAACTTGGAACCAATTGGCAAGCATGGAGGATTGGGAAGGATGGAATTATAATTACCAGCACGTTTTCCTCTTCTCCAGAGGGCAAGTGGAGGGTTCCTAGACTTCGACGTAAGTAGATCTGTACTCTAAAGCTGTCAGGTCTGTGTTGCTATGTTCGTCCTTTCTGCCCAACTCCAGCAGTAATAGTGACATTGAGACAAACAGATATTGTGAAGTTACTGCTGTGCCATCCAATTTAACGACAAGGCCTTACTTTGCCTTGAGTTCTGGGAAATTTGCTCATTTTTAAAGGACCATCAGCACTGTATATATTTATATACAGCTTGTTGAAACAGTATAAACCATGGTTCTGATGACATTTTGAACCACAAAACAGAAATAAATTAGGATACTGCAGTTCGTTGTTCAATTTATTACTAGCTGTATCTCATACCTGTGTGCGACAGCAAGAATGCAAGACTGCCAAGGTGTGTTTTCCCAGTGCAGGGTGTCCACAAAGTCCTCTTACCCCTTTGTTACAAAACAGCTATATGAGATTGCAGAAATGCTGAAACAAGCTATCAGCGCCTTGGGAAGTCCTCCAGACATGAAAGATGCTATACAAATGTAACTTGTCGTTATTGTTGTCAGAGAGATGCATTTCACCTCATTACTCCATCATGTTACAGAAGATGTCACACCAAAACTATCAATGGATTATTATCTGCCACGAAAACGGTGACAATCCTCTGGATGTCTAAATCAGTTGAACACTTGTACTGAATATAATTAAATATATTGTGGGCATTTCGGCCACAAAATACAGTCAATACACATTACAGTATATTCTGTGAAGTGCTTTGAGACGTCTCGAAGACATGATAAGGCGCTATATCAAATGCAAGGATCATTATTAAGTACTTCTAAATACAATTATTATTCTTCTAGCATGTTGTTGATCAGTGCACTGCAGAGAGTGAGAAAAAAATGGGGCTAACAGGATTTTGTGGACGAGAAAGAAGCCAATGTCCCTTGTACACTCTTGCCTCCCACTCACTCCAGGAAAAATATTGCTGCTACACATTGAAACACCCCTTCTGAAGGTGTTTTGCTTTGCAGCAACATTACAGGGGGAGGATATTACTGCCATTCTTCACCTTCAACAACAGCTACAACAACTTGCATTTATATAGCGCCCTTCATTCAGGGTAGGATTTCGGAGCATTTAACAGTGGCGGAGCCTGACAGCAAGCCATGAGGAAAATCTTCAGGCGTGTTTTTGCCTCTGCCTTGCCTCCTCCTTCAAGGGGAAGGAGGAGGCAAGGCAGAAGCAAAAACACTCAATTGATTTCAGTAATAACATCAAATGATTCATGCACTTTATGAGTTTATAGACACTGTTGTAATGAGAGTAAAACTGCTATTGCATTCTGCTTTGCTGAGATAACAAATAAGTTGTTTATATGTTGTTTTATGAGCCAACAAACATTGTTATTTATGCCATGAAAGTGGATTTGTGAACTATTGATATAACATCACTGTTAGCTATTTGGTGCATTATTTCTTAATGGAATATTTTTCTTCTGCACCTTTTCCATCTCGGCTCAACATCCTTGTTTGACAATTTTTCCCTCTAGTCTACCTCAGCCAGTTCATTCCTCATACCATTATAATTAGTTTTGTTTCCAATCAAGGAGATATACTGCCTAAAATAAGTTGTTTTATAAATTAATCTTTTAGACTTTTATTTAAAGAAAGGAAGCCTAGGATAACCCACTTCTCATCTGGCTTCCCTCCTCTGCCCATAAATGCTCAAATTACTATTAAGACAACAACATGTTTTACTTTCTTGAGCTGGAGTAAAGCCTCAATTTGCTCCAATACAAGATCCAAATCATTCATGAACTTTATGAGTTTAGCGACATTGTTGTAATGAGAGTAAAACTGCTGTTGCATTCTGCTTTGCTTAGACAATAAGTATGTAACATTCTTATGCCATGAAAGTGAATTTATGAACTATAGATTATAACTCCAGTATTAGCTATTTGGTGCCTCCTTGAAAGGGTTTGAAAGGCAATGATGTATAATAGAGTTGCAAGTCAGGCCTTGAGGAAAAGGGTGTCTGCCAGGCTGCTCAATTGAGGTGCACGTCACTGATGGACCAGATTGTCAGGTGAGGCTTAAAATGGTCTTGTTGACATGGGAGTAAGCTGAATGACTTTCTAATGGTGATTTTTCTTTTTTCCTATTATCCAGTAAGAAAGTTGTTCAATAGAAATCGCTGACTAGCCACAAGTGTGGCTACAGCGACACAGTTTTAGCCGTATGTGCTAATTTTAGTACAAAACGCCTTACACACACTCACACAATACAGGTAAATACATACATACTTCACATGAATGTTTACATGTATTATGTTAACAAACATCTACCACCATTCAATGAAAAACTTTGCAGCCTCTCTTTCACCAAATTGATAGGCTTCTATTCCTTTAACCTGTAACCAGAGTGAAAACACCAGATTTTAGCAGCAGTATTGTTTGGAGAGGGGAGCTGTTTATCATGGTCAGCTTGACCAATTGAAATAACCATTCCAGACCAGCAGAAAAAATCAAGCCAGGCCACTAACAAACAGCTTCAACAGGGCAAGTCATGGCAAAGAGCGAGCCGCATCCAACTCGCGTTCTGGATGGAGAGCAAGGGCGGGTCTTCTCTTTCTTTTGTGAGACACACCAGACTAGCGTTTTCATCTGTATTACACAGCGTTTTAGCAGATAACCAGTAAGCAGTAAACAAAGAAGAAACAAGAACCCACAAGGATCAAAACCACTCCCATGCTGCTTTTTGTCTTACCTTTTTAACAGCAAACAAAAAGGTCACAGTACACAGGCATACACTATGCGAATATGAATACTGAGATCACATGCCTAATGACAGTGTCTACTACTCATTTTTTTATTTACTAATAAAAAATGCAATTTAGCTAAATCTGGATTCCCAATTTGCCACACGTGGCTGATACCAAATGTCCTGCAGTAAGATAAAATAAAAGAGTGCACGTTCCATTCCAACAATCTATCTCTGGAATTTCCATGTGTAGGTAATAATAATAATAATCCTTGCATTTGATATAGTGCTTTTCACGTTTTCTAGACATCTCAAAGCGCTTCACAGAATATGCTGTAAAGTGAATAGACCGCATATTTGTGGGCGAAACGCGGCAGCCAATTGCGCACAGCAGTGTCCCACAAACAGGCGTGGATTGAAAATGACCAATTTATTATTGTTTTGCTTTGGAGGGACTATTATCAGGCGTGTGGAGTAAGGAAACTTGTCCAAGGTTTCGCCCTGCCGGGAATTGAACCCAGGTGTCTCGCTTGAAAGGCGAGTGTTCTAACCACTGAGCTACAGGACTCCACAGTCCTTTAGGATGCATGGGTTTCTCAGTTTGGTTTGGATACTCTTAAGCATGTTGACACATGAGCCAAAAAAGATAAAATAATGTTCTACAAAAATAATTTATTTTTATTTAATTGGGCTTTTAAAATTTGTGAGAGGAACTGGGTGCTGCAGTGTTTCTTTACCTCAGTAACTAGGTTCAAATTCAGTTCAGACCTCTTTGAAAGAAGCCTGTTTTTCTGCCAACAGGAAGGTTCAAAGTAGTGAGTTAGGCAATTTGGAAACCCCTTTCTAGTGAGCTAGAACAGAGGTTGCTCATAATTTAATAGTAATTGGTAGAGTGTTAGCCTGGCTCAGCATTATCGCCTCTGAGCCAGAAGGTTGTCACTTCAAGTCCCATTGTCAAGACTTTGAAGTCATGGTCTAGAATCACACTTTAATACTTTGCTGAGTGAGCGATGCATTGGCAGAGGTGCTGTACTTCAGATAAAACATTCAAACTAAGGTTGTTTTTTTGCTTGTCCACGTGGACATTAAATATCCCATGGCACTATTTGAAAAGAGAAGGAAGTTTCTCCCAATGCGCTAGCCAACAATCCCCTAGATAAATTTGGTTCTGCTTTCATGGCTGTTTAGGGGACATATTGTTCTGCACAAATTGGCTGCTGAATTGTCCACAAAATACAGTTGCTACATTTTACAGTAGTTCCTGAGAAGCACTTTGAGACATCCTCCTGATATGAATTGTGGCATATCAATGATATATCAAGGACCTCAATTTAACACTCATCCAAAAAATGGAACCTGTGATTATACAATTCTTCCCCAGCATTGCGCTGCTCTCAGCTTAGATCGCAACACAGAAAATGAACGCATAACTTTCTAACCCAAAGGGAAAAGTGAGTCCTGTAACTCAGTGGTTAGAGCACTCGCCTCGCAAGCGAGAGACTTGGGTTTGATTCCTGGCAGGATGAAACATTGGGCAAGTTTCCTTACTTCACATGCCTCTGTTTACTCAGCATTAAGTAGGAAGCCAGTTGTTAGTCACTTTTCCGGGGGTAATAACTCCTTCCAAAAGAAAAAGAAGAAATTGGTCACTCAATACACTGCTGTGCGCAATTGGCTACCGCGTTTCACCCACACAAAAAATATACAATTCACTTTACAGTATATTCTGTGAAGCGTTTTGAGGCATCTCAAAGACGTGATAAGGCACTATATCAAATGCAAGGATTATTATTATTAACCAACATTCTTGGCTCACATCGTTACACTGCATCGCCAAGGTGAAAGGTGTTGGTAAAGTTATAATATGAAGATGGCATCAATTAATTACAAAGAAGTTTTCCTTCTTTGCCAGAGTGACAAATCTGCGTCAGAGAAGAGGTGTCATTCAGGACTATCATCTTCCTCTTCTTTTGAAAAAAGGCCGAAGGCTCGGTCAAGACCGTCTTCTCCTTCATGTCGCAATCACGGTAAGATACTAACTGGTTCTCTTTATAATTATAAATAATCTAAAAAGTTAAACCATGTATTTAATAGCTGTATTTGTAGCTCAGTATTTCTTAAATCAATAGAAACAACATTATTTGTTGTACACCACGTGATAAAGAAAAAGTACTAAATCCTAAAGTTAACATTAGATTATTATATACTAAACAGTTCTTGCACTACTTATGACTAAGATCTCTATTAATCTTCTGTCTGGGAGTGATATTAATGAAGTCTTCGAGGCAGGATAAGTTTATCGAAAAAAATCTACCCCTTCAAAATTATTCTTAATTGTTAGAAGCGTGATTGTGAGAAAGCCTGGAATCACTGGTAGAGCAACCTAGACTCCAATAGGCACCATCATAAACTTTGGAACTGAATTTAAAACCTCTAATACATTTAGGGATCATCTAAAATCCTCTGATGATGCTAGATTATTACCTGTTCAATATATTATCTTAATCATATCTAGCCTTCCCTCCTCCGTTGTATGGTAGAACTTGGTAGCGTCTCAATGATGCCTCCTGCAGCAAAGAGTGCAGGGAATGAGGTGGGCTGAGGCAGTCACCTGACCACAAAAGACATGATAAGGCAAACATATCTTAAAGGATTAGTGTCATTAGTTGACTTACCCATATTGAATAATGGCAATATCTTAATTATTTGAAATTGCTATTTTAGACCCTGATGTGTTCAGTGTTCTTTCTGTTTTATTTCATAAGTGATTGCAAATCAAGCAATAATCACTTTGTAAGATAAAAGTCAGTATTTGTACTGTACTCTTTTTCTTTTATTTGTGTAGATTTTTGCAGATCACTATTTAGCCCAGACAAGGTAAGAACAACTTAAATCAAATATATTATCTTCTAATTTCATTGTGCCTGCATAAGAAGGTAGGACAAAAGTTATAGTTCAAAAATGTTACGTTTCAAGTTGTTTATTCATATGTGAAATACCATCAGACTGAATGGATAACTTTACTAGAATTTCAGGTGTAGCAATTTTTCTTGGAATTTGTAACATTATTCTGAAAGGCCTCAGTATAACATTTTATCCAAAAGATATCACCCTCAACAGTTCAGCACTCTCCCAGTACCAGACCTATACTATGAAGTAAAACTCCATGGGGGGTTGAATACAAAACATTCAAATATGAATTACATACACAGTTGCCAATAGCGTGAAAAGTGGGAAGTGAAGCTGACGTTGCAACTGAGAACCTCCCCACCCAGTCTGTGATATACCCATACATAAGCCAACCCTCTACTGTCTACCCCATATTGTGGCTATGTATCAATATTACATATTCAAAAGTACTTGTTTGGATTGCATTGTGCAGCCATTTGATAACATTTGCTCAAACTTGTGCTGTCGGTTGTCAAAATCACCAATAGTGACGATTTTCCTGTGGCGGGCCATAAGCGGGGTCTCCTTGGAGATGAGCTGTCCAACTTCCCATTTTGTTCCTATAAACCTGCCAGCCAAAGTACTAATGGATAGTGTCGTCCTGGCTGGACAAGAGATGGATTGTTTGCCAAACAGTGCTCACAATGGCAAGTTATGTGGTTTTAGTTGGTTAAACTCTACAGTCCTGTTACTCTCCTGTATTTTTCTTACAGTTAACTTTATTTTCTGTTGCAGATGAGTTGAGTGTAACAATGTCTGACTTTTTCCCCGAACTTTTACAGTTGAACATACAGCAGGGGGCATTGTGATTGTAAAACACTGTTCATAAATAATTGCAAATGTGCCGAGAATTATATTGTTCTGTACCGCAATATTTGCTCTTTATAAAGTGCATTTTATAACATGAGCTCACAATGAGCATTAAGGCTATAAAATAATCAAGCAAAGGTGATCAATAAACAAAGGCATACTGCAGTATATTAACTTGATAGGTACAGTACACTCTGTTTATGTCACTTTAACAAAAATAGAACAGAGCATGTAGTACTCATATTACCCTGCTGTAACATAAAGTGACTATATTTTGTCTGTTTTTCAAGTTTAATCCCTTTGCCACAATAAAACATCCTTTTACTCAAGCAATTTTCAGAACACACAGTAATTGTAACCTCCTAAAACATTTTTCTCAGTACTGACGTTTGCGCTTAACATAAGGTTTAGATGTACAATCAACACTTTCAACATTTTATTCTTGCTCTTGATTTAGTTCACATTTGTGTACTTAAAAAGGATACTACAATCAGTACTAAACAGTGATTGTTGTGTACATCACAGAAGGAGTATTCTACTAAATTACCATCTTGTAGCACAGCTGGCTATTCAAAAAATTTGCAAAAAATACAAGTTTGAAAGGGTGTCAGATAGACGCATATTACTTCTGTACTAGTAGAGCTGCTAAGCCATTGAAACAAATTAAATTTGTTATATTTCAGTCGAGAGATTATTAACTTGGATAGAATTTTATAGGTTTTTTCACATTCGCTCCAGGGAAAGAATCCTACATAATCTAATGGGGAAGTGTAGATAAACATGATCTCTCAGGGTAGATTTTATTTTCCTTTTTCAAATTAAGTAATTTAATGACCAGATACTTTGGCATCCTGTAGAGCAAAGAATCTGACCCCTACGATGAATTTAATGATGATACATCGGAGCTTAAGAGTTACCCAATCAGTCCCAGCCTTAGGCAGTCTTCGAGCGAAATGTGTGAATTTCCAAATCATTCCGCTCCACAGAGAAGATCATCCAACCTGCTTTCCAATAGCACATCTCAGAGGTACCATTTAGTCTGATTATTTCTGTAGCGAAGTAGTTCCTTTCGTTAAAATTTGAAATGACATGTGTGGTGTAGGCACTTTTCACCTCTATTACACAGTACTACTATATTAAGTTAAACAACAAAGTGTACAGCAACAGCCAAAGGCACCATATACAGCTTCACATCTTGGACTATAGAGCAAATGTTGCTGCTACTGAAAATGTGACACACAAACACTTAAATGATAAAACACTGTTTGAAGTTAAATTTATTCACATACATTTCAATAATTATGCTTTCTTTAGTTAATATTTCCAAAAGCCAAACATTTTGATTTACAACCTTTTTATTGTATAAAAAATAATAATAATAATTGGGTCACTCAACTTCACCTGTTTCTGGGACACAGCTGTGTGCAATTGGCTGTCGCATTTCGCCCACAAAATATACAGTCAGTTCATTTGACAGTATATTCTGTGAAGCGCTTTGAGACGTCTCAAAGACGTGATAAGTCCCAATATCAAATGCAAGGATTATTATTATTGTTGTTTTTGTAGTTCATGTACTGTGTGTAATTCATATGCCGTTTTGATATGAGTGATTTCTTGTTGTGAACCCCATGTTGCCCTCATTTTATCTTCTAGGTGATATTCATTCATTCAGCAATTATAAAGCAGGCTCATCATGATCAAATTTAATGATTCATTTATTTCAGAAATGTTACTGTATCTCAGAGTTCTTTGTTCTGTTATACAGTTGTCCTTTCGATCCAGTGAGAAATTCTGCCTGGGAGAGAATTCATGAGAGAGTTCAAAATCTTCTGGCAAACATTGATGCACAGGAAATGGCTTCAGGGGTGGGTATCTGCAACATGGCAATTCAGCACAGTGCTATGCAAAGTATATTTCACTGTATATTTACATCACTAGGACGCCTCAGAATCTTGAGTATAAGATTTATGTCAAAATATGCAAAGAATGGCATAGAGCAAATAAAACAATTAGATTGCAGAATTAGATTTTTCAGTTAGCTAAAAAAAACAGTAGCCTTTGAAATTGACTTTTAGCAAACTGAGACTCAATATTTTTGAAGCCTGATAACAGGTTAGTAAAATTCTTTATGCTTCTAATCACTTGATAGATAAAAGTAATATTGAACTCAATACAGTATAAACATGGAAGGGAACTTAAGATGAGGAGGTGTCTAAATTGAAATATTTTCAAAATTGTTTTAAGCGCTCTGAGACGCTACCCCAAGTAAATGTACTGTATAAATGCAAGTTGTTCTAATACAGTGCCAACCTCTGTAGCTTTTTTGCCTCTGAATCAGAAGGCTGGGTTAAAGCCTCACATCAGGGCTTTGAGCTCATGATCCAAGCTGACAATAAAATGCAATGCTTGGGGAGTACTATCTGCCAATAAAGATGGACGTTAAAGATCATGGCATTATTCAAAAAGAGAAGGATGCTTTTTTCCCAGGTCCTGGCCAAAAATCTTCTGATAAGTGATCATAAATTTCATGGCTGTTTGTGGGACATTGCTGTACACAAGTTGGCTGCCATATTTGCCTACACATACACAGTCAAGACACTGAAGTGATCTGAAATGTTTTAACATGATTGGTTGATAATGTAAAATGAAAGGAGTATAGTATTATTCCACTTTTCAATGTTTCTCTTTTTGAAGTATTGATCTAATTCCCTTTCAAAAGAGTTTATGGACTTGTGCTTCAATAATGAGAAAGCCTAGGGGTGGATCAATGGGTTAGTGCACTGACCTTTCATCTCTGGGACTGTGATTTAAATCCCATCCAGACTATTGTAATGAAAGTGCCCGTCTTTTTGTGAGTTTGGGAGCATCAACTTGTTATGAGTTGGCATTATTGAACCAACTCACTAAACTGCCTGTTACTTGGGGATCTCACTCTGCAAAGCTAGTACAGGGAAATAGAAAATGTCACACTGGTGTAATTGCCTAGGCGCTGCTTCTCAAAGGTGCTGCTACTCTGATTCAGGAGATTCGCCCCATTGCCATACCTGTAGGAAGAATGCTTAAAGATGACACTGGGTGCATGAAATGATAGCTATGTTAATTTTCTAGCACTAACAGCCTTCACCTTGAATACAATACCTTAAATTGTTTGAGCACAAGAAAAATTAAAATAAGTGGGTTTATTTGGCCATTTCGCACACAAAATAATGACAGTATTTTCATCACAGACATAGAAGATAGTGATTGAAACAATGAATTCTCTGATTATTATTATTTTACCTAGATAATGTAATACTAACCTGTGTGAAGGGTGCCTTTTAAATGCATATGTTGTGGTGGTGGTCAGTAATACGATGCAAGGAAGAATTTCACTAACGTTTCTGAACTGTCTTTGGCCTTCAGAGGAATGTTAATTTCACTGGATGTTCTGCAGCTAGCAATTCATGTGAGAGGAAAAGCTCAACATGCTACTAAGCACAGGTATACTTCTTCTCACTTTTACCTCAGGATGCAATTTCACTATGTAATCAGAAATAAATACAGAAAAGCTATGCCATTGAATAACACTGGTGGGGTAATTTTCTGACTCTCAGACAATAAGATACTTTAGATAGTTATGTCATGGTAATGATTCTCATATTGCCAGCCTCAATTTCTGGGAATTGCAAAATGCAGAATCATAATACCAGTAGTAAATTAAGAATGCAATTGGTACACATCCTGCAGGGTACTGTTAAGAAGACAATAACATTTAGATCACATATATCTATTTCCCCCTCTTCTAATCCATGCACCAGAAATGAGCTCTGGAAGAAATTGTCTAGTAGTTCTGCAAAATCTACACAAACCTCAAAAGGATAAGGCAAGAGGCTTATAATCCAGTTTTAAACCACGTAACAGCAGATAGAATAAGGAAATATTAACTTCCTTTATAAATGGAACTGGAGGTAAATGGCCTGCCTTCTGGGCTGCAAATTTCTGTGTGGTTTACCTTCAGAAGCAATTCTGGCTAAAGTGCGAAAACAACAACAAGATTACATTCGTATAAGCGCCTTTCACGTCGGGAGGACGTCCCAAAACACTTGAGTTATCAGGGAACATCAAATATCTGACCATTATAGGCAAACTTACTGTTGCTAGAGTACAGATTTGCACTTGTGGAACTTGTCATCATCTTGTGGAGTCCTGTAGGTTAGTGGTTAGAGCACTCGCCTCAGCGATTCCCGGGCAGGGCAAAACATTAGTCAAGTTTCCTTACTCCATATGCCTCTGTTTCCCCAGCAGTAAATAGGAAAACGGTTGTTAGTCAATTGGCAATCGCTTTTCTGAGCGTAATAACCATTTCCAAAAAAAATGTCGTCACTCAATTGACAACTGTTTGTGGGACACTGCTTTGCGTAAATGGCTGCCAGAAAATTTACCGTCACTACATGAAACCAACCAACCACCTGCTCCCTCGACCCTATCCCTACCTATTTCCTTACCTTCCAGCTCCACCTCCTTGCCCCTCTATTCACAGACATCATAAACCTCTCCCTGTCCACTGGTACCATTCCCACACTTGTAAAAGCAGCCGTCATCACTCCTATCATTAAAAACCCTCCCTGGACCCATTCCTGCTCTCAAACTCCCCATCTCCAACCTCCCTTTCCTCTACAAGGTCCTGGAACGAGTTGTTATTTTCCAGCTTCGTTCCTTCCTCTCCCGCCACTCCCTTCACGAACCCCTCCAATCTGGTTTCCGTGCCGCCCACAGCACAGAAACAGCCCTGGTCAAAGTGACAAATGACATTCTGTCTATACATGACCAGGGCTCCCTCTGCCTCCTTGTCCACCTTGACATCTCTGTTGCCTCCGACATCATTGACCACTCTATCCTCATCCACCGCCTCTCCTCTCACTTCAACCTTCACAGTTCTGTCCTTCAATGGTTTAGATTATAGCTCTCACACCACCTCCACTTCATCTCCACAAACGGATTGACCTCTAGCCCCCGCACCATCTCGTGCGGTGTTCCTCAGGGCTCTGTCCTTAGTCCTCTCATCTTCAACATCTATGTGCTCCCTCTTGGTGACATCATCCGCAGACATGGGGTCAACTTCCACATGCATATGGATGCTACCCAACTGTACCTCTCTGCCTCCACCCTTGACTCCAGGATCACTGCTGTCCTGACTGAATGTCTGTCAGACATCAAGTCCTGGATGAGAGCTAACTTTCGTCAGTTGAACATCAATAAGACCTAGGCTCTCCTGACTGGCTCCCTTCAGCACTTCCACACCTCAGGCGCTGACAGCATCACCATCCATGGATGCAAACTCCACCTTGCTAAGCCAATCCAGAACCTCGGGGTCTTGTTTGACCCACAACTATCCTTTCTACCCCACATCCATGCCATGACCTGCTCTGCCTTCCCCCACCTCGCCCGGCTCCACCAGCATCTCACACCACAGGCCGCTGAAACCCGAATACATTAATTCATAACATCGAGGCTTGACTATACAAACTCCTTGCTTGTCGGCCTCCCAACTCCTCCCGTCATAGACTGTAGATTATCCAGAACTCTGCAGCCCCCGTCCTCTCCCGCACCAGGCTCCATGACCCTATCATGCCCATCCTCGCCCGACTCCACTGGCTTCCCATCACACAGAGGGTACAGTTCAAGATTCTGGTCCTCATCTTCAAAGCCCTTCATGGCCTTGCTCCCCCCTACTTCTCGACCTCCTAACTCCCTACTATCCTGTCTGCTCCCTCCACTCAGCAGGCTCCGGCCTCGTTCACATCCGCCACCTCACTCACCCCACTATTGGCAAGCAGGCCGTCTGCCACTCTACCCCCATTCTCTGGAACTCCATCTCACAGTCCCTCCGCCTCACCCCCTCCCTTGTCTCGTTCAAGATCCATCTCAAGGCCCTCTTCTTCGACCGTGTTTTCAATCTCCCTGCTTCCCCCCCGGCCTCCACACTCCTCAACAACAACAACAACAACAAGATTCCATTTATAAAGCGCCTTTCACGTCAGGAGGACGTCCTCAATCCCGACCCCCAGCTTGGACCTGAAACACTGACTGTCCAGAGCCTTGGGAGGTCCTCCCGATGTGAAAGGTGTTATACAAATGTAATTTTGTTGTTGTTATTATTGTTGTACACTTCACAGTATATTCTGTGATAAAGCGCTATATCAAATACAAAGATTATTATCTGTACTGTTCTTGGGTACCAACTTCATGATTTTCCACATATTGTAACAAATAACTTACATAGGACTATACAGGACCAGAAAAGTCCTCTCTCCAATGCCAAGATTTCCCTACTGTAGGTCTGGCCACTAGAATTGTGCACAGCACTCCAGTATAAAATCCATTCTGTCCAAGATAAAAAACCTGACAAGATTCAACATACAAGGTTGGACTACCTGATGTGACCAGAAGTAATCTTCAACTGTAGCCATGTGAAAAGATTATGTAACCTTAACTATTGCTATTTATTATATTACATACAATTTAATTTACCAACTAATTTACACCTCTCTCTCCTCTCCCCCCACTCCGTACTTGAGCCCCTTCAGTCCAGCTTCCGCTCTGCCGACAGCACCGAGACAGCGCTCGATAAAGTCACAAATGACGACCTCTCTCTCTCGCTGTGACCAGGGCTCCCGCTGGACCTTTCCACTGCTTCGACACAGTTCATCATGCCGTCCTCTTTCATCCACTTTAGTGGGACCGCACTCCAGGTTCAAGTCCTCCTTCACCCACCACCATCACTCTATCTCTGCAAATGTTTTTTCTTTTCCCCCCACCAACCAGATTACCATCCTTGGCCCCCTTCTTTTCCACATTTACATGCTTCCTCTTGGTGATGTCATCTTCCGACATGGATCAAATTCCACAAGTATGTGGACAACACCCAAATCTACTTCTCCAGTGGCAATCCCACATTTTCCATTCTTGTTTGTCAGACATCAATGCCTGAACGTTTTGCACCTGCATTTGACAAGACAGAAACCATACTCCTTGGCTCCTGTCTACGTCTCTTCACCTGTGGCTCCGACTTCCTTAACCTCCCCTACCTATCCCTCAAACTACCTCAACCAGTGCGCAACCTTGGCGTCAGTATTGATCCCCAATCTGTCCTTCCTTCCCCACATCCAGTCCCTGACCAGGCCCGCATTCTTCTACCTCCACCAAATGCCACTTCTGGCCATACCTCACACCCAATGCAGCTGAAACCCTTATCCAGACATCTACCCACCACACCCTTTGCTTAGGTGGCTCTGGCCTCCACATCTCTCTTCCCTCCAGTCCACCATCGGAGGCTGTGCTTTCAGCCACTATGCCCTGAAACTATGGAACTCTCTGATTCAATCTATTTGCCTTATAATAATAATAATAATCCTTGCATTTGATATAGCGCTTTTCACGTCGGGAGGACGTCCCAAAGCGCTTCACAGAACACACTGTAAAGTGAATTGACTGTATATTTGTGGCTACTCTTGCCCATCTTTAGATCACACCTGAAGACCTTTCTCTTAGAATATGCTGACCGTATTCTTCCCCTTCTCCCTGGCTCAGCGTCAAGTTCTGTCACTGTTAAGCACTCTAATATGCTTCCCTTCGTGAAGGGTGAAAACATAGAAGTTGACCCCATGTAAATGAAGGTTGTTGTTGTTGTAACTGAACATTTGTTATTGAAATTTTGGCTTTCTGTGTTTAGTGCCATAAATGTAGTTTATAGATAAGCAAACTGATTGTTTTTATATAAGAAATTGTGAGTTTTAAATGAGTATTCATCGTTTCTAAAATGTAACATTTAATTCTTTTGACAGCAAATGAAGCAGAAACATTTAAAACTGATCTGCTATCACGAAGAGAAGTCTTCCTCTTATTTCTGCTGGTGCTACAAAACGTGGGAAAATAAAACCAACATAAACTTGCCAACAAAGTGTAAAGTAATCTTCTGTCCTGATAATCTTTGAATAACCATTCAGCAATAGCTTGCTTTAATAATCGAAGATTATGTATTGTACACTGGCGTTTGAGCAACCTCTTTGCTTTTTACTAAATGGAAGATTGAACTGTTTTTTTGTCCATTTGTGTGGGATGTATTTTTACATCTTCATCGCCTGTTCAGTAAATCAAAAATCTCAGATAATTAATTTATTTCAAGTTTAAAGCATTCAGTCTGTTAAAGGGCCATCGGAGAAATTGCAATTTAATGCCACAGCAACAGAGGAGGAAATTGCAGAAGATAATAAGTGTCCAAAGCCCCGACTTCTGATTGATACCAATTGGCAGAAAACAAAAGACATCGACAAAACTGACAGTGAATTGTTAACGCAGCATTGTTGAAGGAGCTGTGTGAAGCCTTTTGCAGCCAAACAATTTACTGATTTAATGTGTTGAATTTTTCTTTTTGACCTGTTCTCTTTTAACTGGGATACAAGGGCATACATTGTAGACCTATTTATGAACTGTCGCACAAAGAATCACACAAAGAAATAGGCAATTCTCATTTAATTCATGTCAGTATCACTTATTAAGAATCTCTCTTTCCTGTTCTTTAAATAACTTATAGCCTCTGCAACTAAGCTGAGCGGCTGACTATCCAACTTCTGTTAACTCAGTCCTAGGTTCACTCTGTACATTTTACTATGTACATTAATATTAAACACAAGAATACTTTATATCTGCAGTGCTGGTTAGAATAATTTATTGAGACCTTAACATAGAATAAATAGCTATTTTCTGGAAAAAAATAAAGAATTCAAATCCACCATTATTTTGTTTTAGCATTGGGAATCCGAAAACAATCAGTTGGGTTTTAATGCTCAGCTACTACACCTACTACAGTTTGAGTTCATTTGCAGTCACTTCACAGTGATTAGGTGCTGGGATATGATCCAAAGTATGAGACCTTCTGCCAGGTCACAGAGATCTTCATTACAATTGCTATATTCCATTGTCTTAACCCTTCCAGCAGCAGTGCCATCAGAGAGTTCTGTTCCATCTCCGCAAACTGAGAATCGAGGACTTAATATCACATCAATAATGTGAGTGAAATGTTAGAAGTGTTTTTTTTTGTCTATGTAAAATGGAATATTAAAAATCATTTTTAAATAGTAATGATCTTCACCGCATACACAGGCATTAGCTTCATCAATGCTGCTACATGTTTCAATGTCAGTAGGTGGTTGACTCAAAACGTTTAGAAAATAGGGTCAGTGAGCACAATTCAGTGCAAATCTAATCTTTGTTTTGGTGGAGTAGAGACATCAGAAAATAATTTAACTGAAGTTCTCTATGATCATGTTTAATATTTTCCATAATATGAACCAGAAAAATATTACCCTTTAGGGCAAACAAACATGAAGACAAAAGTTGCTGTATAAAAGAAAGGAACATTACTTGTTTTCCTTTTTATCAGTTGAATATGTTCAGTTAATAGTCATTCGGGTTTTGATTTCACTCTGTGTTGAAATAATTTCATTGTTGTGTTAAAAAGGAATCCAAAGTTTTATATGAATCATTAAGATTTGTACGTTTTACAATTTTTTAATATATATTTGTTAAATAAATTCTTAACATGCAAAATGATTCTCATTGCATATTTTTAAGCAAATCCGTTGGCTGGAGTTCACATTTGTGCAGTACTGTCACTGTACCTTTTGAAATGAATCAGTTCTGGCCCCTTTAATATTCCCTGTTCTATAAATACATTATTGTGCTGCCACTGGGAGAGTGATCTGTGTGTTTGCAGCTGCAGTACAGAATGTTTCTCTTTGCATCTGGTAACTATGAAAAGACCACAAAACTTTATTAAAGCCATAGAGAAAGGCATTAGCTCAACCACCAACCATGAGCTCACAATGTCACAGTTGTCCCCTGTGCTGCGAGTCCACGATTTGTAACATTGAAGTGATATGTGAATCAGATACCTATGAGAATTGGTTACAAATTACAGTAAAATTTACATTTATGCCATGCCTTTCACATCAGGAAGATGTCCCAAGGTGCTTGATATCTTATCTGGCACCCAAGGGGAGTGGGAGAGGGTGTTGGGGAGGGAAAAGATGATCGAAGGCATGGTCAAAGAGGAAGGTCTTGACACAGACCTTAAAGAGATGAGGGAGGGAGTCGGAGGGACTTGGGATGGATTTCCAGTTTTAGGTGGAATTAGGTTTCAAGTTATTTTCAAATGTGCTCATTGTCATTTTTATTTTTAACTTTTGCTCACAAAATAGTCAGTCAACTTTACAGTATATCCTATAAAGCAATTTGAAATGTATTAACAACATGATAAGGTACTATATCAAATGCAAGGATTATTATTCTTACGATTTATTATTTAATGGATGCTATATATTGAAGAGCCATTGGTAAAACAGAAACTAAAGCAGTGAAATGTCAATTTAAAATAACAATCAAGGTTCAGTTGCCCCTCTCATCTCATAAAAACTTGTAGTTTGCTGTACTTTTACACCAGCACATGGTGGGGGGGGGGGTGGGGGTGGGCAGGGTGAGGCAGATCCATTTTAGAAATGCTGTATTTGCCATATTTATTCATACAAATTGTATTTAAGTGCTTGGATGTTAACACTGGTTTGCCATGCACAGCACTTCCACTTATAGACCTGTTAAAGAACTGGAAGAAGTCAGTTACCTTCTCAGTATTATAGAGGTTAGACTCCATGCTCAATTATTGATTGTGATACCACCAAAACTATCTATCAAAAAAATGGAATTACTAAAATGTGATTTAGTAATACAGGTGGCAGTGACGCAGACTCAATTGACCGAATGACTTCCTTTGCTTAAAAAATCTGTTTCTTCATTATGAGTGGTTCGTACAATATTTGGATCTCAGTTTTAGCACCTTTAATGTCAATAGCCATCACAGATTATTATATTGGATTAAACACAAAGCCAATCTGAACATAATATTCTTTTGTGAAACCATTCTTTGCTAAATTGCAAGCCCTGGAGTGGTTTGGCTTTTGCATGCGCATCATCGAAGACTTTTTTTGGTTGACGTTCATGGCAAGACACATGATCGAGCTGTATAGATTGACCCAGAGCTGCAAGGAGCCTGCCTAATTATCTTGTATCTTTCCCCCAAAGCTCAATTTCCCAACCAAGGACTTGAGAATGTAGCACGACGCTGTACTAAAGCGTGTGTTGCCCATTGACTCCTAAATATTCATCCTCTGACTTAGAAGATTTTGTCACACTCCTTTTGTGTTAAGTTATGTGTCCTGGCAACACTGCAAGACAAGACTCCATTTGTTTAACCTCTTTGTTCAAGAATAAAAATTGTGATGAAATCAAGATTGCAGAAGCTTAATCTCTAGGAGATTATGGGGGAAAGAATATTGCATCGCACTGCACGATGCATCACCAGCACCAAGCGAGGAGTAATACTCTGTTTCTATTTGTATTTTTAAAAAGCAAAGCATTAAATGATCCAACTACACGGAGACCTACAGTCCAACTGCAAGCCCCTACATTCACCACACAGGACGGCAACAGAGTCTCAATTCATGTGGAGTCCCATGCCTTAGTGGGTAGAACGCTCGTCTTGCAAGCGAGAGGAACTGGGTTCGATTCCTGGGCAGGGTAAAATGTTGGGCAAGTTTCCTTACTCCATACGCTGTTTAACTAGCAGTAAGAACGAACCCAGTTGTAACTCGATTGGCAGATCGCTTTTCCAGGAATAATAATTCCTTTAAAAAAAATAATAATTTGGTCACTCAATCCACGACTATTTGTAGGACACTGCTGTGCGCAATTGTCTGCCGCTATTCGCCCACAAAATTACAGTGAATTCACTTTACAGTATACTCTGTGAAGCGTTTTGCATTGTCGCAAAGACATGATAAAGAGCTATATCAAATGCATGGATTATTATTATCTTTGCATTTGATATAGTGCCTTATATTGTTGAAATGTCTCAAAATACTTCACCTGATATACTGTAAAGTGGTGTAACTGTGTATGAAACATGGGTGAAATGAGATTGATTGATTGATTGATTTTATTTGATTGATTGTTGTAGTTAGTCACAAAGGATCAGCACAATTCTATTCAGGACTATAATTGTGGAACTAGAGAAGAGAAAAACTAATCCTATCTGCACTCATTTTATCACATACTCCCACTCATTTGTTCTTATTGTGGTAATTGGCATCACTATTTTCTTCAGGATTATATTTAAACTTTGCCAATTTAAGATAATTGACAGATCTGCACAAAGGTTGTACCTTGATTCGTTGGTAAATTTCAGAGAGCTGAGGTGACGTTTGCTATGTCCTTGAGAGTAATATAGCACCTAATTTAATACAAAGATAGAACTTTCTACTCAGCTTTTTCCAGCCACTGTTCTTTGAGCAGTGTAAAGCCTCTCACCTCAACCCGTTCAATATAATATGTCAGCTTTCACTATTTTGTAGGCCTGGCTCAGTTGGTAACCCTCGCGTCTTTGATTCAGAAGTTTGTGGTTTCAAGCACCATGTCACCAGTTTGAACTCACAGTCTAAGGTGACACTCCAATGCAGTCCTGGTGGTGTGCTGCATTGTTGGAGGTGCCGTCCTTCAGATGAGATGTCAAAATGAGGTACAGTCTGCCAGTTGAATGGACACTAACGGAGTCCTGTAGCTTACTCGTTAGAGAATTCACCTCGCAAACAAGAGGGCCTGGGTTTAATTCCCAAGTAGGGCGAAACGTTGGGCAAATTTCCTTACTCCACACTCCTCTGTTTACCTAACAGTAGGTAGGAACCCGGTTGTTAGTCATTGGTGGATCGCTTTTCCTGGGGTAATAATCCCTTCAAAAAAATAATAATAATAATTTGGTCACTCCATCCACCACTGTGTGCAATTGACTGCCACATTTTGCCCACAAAATATAGAGTCAATTCACTTTACAGTATATTCAGTGAAGTACTTTGAGGCGTCTCGAAGGCATGATTTGGCGCTATATCAAATGCAAAGAATATTATTATTAAAGCTCTATTGAAAAAGAGAAAAGAAGTTTCTCTCCGGGTCCTGGCGAACAATTCCCCAGGGATTTATGCATTTATCGGCACTGAAAAAAGCTGGTAAATCATGGAATCATAGAATTATACAGCAAAGAAGGAGGCCATTTGGCCCATCGTGTCTGTGTCAGCCCTTTGAAAAGAGCAATCCAAATCAATCCCACTCCCCTGCTCTCTCCATAGCCCTGCAAACTTATCTACTTAATAATTATCTACTTCTCTCCTAAAAGTTGTTATTGAATTGGCCACCCTTTCAGGTACCGTTGGTATTGATAATATACCAGTAATGTAAATGTTGGCAATATAATTACACTTAGCCGGACATTCCAGCTCACAGGACCTGATCTTCCCTGCATTGTGCTGGCTAGCCGGGCTTTTAGTGTGTTGTAAAACCATGCGATGTTTGCATGATGAACACCAATTATATGTGTCACCCTCAATAATGTAAATTTCCTGCATAATATAACATAGTATGAAGCAGCAGCTGATAGGTGACCACTTTAGGAGAAATGTCATCTGATGAATATGCAGGAAAGTCGGAGTTCATGACAAGAATGGCAGACGTTTCTTTTGTGAACATCCTCAGCAATAAATGTGAATATCTGCCTAAATTAAATATATCACATTGCTGGAACACAGTAAGCTAATGTCTGAAACCATTCCTCTCTCCATCTGCAGCTTAGGGTGCTCCTTCTACTGCCTCAGCTGAAATCACCTAGCTCAGCAGATGGTGGACATTAAACAATATATGGCTTTACCAGGAGGGAGGTGTATTCAGCTGTTGAGGAAGCCTTTGTTATCCAATCTGAAAAACACTGTCTGAAACAAACTGGAATGCAAATTTTCAGATATCTGAATTTAGCACAATTTGGATTACTCTGGATTCAGAATGTCCCTTTGCTATTTAAAAAATGTTTCAATATAAATCTTTTTCTTTTAATATTTATATTGTGTTTGTGGAACCAATGGAAAATATTGTGAGCACTGTGCAACACTAATATAAGCTATTTTATGCTAATTGCCAAACAATAGTCACAATGAAAAGATTTAATAAAAGGCGCTAGATAAATGTAAATTAAATTGTATTGTTACGGTTCCCAATTTACAAAATCATACCGACAATCTACAGCACCAAAACAGGCAATTGTCTCAACTAGTCTGTGTTAGGTCTCAACTCCACATGAGCCTCCACTTATCCTTTATATTAGCCTCCCCCCACCACCCTTCCATTCCCCTCTATTTCCTTCTCTTGTATGCATTTTACGTAATGTAAACAAAATTTTCTTTCAAAAAATAAATGCATTATATGAGCTGGGGTCAATTTGCAACTCACCCTATCAAGTGTAGCCCTACATTGTGCCCCATATCTCACAGCTTTCAGTCATGACCAGCCCAGATGCAGAATATTGACCAAGGTGAAATTTCACGTTCATCCATCATCCATCTGCTTTCCTTGTTCTCCAGCAAAATGAGCCAAATGAATACCATCAGAAGGAAGTGCTATCCAACTTCCATAAAGTAGTGAAAAGGAAATATAAAACAGATCTGTT